CAACACACACACATCATATAAATGGCAGTGCTCATCAAAATTTGGGAGGTGGCCACCTCAAATATTTTATTGGGAGAGGTGAAGGGACCTTGGCACCTAGGAGTTGGCTCTTATGTACCACATGTATATATTTATTATCCCTTTGTTCCCAGGGTAGATCTTTATTCCCCCTTGTTCCCAATGCAGATCTTCTACTCTAGTGGGAACACTATTTTGTGGTTTGTTTCAGGTGCCCTATCAGCATCCGTAACAAACTACATTTCTCAGAATTATTTGGGGGAAGCCATAGATGTTTAAATTGTTGTTATATTGTGCTGATGGGAAGTTTTAATTGTCTAGTGCAATGCATGCCTGCAGTAGAGGAAAAGGAGGAGCTGGGTGTTCTAACTCCTTTTGCTTACTTCTTCAGAATGGGCTAACTGGGCCCAGTCCTTACCATGGCACCACCCAGCGTGAGGAGGTGTCCAAGCTGGTGTAGAAGCTTCTAGAAGAGCAGTGTGGGAGGGCAGGTGAGCTATTAAGGGTAAAGGAAACCAGCTCTTGCTCAACCTGAGGCTGAGCGGTTGCTATTTATTGTTGAATGTTTGACTGCCACTCCTATTGTAAGCCTCAGTGCTTTTTATTTGCAGTTATTGCTCACCTGGACTTTATAGCATACTGCAATATTGAGGGAGCTTTGAAGTATTTCCATTGAAGTCCAACGCTGAGGAACTATTGAGATTGCTAAGCGGAAAATATGAACTTTTTTTCTGGGGCAATAAGGAAGATCTAGATTTACGCAACGATCCTACATCCACTTGTCTGGGAGTAAGCCAAATTGAGTTTAATGAGACTTACTCCTGAGTTGGTACATTTAGATTTCAGCATTTCAAAACTTGCCAGGATGGTGTAATTATCAGTCACAACTTTAAGCCCAGTTTTCTGAAACAAAGACTTTTCCTTCCAGTTCTAACACCTGATTGTTCTGGCTATTCAGAACCTGATCTACACCTTTCCAATCCCTAATTTGTTTCCTTTTTTAACAGTTTCTCTTGTACAATATAAAATATCTAATAACTGAGGCTGGAGCAGATAATCCTTTCAGTGGAAATAGTACTTTATAATTCATTAAAAAAAAAATAATGAAGTGGTGTATAGAGAAAATGCACTGGGAGATTTTTGTTCTCCTTCTCCCACAGTACTAGAACCTAGGCCATCCAGGTTGGGCATTTTGTTACAGTTGCTTTCCTTTCCTTTCCTTTTTTAAAATGAAAGAAGTGATGAAACATTTTTCATTTTTATCCCAGCCCTCCTATATGATGCTCAGGCTAGCATAGAAGTTCCCCACAGTAATCTGGTAAACTATGACCAAACCTGCACAGAGACGGTTAGCAAGCAAGAGACTGCTCCCGCCTTCCCCAAGAGCAGTAAGGGCAGCTACACATTTTGCATTCCCCCAGCTGCCTTCAAAAGGACTTGGGACTTGGAGAAGGCAGCTTGGGTTATGGGAGTCAAATCAGAGGATGCTGAACCTGCTTGCCTAATTTTAATTTCCTTATTTGCATGGAAATTCGAAACAGAGATGAATCTGAAAAGGTTAAAAGGAACTAGCGAAATAAGCAGCTATCCTATCTTTATAAGACATCTGAAGGCAGCCCTGTTTAGGGAAGTTTTTAATATTTAATGCTGTATTGTTTTTAACATTCGATTGGGAGCCGCCCAGAGTGGCTGGGGAAACTCAGCTAGATGGGCGGGGTATAAATAAATTATTATTATTTATTATTATTATTATTATTATTACGTTCTGAGCTCCAAAATAAGCTTTGCTGTACCCCACTCCATGTATTCCCATGACTGTGAGCGTCCCCTTCGAGACATAAAATAACCTTCAGAACCTTTGTTTGCACAACACACATAAAAGCGTGATGACTCAACGGCAATGACAGATAAGCAACTTGGGGCATGAAGCCCACCTTAAGCTTGCCAAATCAGACACCTTAGGAATCAGCTTCTGCTTCCTAAGAAACGGGGCAGGTAGTTATTTGCTGCTTGGTCTCCTCTCCCCAGCAGCAACAGGGCTGCGTTTCCTTCATCAGAAGAGCGGCTGTGCTTTACGTGAGGTGGGATCTTTAAGAAGAGAATGATTAAATTAATCCACAAGGAAGAGAAACGCCAGCAAACCATGCTGGCTTCGAGCCAAGCAATCACTCCTTCGCAATCGGCGTTTGAAAATGACCTTCGAATCGCAGGGTTCCCGCGCATGCCCAGAATGCTCGCGGCAGGAAGCGGTCGGAATCGGGGTGGAGTAAAAGAAAGCGGGTTTCTCGGCGGCAGACGAGGACAAAGACGATGGGCGGAGCTTTCTCCCGCCAGCCCCACCCACCCCAGGACCAGACGGAGCCATGGCGAGGTGGGCGGGGTTGCTGGGCGCGCTGAAAAGGGCCGGAGGTGGCCCGGGGCCGCGCACTTGCTCTGCATCCTCGATGGCTCGCAGCATGGCCGGAGCATCGCTGTCTAGCCTGGCGGGAGTGCTGGTGCGGCCCCTGGGCGGCGGGGAGCCCGTCGACCTGGGCTCGCTGCTGGGCCGGGTGGTGCTGGTCTCCAACGTGGCTTCCCTCTGAGGCACCACGAGCCGGGACTTCACGCAGTTCCGAGAGCTCCAGCAGCGCTTTGGGCCTCAGGGGCTCACGGTGCTCGCCTTCCCGTGCAACCAATTCGGCCACCAGGTACCGTAGCCGCCGTCGAGGGGGCGAGGAGGGCGAGGAGGAGGACGAGACCTTCCCCTTGGGAGCTTTTCCTGCTTCGTAGGGAACGAGGCGCCCTTGGGCGACACAAGCTCCCAAGTCGGCTTGTAGGTCTTTTTATGGGGGGCTGCTTTGTGTGGGGGCTTCTCAGTCCTAGGTTTATAGGAAGGGGCGGGAGGGGGGAGGAAAGAACGCACTCTGCACATGGCCAGAAGCTTTATTTTCTCTCTTCCTAACGCTCGCGATGGAGCGGGGTGAACCTAGTTCCTGGAAGCTCTATCACGGCTCCCAGCCACCCCTGCCTTCTCTGTGATAAGAACCGCGCCTTCCCAGATGCTGAAACTGATTCCTTCCGTATCGCTACAACATCCCCTCCCCTTGCTTTACAGGCTCTTATCTGGGCATAAGAGTTCTCCGATGATGAATGCCCCCTCCAAGCTGGCTTTATGCCTGCCGAGCACAGGAAAGGTTTGCAAGAGCCCCTTGGGGCATTGATAGCGCGGGGGGGGGGGGGGCGGAATCGTGCCCCGAGGAGACACTTAATCCAGTTGCTCTACATCTCAAGTCAGCACCTTGTTGGATGATTGTGGAGCGGAGAGAGGAAGCAAGGGTTTGTTACATTTTCCAGCAGAGAGCACCCTACAAGTTGTGCTGTAGACATGCGGCTGCTGCTTTTGCAACCTTACTAGTTTCCCGTCTGCTCACAAGCTAAACTGCGTAATGGCTTCCTTCCCACTCAATCAAATGCCGCCGTTTCCGTGCATCTCCACTTGTGTGAAGTGGAAAAGAGGATGGTGGTTTTGACTGAACCAGCTACAGCTACCTCTTTTGAGAAGGGCAGCATTTGGAACTTCATTTAAAGTGCTACTGTACCGCTTCAGCAGTCAAGGAGAATACTGGGAACTGTAGTTTAAGGGAGCTGCTCTTGCAAAGCTACCGGTACATTTCCCAGTCGACGGTTTTCAGGATTCTCCATGACTATTAAAGTGGTATATTCATACTATAAATGTATTCTCCAGATGTGAGTGGAAACTTTGTACACCAAGGAACAAAGTGGGGAAGGCTGCATAGACCAGTTGCTCCTCTTGTTGTTGGAGCAGGTAGTGACAAGCAGTCAAATTCAGGAATTGAAACATGCATTTTACCATCGTAATTTGGAGCATGTGGATTGGGAGGTGATAGTTTGGTAAGGCTTGGAAGTCTGCAGTTTTCAACCAAGTAGCTGGCTCAAAGGATGGCTACTCTACCTCTGTGAAACTAAGAAAGCAGCTGTGCTCTTACAATACTTACTGGCTCAGTCATTTTGACAGATCTTGCTCAGTAGGGGGTGTAAATAAACTTCTTGTTTTTCAAACCCTACCTGGCATACAATAGGAAATCCTATTCCCTTGTCTCCAGTCTGTTCTGGAGTCTCCCCAACAGTCCAGAGCAGATGGGGGGGGGCACACAAGGAGTGGAAGAGGAAAGCTTGTTGCACAAGTGGAAGGAAGTCCTTGTGCTAACAGGATGATTTTGTTGCATGCAGCCCAAAAGGTCTAGGACTAGGTCAAATCATGGCAGAAGACAGACTGATGGTTGCTGATACTGGCATGTACAAATACCTGCTTCACCAGAATTGATAAGGGTGTTGTAAAATTTCAGTTCCCAGCCACACCTTGGAGGCAGTGTGCAGCAGGGACATATTAGTGTTACATGAACAGAGGCTTGAAGTAGTATTTCTCTGAATGGGACAAAAAGCAGCGGGGTACTCAAGATGGGGCAGGGGATGAAGCAGTTTGTATAGTCAAAGTGTACAAAGCTGAACTGTGCATTTTGATTGCACATCTAAACCCTTATGCACAAACTTCCAATTAGGGTACTTGCCTAAACTGTGTGGCAACATCACAATCTGCTTGTAAGGGCTTAAATTGGAAATAATTTAAAAGTGCTTTTTATTGCTTCATTCCCCACCCCTCCTGCCCAGTTATTGAAGACCTTCTGCTATTTGTCAAGAGACATCTACAGCACTACCCCAAAATGTCTATCACTGCTTGGGCAATATGCTAGGGAATATTTAAGTCACATCAGTTGACTTATGTTTGAGGAAGAAATTACCGGTATTTGTTCTGTAAATGTTACTTTCAATGAGGAACTTGAAGTTTCAGATCCTACTAACTCCTTGCAACTGCAGCAGAGCAGTTTATAGAACTAGTAGGTAAAACTTGCTTTTCTCCATAACTTTAATCTCCATATGTTTGCTGAACTAAACTAAGATACTGTAACAAGTAGCAAGTTGCGATGGAAAGGAATGTTTTTGCCCAGTGTTTCTGCAAAGCTGCTATTGGCATGGTGAAGGGGTTGGTGAAGCAAAAGAAAATGTCACATAAAGCAGAAGTCAGTAGCCTGGTTGGTGCTGCTGTGGCTGTTTGCTACACTTTGTTCTGACATTTGGAATTAAGCATATATCTTCTCTCTCCTTTTTACAGGAAAATGCCACCAACGAGGAGATCCTGAATTCACTAAAGTATGTCCGCCCAGGCAATGGGTATGAGCCCAACTTCAGTGTCTTTGAGAAGTGTGAGGTGAATGGGGAAAACGCTCACCCACTCTTCAAATTCCTGAAGAAAGAGTTGCCCTTTCCACATGATGACCCCGTGTCTCTGATGACCAACCCACAGTTCATCATCTGGTCCCCTGTGTGTCGCAGTGACATCGCATGGAATTTTGAGAAGTTCCTCATAAGCCGTGATGGAGTGCCTTTCAAGCGTTACAGCAGGCGTTTTGAAACCATCAAGATCCAGGATGATATTCAAAAGCTGCTTTAGCAAGTCACCAAGAACCAGAAAATGTGCCTTGCAGAAATGTCTACTTCTCTTTTTGAGCTAGGCTATTGCTTAGATGATGTCCTAGGTTAAGTATGATATTTTCCATACTAGAGTGAATTGCAGATCTGTCCTAGATTAGACTGGGCTGATCTAACCGAATAAGCAGAAGAAAGTTGCTTATGCATCATAGCAATGAAACTTAATTGAAATGCAGGAATCTATTTGCCGTGATGTAAGCTAAATTATAACCCTTCCTCTAATGTGCGAGGCAACCATGTATTACGTGACTCAAGGCTGAATAATATGAGTGGCTGCTTTAATGTGTGGGTTAAATCCTACTATGTGAAGCAGTACTCCATGCTGTTTGTCTGTGTGGCCTTATCTTGTTTTTCAGCAATTCATCTGTTTACTCTGGCAGTAAGTTTCTATTCTCCATCAAAATTTTATTTATGATGGTGCTTCTTCTAAACACTTGAAGGACACTTGATGTATTTGTAAAATTTTGTATGTGAAGATGTAGTTAATTACACTAGGGGAAACAGCAGTTTATGAAATTCTATGCCAATAAAATGCTTCAAAGACGATTATGTCTGTGTCTTTATAATAAGGCTGCGTAACATTAGGTAGCAACTAGTTATTTGAAATCTCAACCTAAGCTCATTTAACACATTACCAAAAGAGCTGAAGTATTATTAAACCATGACTGAGCAGGTCCCTCGAGAGAAGTTCATGGCTGCTGCTACTGCAGTTTCTGGCCTAAGCCATGGTTTTGCTTAGCATGTTGTCCAAACCAGAGCTTGTACTTTGTCTTGCTCTAGGGCAAACCATGAGCTGTAATTAAGGTATGTTCTTGGTTTACATCTTAGTTTATTTGGAGAAGACAAACCATGAGCCTGCATTTAGACAGCATGCTAAACCAAAATATGGCTTAGCCCTGGGTAGCATGCCAGCAGCAGAACCAAAGGAGTGCAGCAGTTATGATGGCTCCAAGAATCTGTGTTCATGCTAAACCACGATTTGGTTTAGCCTTATGTACTGACTGAACTGAGACAAAAAAAAAATAAAATTCCCTACAGCTGTGGATTGACATAATAAATTATTTGATATAGGTTGGGTACCTCGCTTCTACTGGCAAAAATTCTACATAGAATTCTACCAAATCATAGTCCTTATTAACAAACTGGATTCAATAAGCAACATTACAAATAAATGTGGAAGGTAATTTGGTAGAAATAAAAAGGCTTGTTATTAGTTGTGTGGGACAGGAGTGGAAACTGGAACTAGATGAAAAATATACTACAAATGAAATTCAGCTTTGTAGATATTTGTGTGCATGTATCTTACCTGTGTTCTATTCCTGTGTCATTCTCAAATATGCACACACAACTGACAAATATTGCAACAATGATGTTTGCTCATTCCACACACGCCCCCGCATTGATTTATTAGATGGGTGTCTGAAGAATGTAACATACAAGAACAAAAAGGGATTAACAATACAATTACTATATAGTTATAACAGGCAGTTGTTAAAATGTGTAATTATACAAATTATCCTCATATCCTGTTGTCCTAAAAACACTAATATCTTTAGCATGGTCAAAGCACACCAAGATCTATGTTTTCAGAGGGCAATCATGCATCCTTTCTTTCCATTGAGTATCTTCCAGCCCAATCTTTCCTAGACTTTGTGTATGAAGGCCTTTGGAGGAACGTTCATAAATTGTTCATTTCAACAGCTGAGCCAATGGCTATGGAGGACTTACTTCAATTAACAGAAACCAGAGATCTTGCAACCAATACTATTTCAAAAACTACATGCTGCTTTTTCTCTTGAAGATTATCTGATAGGAGAGAGTAATGCTATTGCTCTTCTGTAAGCATATTTGTTCTGTTCTTTAATGTGATACCTCAGTCAGATCTTTAGGACCATAGTTTGTGGTGGTGATTACAATTTACTTACATACTAGTTTTCTGCCTACTACAATCTGTTCTGGAGAGGGTGCTAACCTCCAAAGCAGATTTGCCATGTCTTGGGGAGTTGCAGGGGAGAAATAGGAAGTCCCATTTGCAGAAGCAGGAAGCCTGTTGCACAAGTAAGCAACTGCAATTCAATATTGCCCAATATTAATAGTTGCCACAAAAAGAGCCCAACATCGTACCGTATATTTCCTAGAGGAGCAGTCTCCAAAAAAGCTTAGGATAAAAAGGACGATTGCCATTGCCCTTATGCCAACCCAGCAGGACGACCCACAAGACCTTCAATATCAATTCACTGGGTTGGCTGCTGGTTTCAAGAAGTGGGATGTCCAGAGACAAGAAAGTGTCATGGCAGCATAACAGCTAAAGAAGCCAAAAGGCAGCTGCACCAGCAGAGATCCAGGGGTCGCCAACGTGGTGCCCTCTAGATGTTGGTAGTTCTAGTCCACCGAATGCAGAAGGATCCCTTTATAGCCAGAGTCGCAATCTAGTTTGAGGCACGACCTGCAATTATCAGCCCTTCAGAGGTAACTGACACCGCAGACCGAGCCTGTGTGAGCGACTGGAGAACGAGGGATTCCCTGCCGCCCCGCCCGGAAAGCGGCTCCTTCTTCCTCAGCGTCAAAACACCCCGTTCGGGCGAAGGCGCTCGGCCCGGCGCTCCCTGCCCTCCGAACGCCCGGAGGCGTCGCCGCGCCTGCGCAGTGCCGTTCTGTGCGCGCGGCGGCCGGGCGAGGAAGGATATCCGCAGTTGGGGACGGCCGGCCGGGCGAAAGCGCTTGCAGTACTGTCATGGCGGCAGCCGAAGTAGGGTTAGACGGCGGGGGAGGCGGCGGCGCCGGCCTGAGGCCGGACGCCGGGACGCAGCGAGCGGAACTTATGCCGCTGCTGGGGACGGCGCTGCGGCCGGGAGAGTCGTGGTGAGAAGGGCGGTTGTGGCGGGTGGGGCGGCGGGAGCGAGAGAGCGCGGCGGCTCCTTTCGCCTCTCGGTGTCAGGTTGAGAGCCAGGCCGCGCGCGCGCCGCCTCCTCCGCGCAGGCCCTCCGCGCGCTCGGGCTGTTGGCTTTCGAATGCGGGTGCTCGGAAGGGGGGGGCAGCAGGAGGCGCGAGCTGCTCCCCCCGGGAGTTCGGTGTTGGTGGCAGGAAGAGGGCATGTCGGTGCCGGCCGGGCCCTCCCGGTGCCGGTGCTGAGTCACTCTTCTTCCGCCCCGTCCCCTCCAGCAACTTCGTTCACCTTTCCTGCCTCCCGCTCCAACCCTGCCCCGTTTGTTTGTTTGTTTTATTACTCTTTCTTCCCCCTTCCTCTTCTTCTCAAGGCGTATTTCCCCCCCTTTTATTGCAGGTTCCTAATTGACAGCCGGTGGTTCAAGCAGTGGAAGAAATACGTGGGCTTTGACAGTTGGGACTTGTACAACGTTGGAGAACCGAATCTCTTCCCGGGACCCATTGATAACTCGGGGCTTTTTGCAGGTAAAGTTGTGTGGAGAGGGGATTAGGATTTGGAGTTTGGAAAGGACTGGGAAGTGGAGGAGGGAAAATGTCACTGCAAGGTACTACTTTTTGGACTATGTTCTGACAGTAAGGGAGCCAGTGCCCTTCCCCTCCACTCTTTCCCAGTACACTTTCCCAATTCTTAAGTAGGAATATTAGTTTTTCTATATGATAAGGCAGCTTGCTTTGGAAAAACTATGATGGAATCTAGCATGATTGTCACATCAGCAGTTACTGCAATCATAACTAGTATTGTAACAAGTCTTAGAGGTTCCACCCTTAAATAAGTGTCTCATTCTTGGCTTCCACACCCTTCCTGTGGGTTTTTTTTTGTATTTCTCCACTCAGCCTAGGCCTGAAAGCAGATGAATTTCCTTTTTTTGTAAATGGAAACTGAAAGAGTTAACCGTTACATCTGCTTCTGTGTTGTAAATCAGTTGGTTGCAAATCATTATTAGCTTCGTATATTGTGTCATAGAACTTCAAATCATTAGGCATATCCACTGAATTCAAACTTGTGTTTGAATAAGTTTTTGATTCGCCCCTTGAGCGCCAGGTGCACATTGTTTCCTTGGCTTAGTACTGGTTCAGGTTTGTTGTGGCACAAAGTTGACCTTGGTAAGGTGATAACTTAAAATCTGAAGCCTGCTTCATACATGATCTTTCATTATTTGGGAGACTAGATACCTTGAAATCGCATTTTCCTGTATTGCAAGAGGTTCCCAGTGGCAGCAGAAGCAGTGGAAAGAACACACCATTCTGACATGCCACCTCTCTCTAGATACAGTCCTGAGAAATAACACTTGAGCAACTCTTTAAAAGATTTAAAGTAATACATATTGTTGATAGGTAGAGCTATTTAAATTTAGCAGCAAAAGGCAATATAGATGCTGTGTTCCTCAGACCAGGGCTGGCTCTAGTCATATCAAAGAAGTGTTTCAGTTTAAAGCATTGTAAATTTAAACAGGGAAGACAGGTAGAGAAAAACAGGACTCCACACTGCCATCTGGTAGTGCAATGTTATATCTCACATACAATGCATATAAATTGCTTTTTCTTTACCAGTCTAGCTGAGTCCCAGGAAATCACTAGAAAGTGTGTACAAACATAAAAAGTTTAATTTTGCTTCTCAAAGTCTCTGGATCATATTGGTATAGGAAAGTCTTCCAGTTCTGCATTGTACTTTTAAATAAAACATCAAATACTATACAGCTGGTTTTATTTGATTAATAGTTTGAAATTATGTGTGGAAGGGAAGTCTGAAATTAGATTGTGAAATAATACCACTTGAGTCTCTTCAAGACTCACTTTGATGTGGCTATTTAAATTACCTTAAGTTAGATTTTCAAAAGTGTCTGTCACTTTGAAAGTGTGTTTCTTTTATTTAGGATTTCCAGGAGAACTGTTTATCCTCCTGTTTATTGTTATGTTTCCTTTCCTTTTTAGACTCAGAAGCTCAGACTTTGAAAGAACATCTCATTGATGAGTTGGATTATGTGTTGGTTCCGACTGAAGCCTGGAACAAATTAGTAAATTGGTATGGTTGTATAGAGGGTCAGAAACCAATAGTGAGAAAGGTAAGTGATAATGATCTTTATGTAACTTACATTGTTTTGCCACTTTGTGGAATCATGTGAATTATCTCTTGAGCTACCCAGAGAAATGAACACTATAAAGAATATTTAGGTGTCATTTAACTGGTGCATAGGATAATGATATATTGTGTGATGTATAAGGTTGAATAACTGGAAATACAGGGTAGAAAATGAACTGCTCTTCCCAGTATTAGGATGGCTCCTACAGTTTCAGAATGGCTTTACAGAATGTTTCTAGCTCCTTAGTAGAGGAGAAAGTTTCTCTTCAGTTGCCCTGTACTTTGTTGATTAGTCATTTAGCCAGAACACAGGATGAAGTTAAAGGGTGGTATCCAATTGTGTCCATCAGCTAGTGGGACTGGCTGTTCTCCTCTCCCTGCTACCCCTGTGGATCTCAAAAAACATTTTTGGAGGGTTGTGTGGAGTGAGGAGACTGGAGCAGGTTAGAGAGTGGGTTGCCATGGGGAGGAGAGGAAAGAGAAGAACTGTTTACTCTTTGGATAGGGGAATACAGTAAAGGACACTCCACATGACCCTTCTACCAGGAATGCTTCTTTTCAGGGGAAGAGATAACGTATACTGACTTCAGAAACACAGCAGGACTCCAAGTAACTACACAATGCAGAAAATTGCTTTGTAGGCTGGATCTTAAATCAAATAGTTAACTGTGCAATAAATAATATATAGTACATGCTAATGCAATCTGGTATAATTTTAATGAACAATGTAGAAAAGAGCATGTGATATGTCATAGGAATAATTCCATTTTCAGAATAAGCTAAACATGCCCATATTGCTGCTAAAATACAGTATATGCTTTTTAAATGTAGGCCTTAAAAGGAATGTGCAAATGTAAAATAGGAAGGGTAATTCCCCTTTTTCTCCCTCCTCCCCCACAAAGCCCCCTTTCCCTTTTTTAGTTTTGTTTAGATTGCATTTATTTTAACTGTTTGATAAAAAGGTAAAGGTAAAGGACCCCTGACAATTAAGTCCAGTCGCAGACGACTCTGGAGTTGCGGTGCTCATCTCGCTTTATTTATCTACTTGCACTTTTTGGCGTGCTTTTGAACTGCTAGGTTGACAGGAGCTGGGACTGAGCAACAGGAGCTCACCCCGTCACGGGGATTTGAACCACCAACCTTCTGATCGGCAAGCCCAAGAGCCTCAGTGGTTTAGCAAATTGCTATGATCCATTACTGATCTTTCTTTTTTCTTTTATTGCTTTTATTATTGATTGAAATTGAAATGAAAAACAAAACCATCTCCCAAGTGTCTACCAAATGATTACATAACATTCATTCCTTTCCCTGAGCCAGAAGATTGTACCTAGTGTTATGTGTTGGACAGCCAGGCAAAAACATTGAGTATAAAGCAGGGCCGGTGAAGCGTGTGACCTATGGAAAGTTGACAGCAGGGGACGGCAAACCACCGTCCAAGGGCCAGATCCAGCCCAATTGCCCTCAGGATCTGGCCCGCGGATGGTCTGTGGATCGTGTGGATTCTGTTTGTTAATTTTTTCTTCGTTAATTTTTTTTCCTGCGCTGCCCTTTTTTGGGGGCGCCATTTTCACCCCTCTCCTCATACACCACAGCGCCTCCCCCCTCCTGGTGTAGAGGAGGAAGGGGAGCGGGCTGAGCACCATTTTGGGCAGCGCCTCTCAAGAGCCAGCCAGCCCTTTCAGGCTGCTCATCCCGCTGCCGCTGCTGCCAACCTCTGCCACTCGCAAGGGCAGGCACAGGAGCTGCAGTTGGCAGAGAGCAGCGCCTCTCCAGAGCCAGCCCGTCCTTGCACTGGCAGCACCATAGGTAGGCAGGGGAAGGGGAGGGCCTGGGGGAGAGAGGGAGAGAGAGAGAAGCCTCTGCTGCGTGTGTGCGTGCAGTCTGGCCCGCCACAAGGTCTGGGGTACAGTGAACTGGCCCCCTCCAAAAAAAGTTTGCTGACTCCTGGTTTACAGGGCCAGATAAAGAGACCTGGATGGTCATATTCAGCTCTCCTGTTTTGTTGTGGTAGAATTTTACAATCATGTTAATGGACTCCCCAATAAAAATGGAGCTTCAACTTGTCAAGGCATTTGATGTTCCAGTTTTGTGCCAGTGTTTCCCAACTCTCCAGAGCAACTTTGGGTAGGCAGTTTGAGGAAAAGAGATCTTGGTAAACCTGATTTTGCCCTTTGCTGTTTGGGTCTTACCAGGGTGGATTTGATTTAAATCAAATCGATTTAAATCATTATCCAGTAAGACTTGATTTAAATCATTTTTTAACAGAAAGACTCATTCTTGCTGGTATAATCTTAATATTTACAACCAAATGAAGGTTTCATTTTTGGAATATTAAATTTTCAGAGTAGTTTTTACAGTTATAGCAAAAATTACTGATTTGGTTATACTATTAGAAATACATAGACAGATGATTATGAAATTATTGTGAGGTTTAATAAGTTAACAGTTTATATTTGGACAACTTTTCTGCTGTACTTTATTGGAAGGAGAAAAATGATCATTTCCTTAATAACAAGTTAAACAATTTATTTAACTAAAACAATAACATTATAGCATATGTATCCATGTTTGATAACTGATGATGTTAAACATGTTTTTAAAAGACTTAGACTGAGTTTTAGCACACATGAAAAACTTAAAACAAATCCTTATTTCCTGATGAATAGCCTTTGGACTATAATGTAACTTAAATAGAAAACTATCTTTAGAAAGAATTTTTCCTCCAAAAGCATTTTATTTTAAAAATTCAATTTAAATTTAAATTTTGTTTATTTTATTTATTATTATTATTTTTAAAAAAGCATTGATTTTTATCCATCATGGGTCTTCCTCTTGGTTTGAATAGCTAAGAAGAATAGTTAACTATAACCGTTGGTTGGTGTTGACTTCAGTGGAGCTAATTTTGAAATAAACACACTTGGGATTGGGCTGTAGAAACCTCTGCAGGATTATCTGAAGCCACTTTGCCAGTTGTAGAACTAGAGTTAAAACCAAGGACTTCTGTTTTATCTGAAACTCTAGATGATGGCACTGTTATCTATCAGGCCAAGATATGGATACTTTGAGGCTGGAGCCTTTCAGTTTAGACTACATATTTGCTTTCAGAATAGTTTGTTGTACCTACTTTACAGGAAGCCTTTTCTTCCTAGGTTGTGGAGTATGGACTGTTTGTGAAGCACTGTAAAGTAGAAGTTTATCTTTTGGAGCTGAAGCTGTGTCAGAACAGTGATCCTGGTAATCTTATGAGCTCTTATTTCAGCAAAGCAGACACCGTTGGTAAGTAGCTGTTTGCTAACGCCACAACACACCTTGAAACACATCTACACCTAGTGGTGTCTAGTAATTTATTTAGATCATTAAATGGGGCAAGTATATTTTACCATTTTCTTTTTGCAAATTTTGTTTTCACAATCATCTGAAATTACTTCTTTTCCCCCTGTGAAATGGTGAATGCTTCTACTTATCTGATCCTCCTATAGCATTGCTAAACCACAATTTCACTCCAGATTTTATTATTTGTCCTTAGAACTGACAGTTACTCTTCAGCTTTAGATGCTTCTGCCATTGTTCAAACAATCCTACCAGCGACTGGTTATTTCAGTAGTAGTAGAATGTCAGCTTCAAATAACCCTAGCTGCATTTTAAATAAATGATTCCTTATATTTTAAAGTGATAATATTTAGCTATTCCAGGTAATACAGCTATAGTCAGAAATTAAATTTTACAGAAAATTGGTATGTACAGATACAGTTAATAATTCACCAGTGTAAAATAATCCAGAATTAGTATACACCTTCTTGTTTATTTAGCACTAGTAAATAAGCACGTTTTTACACTTTGAACGAGCCACACCTCCCAACCTAGTCAAAATACAGCTTGTAATAACTTTGTCTCTTTCTTACCAGCTACTATTGAAAATGAAATGCGAAAGCAGTTTAATATTCCTGACGGAAAAGAAATTAGGCTGTGGAGCAGATACATGAGTAATACTTATGAGCAGCTAAGCAAACTCGACAGTACTATACAAGATGCGGGGCTCTATCAGGGACAGGTAAGAAGTTCAAATATCATATGTTGTATTGCTCACCCTGTGGGCTGTCGACAAGACTGCAATTTGTAAAAAAAGTTGCAATGGGAAGAATTCAAGGTAATACTATTGGTGTCATTCTGTCAGGGCCAGCTTTCCAGCTTGCCAGACAGAATTATTCCTCCTCACCACCACCTTGGCATGCTGTTCTGGGGGTTCTTCTGACACCTGTACAAGCCAATTTTGGGGCACGCGGGGGGGGGGAGCCCAACTGTGCTAGCAAGAGCTCTTGCTAGTAGGACTTGGAAGTTGGATCCCATCCCATGTGATTATGAAGTCATACAAAGTATTCTGAAATTTGAGCTGGTTTCTCAACTTTTTGGCCAGGTTCAGTCAAACGCCAGCCGTTGTGGAAGAGCTACTGCATTCACAGCCTAGCAGCAATCATATAGAGGCAGCTGCATGTGGTGGCTGTTCCTGCCATTGTGTGATTTGTGGGCCTGAAAAAAACAAGTTGTGATCAAATTGCCACAGTAGTGTGAACAACTCTTCTGTGTAGATGCTGATTCCTTAAATGGTAACTTGTAAATGCTGCTGAGTCAAAAGCCTGCCAGAGCCTTCTGTACATCCTAAGGTGTTAGCATGGGGGTTATTTAATTGGGAATCTCCTGTTTTGTAAGCACTGATTTGCTTGTATTTTTCTGCACGGAACCAAAGAAAGCCCAGATCTATAAGATAGCACTCCCTTTACCTAGTTTTACTATTATTTTTCTTTAACTTTAAAGGTAGTGTTAATAGAAGTGAAGAATGAAGATGGTACGTGGCCCAGGCAATCTCAGACAAAGTAAGTTTTTCTCTATTTATGCTTTCCGTTTCTCTATCTCAGTTTAGACATTGCAAAACCTGAACACCAAACCATGGTTTTGTGATGTCTGAATTGTGCCTCTGTCTAACTTTGGGTCTGAGAGGTGTCTCTATCACTGTTTAACTTGGCATGACACTGACTATTTTGCTTCTTTCTCTATTCTGTTATTATTACATTGTGTTTATTGTCCTGTTGTATTTTAACTTGTTAGCCACTTTTGAGAGCTTTCAGGCTAAACAATGAGATAGGAAATGCCCTAAGTCCTGTTACACTCATTTTTCTAAATTGAAGTAGCATTGACTTAAAAAATAAGTACCAAAAACATACTTTAACGTTACATTTCTACCTCTCATAATCTTGACGGAATTAATCTTAGTTTTACAATATTGAAATAATACTTTCCTTAAGAGGTAGTGAAATGCGCAGCTCAGTTTTTTAAAAAACAGTGAAGAACTATCCTATGCACTGCTTCATTCTGAACTGAGCCTGTTGCAAAGCCATCTACAATTTAAGCCACATGTAAGGATTCACCTAACCTGCCCCTACAAAAGATTTCCACAGGGCTTTCGTCCCTTCTGCCTCCCACATGCTCCACAAATTGGCTTGGGAAAGATCAGAAGAACTTCTAGCACAGTACATGACTTGCATAGGTGGAATTATTGGAAGATGAAACATTGAATTCCACCCAATGTATCAGGCATTACAATTCTTACTGGCCCCTGACTACAGCTGCAGGTAGTTAAAATGTTAGAGTATTTACAAATCACTGGTAGATTATGGCAAGGAATATCTATTCTACTTAAGCCGTCTTTTTCAAAAGATAATCATTTCATTTAGTAGATTAATTTTAGTCCTAAAAATCCTGTTGGTTGCCTTCTGTTCTGCAGGGAGGGGACAGATTTACGCTATGAGCATGCAAATATGAATCCGAGGCCTTGTACCAGTTAAGATTAGTAGTCTTGCTAGCCTAGTACTAATTACAATGATTGAATGTGGATCAAACACTGATTCAGAAGTATGGCTCTTTCCTAGCAGTTATTTGGAGAACTCTTAATCAGCTGGAATGCAAACAGCGCATCATATCATGCGCTCTGCCATGTAAGAAATTGCCTTGTGTAGCTTAGTACCACTTGCATAAGTTCTCCTTTGTATTTTACAATAGGGAAATTCCATACAGAATGAGGGGTGAGTACTGGATTTCTAATTCCATTGACTCATAAACAACCCACCTCTTCAACCTGAAGTCATTCCTTCTGGGTTGGAAATCCAGAAATAAACAGTTTAAAATAGTAAACTAAACTAAAAAGTCAGTTAAAGACTCTCAAGAATTTTTTTTAAAAAACAACAACAAAAACCCTGATGGGATTTTTACTACTTTTTTTCCCTCCCAGATCAAGCACTGCAACAAGCAGAAATCTAGCTACCTCTTCAAAATCATCAGCAAGCTCTTGCTCCTCTTCAACCATAACAAATGGTGATAGCAATAACTCCTATAGTTTGAACTGCTCCAGCCTTGGCAAAGGGTAATAGCAAGAATGTGTCTGCTGTTTTTTATGTAACTTCCTTTCTCTGAATACTTTTATGCATTCTCTTCTTTATTAAATAAGGTTCTGCCCTGAAGCATTCATGGCTCCACTGTTCGGAAGCTAGCTATGTATAACTTTAAACTTAACTTCAGTTTCATGGCCCTCCGGCATTTTTTTGCCAGTTACTGTTCCATTAAGATGTATGAGTTCTGTCAATTTTTCCTATAATAGCACTTTATCATACAATAGCTGATAGGAAAAAAATGCCACTCTAAAATAGTTCATTAAACCAGATTGCGTTCTCCCATATAAACCTACTAGGACATTTGAGATCTCCCTTGGAGGCTGTGCTCTCAAGGCGCTTGCCCCTAGAGGTGTAGTGAGTGATTATTTGAGGCAAGGCTTCCCAGTCACGGCACCAAAATTATGGCAATTTCTGTCAAGCAGATTCACATTGCCTTTTCCTTGATACGGTAGTTTTGAAATGCCTGGCAAACACAGTATTACATTGGAGGATTTTAGGACCCTCTGACTTCAGTTCTTTTTATCCTGCTTGGTTGGGGTTTTTTGTGGTGGTGGTGGTGGTTTTTCCTAACTTTAGTTTTAGTCTTGGTTTCGTTTTTCATTAGCATAATGTTCTGGAAACCAAAAAGCAGGATATGAGTATTTTAAGCAAAATATAATATCAGTAAAGTGAGTCTCCACCTACAGTATGAAATGGTACAGTCAGGCAGCAGACTGGCTACCTCATAATACTTGATTGTGAGAACTAGGTCTGAGGGGGCAATTTTATAATGTAGGCATGTGTATACTATAGATCAGTTGGCAAGTTTGCTTTGTCTTAAGTTTGAGTTACGTGTTTAATTGTATTGTGTTTTTATATTCTGTAAACTCGCCATAAAATTTTGATGCAGGGCGGGTAAGAAATACAATATACATTATTTTTGTATAGCTGTAAAATAGTTTCTTAGCCGAAATATTCTGCAACCTGTTATCATATTCCAGTATGTTTTCCCCCTCCAGAGGTTCTAGCTTTTCCTGCAACTCCTACAACAACAGGGAGAGCCCTCCTCAGTCACAGCCTGGTCTCTGTGGGCTCAGTAACCTAGGAAATACATGCTTCATGAATTCAGCTTTACAGGTAAAGAACTGGTACAATCTGCTGAAGAACCTAGAGTGGTAGGCACTGTACTGCTTGGGTTTTATACTACCCCATCTTAAATTTTATAACTGTTAGGTTCCCATACAGCTTGGAAAACCTACATAATGCTGTGGGTTACAATGGAAGATAGAAAGCTGCATTTTTCAAGTGTCAGAACCCTGGTCTCCGTATTGCCGATATGTTATAGACCAAACCCTGGCTCCTCTATGAGTAGCACAGGAGCAGCAGGGCCAAGGGAGGAGCAAAGTGGCTATACTTTTTGCTGCGAGAATCCACTCACTCAATCATACTTAAGCCATTGTTTGGATTAGCATTGTGTGCAAACCAGGCTGCTGACTGGCAGCAGCTCTCTAAGGTTCAAGGCATGAAACTTTCTCAGCCCTATATGATGATGCCAGGGTTTGAACATGGAGCCTTCTGTATACACAACAAGTGGTCTCCCCTGAGCTATGACCCTGTCCTCCCAAAATAGAAATAACCCAGCTAGTACATATTACTCAGTTTTCTTCTTTCAGCAGTTTCCATATGTAATATTTAATGTAGCTTGCAATACAGTTCTGTATAGGGTGATTTTGCTGACTCTAGTACAATTTTAGTTTTCATTGGGCAGAAAATGGGTTGTTGGCATGGCTTTCTTTTTTATGTATTTCTTGTGTCTGAATGTTCTTCTAGTGTTTGAGTAACACCCCTCCACTGACTGACTATTTCTTGGAAGATGAGTATGAAGCTGAAATAAATCAGGAGAATCCTCTGGGAATGAGAGGAGAAATTGCAGAAGCATATGCAGAACTCATCAAACAGATGTGGTCTGGGAGAAATTCTCACGTGGCCCCCCGCATGTTCAAAGTAAGTAGACTTTCTGTCATTGAAACACAGCTAGAGGAAGTGACATTTTTGGTTTCATGCTTTCTGCATGGAGCTTTAATGTTAGCCCTTGGGGAAATACTTTCCCCATCTTAAAATGTCTAGCTGGGTAGCTTAGGTTGAACTTAAAAGAATGCTAAGTATGATATGGACTCCTGAGTGCTACAGTCCCTTAATAATTCACTGAATGTTGCATATTGCAGGGAAATGCCATGCATTCTGTTTAGAATAGTTGTGGTTTCTAAAGCTTTTACTGATATAATTTGATTTTTAACAAGATTTTAGGAGTTATCTGACTTCTTTTTTGAGAATTGTTTTATCTGTTTACTTTTTATTGTTTTATACCACTGTGGTATGTTGTAAAGTGCAATATTCCAAATAAAATTGAGCTGCAAGTTAGCAACTTTATATCTCTCTGAAATTAGTTGTACACTGAGTTGCTTTTGAAACAGTTGTTAAAATTGTACACATGATCTTCAAATCACTTGTTGATATTCTGTATTCAAATAAGTAACAAATGTACTTTATTAGCACGTTTGTGAGTTTCACAGAATTTTACATGGATTAACCATACGGCAACTGTATCTGATAACTGTTATCCAAAGAAACTGATATGAGAGGAGACTTCGTACATCTTGTTACCTTTTTGACATTAGTTTATTGCTAGGAATTAGCTAATCTTCATTGAATTCTGCAAATGAGGCTAGAGTTACTGCTTTTCCCTTCACTGCTCACATGCATCTTCCTAATGTTATTTTTCCCTTTCTTTTTTTAATTTTAGACCCAGGTTGGCCGCTTTGCTCCTCAGTTTTCAGGGTACCAGCAACAAGATTCCCAAGAGCTCCTGGCCTTTCTTTTAGATGGTTTACATGAGGATCTAAACAGAGTAAAAAAGAAACCTTACTTGGAGCTGAAGGATGCTAATGGCAGGCCTGATTCGGTATGCTGCATAGACATTCCACTGCTTGGAGTTAAATTGTGGTATAAAAGAGTAACACTCAACATAGGTTACAAATTATTTTTGCCCATCCAGTTCCTTTTTTTTCTTACTGAGGATGTCTTTTTGTTAGCAAATGAATCCATGAATCAGTCCACTTGGGACCATTGACTCTTAGCCAGGCTTCAACAAATATGCTTCCCATTGTGAGTGTGGCCCTGTGGTCTGATAAGCAGGTAGCCTTCCTCCTAATTTTGAACATGCATACATGGACGAGATTGTCCAAGCAGTTGCATGGCAAAATCCACTAGTGGCAGGGTGATGCTATCCTGTCCTAGCTGGATCAAATTAGTGGCACATACTAGAAAGGCAGAGTCCAGATAGGCGATGCAGGATCACAACAGGCATGGCAAAGCACAGTTTGTCAGGACACTGGACAGATCACTGTGACTGATGCTGGCTGGAACTTAACTACAGTATTGAGATCACATTAGCTGTTTTTACTTGTGGCCAGCCAGCTATAACTATCCTTCCTCTCATTAAGAACATAAGACCTGCACAGCTAAAGCACCATTATCGGGGAAAATTTTTAAATATTTGATGCTTTATTATGTTTTATATATTTTGTAAGCCACCCAGATTGGCTGGGGAAACCTGAGAGCCAGGTGACCCTTTCCAATTGCAGTCAGTTGCTGTAATCCTCCTTTCTTGGCCCCGTTTAAACCGAAGTAGAACAAGGGCTTGAAAGGCAATGACATAAATAATTACTTGGGGACAGTGCCCAATTTAAAGTTTCACTTAATTGGGCTGCTTTTCCATTGCAGGCCTAGTTTTTATTACGGTAATTTTGAGAATTGATGCCACACATACACACGCGCGCACACCCCAGTGTAGTGTTTATTAAATAACTGCCTTTGCATGAATGTCACAACGATCATAGTTGGAGCAAACATTGCCGAAAGCTACATATTTCTTAGGTTTGACTGTACATTACTAATTGCGCTGCAGTACTGCTTAAGCAGTTCCTTGCTCACTTGCTAGAAGCGACCTCTAATCTGCCTTTCCCTAGGTTGGGATTCACTGTCAGCAGCAGCCCTGCACAGAACACTTCTCCTCCCCTGTGTGCCCCAAATTCCCTCTGAAATTGGTTTGGGTGGTTGGGAGAACCCCCAGAACAGCAGGGGAAGAGGAGGGGCATTGTTCCATCTCGCAAACTGAAATGCTTAGGCAGACAGAATGTTTGTAATAGTGTGACATTGGAATTCCCTCCCTAGAATTGGATTCTCTCATACTATGCAAATTTCACCTACACACTAGGGTGCAATCATCTTGTACAGTCTGTTCTGTTCTGTTCTGTTGCAGGTCACTTGCATGTTGAATTACAGGTATACCAATAAGTGAATGATTTCATTGCATACAAACATAGTTGTTCAGCATCAGTTTGTCACATCACGTCCTTCTATTGTATTTCAATAACCTTCCCTACAGATAAAAGATGTTTCATCAGAACTTGCATCTTAATCTTTATACTGTGTTTCTGCTTCTCTGCAATGTGTTTTATTTTTTGCAGGTGGTAGCAAAAGAAGCTTGGGAGAATCATCGATTGCGTAATAACTCTATAATTGTAGATATTTTCCACGGTCTCTTCAAATCCACATTGGTCTGCCCCAAATGTTCTAAAGTTTCCGTGACTTTTGACCCTTTTTGCTACTTAACCCTTCCATTGCCCTTGAAGAAAGATCGAACCATGGAGGTTTTCTTGGTTTTTGCAGATCCACAGCGCAAACCTACTCAGGTAAGTAGAGGTTCATGTTGGTCTTTGTTATGAAAGACAGAAAAATCAGATTGTAGTGTTTTGTGCCCTCTGCAACTTACAAGAGGTTGCCTGCTTTTAGCATTACAATTCCGATACTAAGGGTCATTGTGTGATGCGTTGTACGCCTCCCGCCTGCTCAATGTACATAGAAACACACTCAGATATCAGGTTCAAATCCCATCTTCCCCATAAAGCTCACATGATCACCTTGAGTCAATTACAACCTCTCTTACCTACCTTTTCTAGTTACCTACCTACCTACCTTCCAGGATTGTTGTGAGGAAAAAATGTGCAGAGGAAGAGATCATGTACAACACCTTTACCTCCAACAGATAAATGGAATGAAATCAAATTTAAAATAGATATAGCTGGAACAAACATTGCTGTCTTAAAATACACAGTTCACAACAAGCCTGCCTACCCCAGCATGTAAAATGACCAGCTTTGCATTATATATGCATTATATATATATATCAGCATACGTACACGCAGAGATAAGATGCATCCAATACCCAATCTTGAGATCAGTTTTACAGAGACTCTGGGAAGGCAGCTAAGTCTGTACTCCAAGCATGTTCACCTGTGAGTAAGCCCAACTGAGCATAGTGAGATTGACCTCATCTGTATGTTTTGTGATCTACATGTTTGGAGAGGGAATCTGTCCAATCCATTTTTCAGCAGGTGAGATCCCAATTGCCAGTCATAGTACACGCAGGGAGGAGGGAACCCCAAGGATGTTCACACAGAAGTGAAGCCCTGGCCACAATTGCAGCCCAAGAATCAGAGATGACCTCTCTGCTTTCAGTCACCGCCTAGCAACAACATTCCCACAAAGAAACCTAATTGGCCTGTAATTATGGGCTGATAATTTTGGATGTAGTTTCCACTAAACAATCTTTCACAACCTAGTCTTCTGCATATTTCTGAGTCTTCTATAAACTGAATTTTGTTGCTAAGTGTCATAACTTATACCTCACAAACTACATAGGGTAGTATCTGACTAAATTGTACTCAGAGTAGATCCACTGAAATCAATTAAGTTAAGTCATCGGGTGTATATTGCATATGACTAATATTAGATATCAACAATAGTGACCCCCTTAGTAATAGTATTAATTGCTTCTTGGTAGATTGCAAGCTGAACCCCCAATACAGTGTATCTTTCTAGCTTTAGTTAAGAGTAAAAAATGCCAGTTTTTTCCTGTCATACCATTAGCTTTTTACAATCCCAGCAGTTCTTATAACAGGACAACATTTTTACATTTAAATTTATCCTAATGAAATGTAGTTTCTTCACAATTTTGCTTGATTGCACAAACAATGGTGGCTGCTTTGGACATAACAGTAAGCCAAGGGTAGTGGTTTGTTGCGCCTACTTACTAGCAGGTAGGAGAAAAGCAGAAGCTGCGTTCACAGTAAACTGTTAACCATGTCTGACTATAACACGCAAACACACCCTGTATCAAACCTGGTTACTGATGCTGATCCTTAAGTCTAGAATTGTGTTCCTTACCAAGGTTTATTTTGCCTAGTATAAGTTTAATGTTCTGCTTTTTTCCCCAGTACAAGGTAATTGTGCCAATGATGGGGGCTGTATCTGACCTGTGTGATGCACTCTCAAAATTCTCCGGGGTTCCTGCAGAAAATGTAAGGCTAAATAATATTGTGTGATAAATAAAAGGGTTCAGTTTTCTACAAACTGTTATTAGGTAGACTGATTCATGAATTAGTTAAAAATAACTTTAACAAACATTATAAGAAGGTGACTTGATATTGTGTATTGGGCACATCTTTTAAAAGGTTGTAAATTTTTCTTTTTAGGGCAAGAAGTGAGGAGTCACGTTCCACTTTCCACATGTTAAAATGTTTGTCTATACAGAAACTTAGATGAAAACAAACTGTCCTATTTCAGATAAAAACTCTGACAAGAACAGCTTGTCAGCATGAGCCCATTCTCTGACCTTGTCCTTTTTCTGCTTGCCCTAATACCAACTATGCATAGCACTCATTTTGAAAGATGTTCCCAAGTGCTTGAAGTGAGCATTGGGTCGAAATGAGACCTTGGATCCTTAGCACTGATAACTCCTTGATAATTATGTACATTCTACAAATATTTAATAGGAAGGGCATTCTTAGCAGAATTTGGTATCGTGTTGCAAATGTTCTGTATGTAGTTGAGAATTGATCTTGTGTAATAATGAAGAGTTCTTTAAACTGGAAAGATTATCTATTTCTATATCTTATATAGCTCAGTCTGTAGATCATGAGGCTGTTAATCTTAGGGTCGTGGGTTCAAGTCCCACGTTGGGCAAAAGATTCCTGCATTGTAGGGGTTGGATTAAATGAACCTCGTGGTCTCTTCCAACTCTACAGTTCTATGAAATCGTCTGGTGAAAGACATCATCTTAATGTTTTATAATCAGATAATATTTAAGAGGAAAGAAAGAAAAATAACAATTGCTATTCTAATGGGCTCTTTGAGAGTGTATTTGATGATGGTGATCTCATGCAAAACTTAAGGGATATTCTAGAAACCAGACCAAATAAATGGGGATTTGAGGGAATAGGAGGGAATCCTATTCTGGTTAGTGTATTCAGGTCAGTTCCCACCTACTTTTTTTGTCAGCTCCCTAATGTATATGATAGCCAACCTTAATTATCTTGAATTCAACTCTGTAAGCTGAAAATGGTGGAGAAGGTGATTGAGCTGGGAAAAGAACACATTTGGGATTAAGGAAGTAAGAAGAAGCAGTGGCTAGGCTAGTACCCTTGGGGGGAGAAGAAGAACCCTGTTTCATTCCACTACCTAACTGCTTATTATCAGATCAAAGTTTTTGTTGCCAGTGGTTGTTAGGCATTCTCTTTGCCATCCTTGCTTTCAAGCAGCTGCTTTTCAAATTATATTGCCCATTTTGAAATTTTAAAGAGATTTTTCTCTGGGCAAGCTATTAAAGCAACCAGTTCTATTCCTTCAGTTTTGGCATCTGTTTTCTTGGCAAACACAAGGAGTCTTAACTATTCCTCATCGCTGAGATCCAGTATATTGTACTAGATCTTTCATTTGACTACTGGTTTTTGTTGTTGTTGTTTTTTGCTTAGTCGGCTTATTTAGGGACGCGGGTGGTGCTGTGGGTTAAACCACAGAGCCTAGGACTTGCCAGTCAGAAGGTTGGCGGTTCGAATCCCCGTGACGGGGTGAGCTCCCGTTGTTCGGTCCCTGCTCCTGCCAACCTAGCAGTTCGAAAGCACGTCAAAGTGCAGATAGATAAATAGGTACTGCTCCGGCGGGAAGGTAAACGGTGTTTCCGTGCGCTGCTCTGGTTCGCCAGAAGCGGCTTAGTCATGCTGGCCACATGACCCAGAAGCTGTACGCTGGCTCCCTTGGCCAATAAAGCGAGATGAGCGCCGCAACCCCAGAGTCGGTCACAACTGGACCTAATGGTCAGGGGTCCCTTTAACTTTACCTTTACCCTCGGCTTATTTAAGCATATCTCATGAGTCACTTGACACCAAACTTCCTCTTGGGGTTGGACTAGATGATCCTTGGGGTTCCTTCCAGCTCTACAATTCTATTATTCTGTGATTGGAGAATATTGAAAATGCCTAGGATAAATCTTCAATATTTTTCTTGAACTTGGCTTATATTTTGATTATCATTATGCTATTCTGACTTCCATTCTCAACTACTTCCTGTTTTTAGATGGTGGTGACAGATGTTTATAATCACCGATTCCACAAAATTTTCCAGATGGATGAAAGCTTAAGTCAGATTATGCCAAAGGACAACATCTTTGTGTGAGTAACCGGTTCTTTGGGAAGAGTAGAGATAAGAAACTTCTGCTATGAAACATTTGAGTGTTTAGCCTGAAAAGATTATTTGGTACCCACAATTTATGTAGGTGATCAGTAGTTCTTACATTGTGTTGTATGCTGTTCTGATGAGATATCATGTGGTGTGGGACACATATTGTTTAATTAGTAACCTTTGAGGTGTTTGTGTGCTGCTATTTTCCTCTTGGATTTTTTATTGTTTAGCTGTGCAGCTGCCAATAGATTCTAGAAAACATTGGGGCTATGTTACATGGAATGCTAAATCTCCACTGAAATTTACTAACGTTTTTGAAACTTAAAAGAGCATGAAAATGTTTACATTTACATTGGGAAATCAGGCATGGAGAACTTGTGACAATTCGAAACTAAACCTTAAACTTTGGATTCTAGTTTTAAAGTTAGCTGTAAGCCTGCCTCACATACACCTACCCCCAACTTCCAGTGTGTCTGCAGGTATTGTTTTCTGAGTATCTGTCATGTACACATTCCTATAAAGTTGTGTATATATGAAATGTTGGTGGATAAACATCATGAGCACTACCTTGTGCTTCTCTTGTCAATCTTTTGGGAATGCACCAGTAAAACTGATCCTGGAGTTGGTCAGTTTGGGCAAGTTAGGTGCAACATTTATTTATAGTAAGTGGATGGGGCTTGTTCATCACTGTCAAGTAAGAAATGGCTAGAACAGAGACATTTTAAAAGCAGTATATTTTGACATCTTACAATGCACCTCTTTTTAAGAAGGTTTTTTGTGTGTGTGTATACGGTATACATGCATGCGAGCACACATACACATACTGTATGAGAATTGCATTTTGGATTGTGTTCCCTTTGCATTGGAGCTATGAGTACAAATATGAACTATAAAAGATGAGCCCTTAACCTAAGTTCCTGGCAACTGGATATGATGGCAGAACATCACAAATCCAACTAAATTTATCTATTTTTAAATTCCTAAAAACTCTCTGTATTTAGTTAGGACTTCATTAGATATTTGTTAATGGCAGATTGTTTTGCAGTTCTTTAATAGGAAACTTCAAAATAGCTAAAGTAAAGCAGATTGTGAAATTAGATTAGGAGAAGTGGTGGTAGTGGCAGTACAGTGATTGACTATTGATATCAAGTGACAGTGAAAACTTGTTGGTGGCAATAGGAGGGTGTGGCTTTGTTTTGCGTAGTATTTATAGAGCTGCATCATTAAGCCTCTCTAAAATGATAACATGGTTTTGTTAAATACTAGGTAGGTTCAGAATAAGAACTCACTCATCCACAACTTGATTGTGGAGGATAAAGAGGCCAGCCTAGCATAACTAAGACTTGGGTGGGCCTGATCTCACCCATCTCTCTGACCATTTACTTGGTGCAACAGCAGGTCAGACTTGAGTGCTGGGGATAGAGGTACAGTGGTACCTTGGTTCTCAAACTTAATCCATTCCGGAAGTCAGTTCCAAAACGGAAGCGTTCCAAAACCAAGGCATGCTTTCCCATACAAAGTAATGCAAAATGGATTAATCCGTTCCAGACTTTTAAAAACAACCCCTAAAACAACAATTTAACTATCTCACGAAACCATTGAGCCATAAAATGAAAGCAATAATCAGTGTACTTTAATATAAAATAAATAAGACAGTATTGTAGATGATAAAAATTAAAATTAATTTTTTCCTCTTACTGCACTGACGATAGTCATTGTTTGAATGGGGGGCTTTTATCCATTTTCGCAGTCACAAAATCAATCAGTAGCTGAACTGGGTTCTACACAGTCACAAAAACAAATCAATCAAAAAAGTCTCAAAAACAAAAACACAAAATAAATAGCAAAAAAAAGAGAGCACCAAACTTAATCCATTCCAGAAGTCCGTTTTATTTCCGAAATGTTCGAAAACCAAGGTGTAGCTTCTGATTGGTGCAGGTTCCCCAGAAACACTTCTGAAAAGCATTAGAAAACTGGAACACTTACTTCCGGAGTTTTGCCGTTTGAGAACCAAGGCGTTTGAGAACCAAGGTACCACTTTATTGACATAGTTCTTAGAATTTCAGTGCAGCTCACTAGTACACCTCTTGCCCTCAAGGCAGAATGAGAATGTCTTTACCTGATGTTGGGCCATAGAGACAGATTAGGGGTGCTGCTGGTATACCGTCCACCCTGTTTCCCAACAGCCTTGATGGCTGTGGTCGTTGTGAAAATAGTATTGAAGGAACCCAGGATGATTGTCCTGGGTAACCTTCAGTGTGTGTGCCGAGGCTCTCAGGGCCAGTTTTTGAGTTCATGGTCTCTGTGGTAACCATGCATCTGTCTCATCTATCTAAGACGTGGTAGAACATAGCTTGGATCTTGTCTTTGCTTCAAGTGGTGAAAGTGGTAGTGTCTGTCTCTTTTTGTGGAGTAGGGCGTGGGTGGGTTCTACAACACAGTCATCATGGTCAGACCACTTTCTGGTAAAGTTTGGAATTGTGTCACCTACATCCCCCCGCAGGGGTGGAGGTCCATAGAGATTAATAGAATACAGTGGATTCCTGAATGTGATGCAGGAGTTTCTGGTGGATAGGGTAAGTGAACCTGTCAAGGCCTTGGTCTCACTATAGAATGTCAAGATGAGATGGGCCACTGACACAAATCCTCCCAAGTGCTCTCTTAAGTGCTGCGGAGTCCATTCAGTAGCCTGGTGCTTTGGGAGCTGCAAATGATGAAACAGGCTGCATTACACTAGAGTACAGGTGGTGGAAGTCTTGTTGAAAAGCAAACAAAATACTTTTTTTCTCTTAAAAATTCTTTTTAAGAGAGGTTTTACCTCTACAAGAGGTAAAACCTCACTTAAAAAGAATTTAGCATCTCGGTTCTAGTCTACCTAAAATGTTTGCTTGATTCTCTCCCCCCCCCCCTTTTAAAAAATATTTTTAATTGAGTTTTCCATGTATACTTCTTCTAACAATATATCTTTAACAATTTTTCGTATTTCCACCTTCCTCCCCTGGACTTCCCTCCTACTCCCGTTTTGTTTTATTTCCATATTGTTCACCCTGCGTATTGTTTCCCCAAAATTTTCCCAATACATATAGTCTTATTTTTTGTTGTATACAGTTGTGATTGTTTACTCAAACCCTGCCAATGAGTCCATTTCTTTATGTTGCCTCTTCATATATGTTGTAAATGGTTCCCATTCTCTTTTAAAGTCTTTGCTGTCCTTTTCATGTAATGCTTCTGTTAATTTTGCCAGTTCTGCATATTCCATAAGTTTTCCTTGCCATTGTTCTTTCGTTGGTATTTCTTCTGTCTTCCAAGTTTGTGCTAATATGATTCTTGCCACTGTTGTTGTGTACATAAATAATTCCCCCCTCCCCACCTTTTTTTTTACATCTTGGTCTAAAATTCCTAGGAGGAATGCTTCTGGTTTCTTAACAAAAGTCTTTTTAAACATTTTTTAAAATTCATTATATATTATTTCCCAATCATTTCTAATCTTTTTGCATTCCCACCACATATGATAGAATGTTCCATCTTTTTCTTTACATTTCCAACAAGTTTTTGATCCCTTTTTATACATTTTGACCACTTTCTCTGGTGTTATATACCATCTATACATCATTTTCATATAATTCTCTTTCAATAAGATACAATCTATAAATTTTAGGTTTACCTTCCACATCTTTTCCCAGTCTTCAAATTGTATATTATGACCTAAATCCTGAGCCCACTTTATTTGTGCTGACTTTACAATTTCATCTAACATTTCCCCATAAAGTTTGAAACTGTATAACTAAAACCTTTCTTATTGTCTTCCTTAAACTATTCATTTAATTGTCTATGATGTAACCAGCTTTGTAAAAAGATCTTCAATTCCTCATATCCTTTCAGCCTTAACCCTTTTTCCGCCTCTATTAATAATTCCCTATATGTCGGCCAATTTCCTCCCTTACTAAGTGGCTTTCATGCTAATGCTTCCACCGGCAAGAGCCACCATGGGGTTTTTGGTTCTAGAAAGTCTTTATATTTATTCCAAACTTTTATAAGTGTTTTTCTTATTATATGATTATGAAAACCTTTATGTTTTTTATCTTTCCCATACTATAAATATGAATGCCAACCAAATCTATTATCATGTCCTTCCAAGTCCAGTATTTCATCTCTTTTTAATTTAATCCAGTCCCGAATCCACGTGATGCAAGCTGCTTCGTAGTATAATTTCAAGTCTGGAAGGGAGAAGCCTCCTCTATCTTTTGTATCTATAAGTATTTTATATTTTATTCTAGGCTTTTTCCCATTCCAGGCAAACTTAGAAATATCTTTTTGCCAGTTTCTGAAGCAGACAAGATTGCTTATCCCCCCCCCCTTCTTTACATGCTTCATTAATTATGGCAGCTCCAAAGCAGTGCATGTTTGTGTAAAATGAATTCTAGATACAGTCCCTGATAGCAGTGAAGCTGGCAAAGACTCCTGACTGAGCCCCTGGCAAGACTCTGACAGTTAGCATACTGAGTTAGATGGATCAATGGAGGCTTCCTGACTAATGATGCTTAGACTTGAAAGAATGGATTTGAACAACATTTTGAACTGAAGCATTTGAAGTTCTTCAAATGTAAAGTGAACTTTTAAGGTTTATTAACAAATGTGATTAATATATTACACTCTCCCTTGTTTTGTATCTGCATTGCTCTTATACGTTTGGAAGTTGATAATGGCTTGTCGATGTAGCTCAGTTCCAGCATTATGCAAATTATACTTTGTTCTAATCCCATTTTAGAACCCAAATCATGATTTTGAGCTTTCAAGCATATATGCAGATGATGTTAGAGCTTTCATACTTGGTCTACTCAGCATTCCTATCTCTTGATACTGTAATCTTCTGGGTTGGAGTCCTGGCCATAACCATGGTTTGTCAACTCGAGTCATCATACCCAACTCTAGTTAGGACAAAGCACAATTTGAAAACACGTTTCAAAACAGGATTGTCTTAATTCTCATTTGCTAGCCTACCACAAACCATGGTTTGTCATTTCAGCTATTAGTGGCCTCATTCGCATGTATCTACCCATAGGTTACAAACATCTTCTGAGGTCCTGTTGGGTGTCCCACTACTTAAGGATGGTGTGCAGTAATGCAAGGGTGGACCTTTTTCATGGCAACACCCAGATTACTAAAGCTTAGTTTAGTGTTACATGTCCAAATCTTAGGGTCATGTGGTCCCCTCCATTTTCCTCCAGTGTAGTCACAAGAGAATCAGCTTTCAGCTTAATAATAATAATAATAATAATTTATTTATACCCTGCCCATCTGGCTGAGTTTCCCCAGCCACTCTGGGCGGCTTCCAATCAAGTGTTAAAAACAATACAGCATTAAATATTAAAAACTTCCCTAAACAAGGCTGCCTTCAGATGTCTTTTAAATATAAGGTAGCTGCTTATTTCCCTCACATCTGAAGGGAGGGCGTTCCACAGGGCGGGCGCCACTACCGAGAAGGCCCTCTGTCTGGTTTCCTGTAACCTCACTTCTCACAATGAGGGAACCACCAGAAGGCCCTCGGCGCTGGATCTCAGTGTCCGGGCTGAACGATGGGGGTGGAGACGCTCCTTCAGCTAATAATAGTTACTCGTTATGTCTAAACCCAGACAAGCTGTTTACCGTTAGAGACTCAAATTTCAAATTGTGGTTCATGATCCTGTCTATTTCCTGAAAACATCGTTAATAGTAAGCACAGCTTGGATACAAGAAGTAATCTTGGTTAGCTGAAAAACGAAGCAAAAGTTTCCTCACAGCCATGCCCGAGGATGTGAGGGGATTGGGATGCAGTACACAAAGACACTAAATTAGTGTAACACTAACTTAGGGTGATGTTGCCCCTGTTTGGTGGAATAGCATTCCTGTTGAGATATGGCAGGCAGCCACTATCTGCACTTTCCTGCCAAAATTGAATATGTTTTTGTTCCTGTGATAAACTCGCACCAATGCATTCTAAACCCTTATATATGTAGCAATTAAAATGTAGGTGCCTGTAATATTTCTACTTGGAGGGCTTGAAGCTTCAGAATGTGCATGATGTAGACCTGGAAAATGGCACAGAGCAAAGATTACCTCTGTTCCTTAAGGCAACTGTGGTGATCAAAAATGAATCCCTCCACCCCACAGTTTTTAAGTGAGAGGGAAAAGTTAGGTGAGCTGATCACCAATCTCCAGAATCTCATCTGTTTTGGAACCTGAATTGTTCTATCATGTTTGCCTTTTTTCCTTTATCAGTTGTGCTATTTTTGACACCGTATTGCAAATATCGGAAATCACTTTTTTTCAGTAGCTGGGAGCTAACAAAGAATTTCCAGTATTAATCTGTTAGCTGAATTGCTCTCCAGGTGTATTGCATACATACTTTAACCAGTTATTAGAGGATTAGTTAATGTGGTACTGGTAGATGCGTTGGAGGCATTCATAAGTGGCAGGAGGATGTAAAGTTTGAGTCCAAGCATTTATAAGAACATGGTGGTCTAGCAGTGTTGCTGCCTGGAATCAGCAATTCTTGGGAAAGTTGCTTCTCCTACTGAATGTTCAGTTGACAGATTGTAATAAAGGTGATCTGCAAATCAATCTGGCAAAACTACATCAACATGCGTCACTTGTGCTGAATTCCCCCAGGCTAAACTAAAAGGGGCATTCAGCACTCAGTGCAGACACTTACTATTTTTTCCCCTTAGGTCCCATGATGCTCCGCCCCAACTAGGCTCCTGCTCCGATGTAAAGCCCCAGCATGTGCCATGATGGTGATATCACATCACCCAGGATCCTGCTGGAGCATGGAGCCAGCCTACAAGGGGTCAGGTAAGTGTCTATCATTGCACAAATATGCAAAGTTTTTGTTGGGTTTTTCCTTCCCAGGGGAAGCATCTTGGGATATGAGGCTGGAGAGATTTTATATGTTTGAGTGCCTTTGTTATCTTAGCCTGGATAATGGAGGCATTCAGCATATATGTATAAAATTGATGAAACTTTGCCAAAATGATTTGCAGGTCACACTTAACTTACTGACATCAACTGTCAGAATATTCTCATGCCAGTCACTTTACTCTGGTTTCCTGCCCACCTTACCTTGCATAGTTTCTCTACCCTTGTTTGCTTGGAACTGGTAAAAGACTGAATGGTTATGGAGATTTTGAACGTAGTATCTGAAGTACAAGATTTATCCTATTCTTCTTTCTGATAATGGGTTTTGGATGGGTGGTGGAATACAACTGTAAACTAAGATAAAATCTGACCCTAGAAATGTTCCTTCCTTCGAGATTATACAGCCTGAAGCAAAATAGTTTTGAGTGATTCTGTTCTTTGCTTTAGAGCAGGGTTGGGTAATATTTTGGGACCTAAGGGACACATTCACTCCTAGCCTACCCGCTGAGAGTCACATAGCAGCAGTAGGCATGGTCACTCCCACACACTCACATATACACACTCACCCAGGGTTTACATAGGCAGGCAGCTCCCCTCTTTAGTTGATCCATGCAGATTAGATGAGGAGGAAGGGTTATCACCCATTCTCCACTCTTCAAATAACTGATCTGATGACTGAGGAAGGGATCATTTGTAGCCACATTTGGATGCTGGGCTATGCTGTCTACTTTGGCTATTTTTTTCCCCTTTTTGCAACTGTGGCCAAAATTGGTTGGTCTTGGGGGGTCTAGAAAATTTTTTAAGGCCAGTGTCTGAATCTAACTTAATTGAAGCATAATTCAGATTAATCTAAATTAACATTGTTAAAGAAGTCAGAAAAATAAGTCAGGGCTAAATCTAGAATGAACTTTTTGTAATTTGGGTCTTGAGTAAAAAAAGAAAGAAAAACAATATGTAAAGAACAAAGTACAGTAGCAACTTTGCACATTAAGCTAACCAATAATACCCATTGAAGCTATATTTTCATATCAATAATATTCTATTTAGGGTTATTGTGGAGGTTGTTAATAATAGTGGGTAGTTGCAATGTTTATGTACTTAGGTGTACAGTTGGTTGGTTTGTTTGTTTTACTTACGCAGTATCAATAGGATTTGAAAAATCTGGATGAATTCACAGACACCAAACGTTGAGGTACAGCAAGAGGAATACCTCCCTATATTCATGCATACAGATTGTTTGTTTACTTTCAGTGTGAGAGGCAAAAGGCTTTTTGTTTTGTAACCTTGGTAGGTACAATTCCTCAGTTTTGCCACTCAGAGAAGTGGTGAGGAATCACTACAAGGCACCATTCTGAGTAGGGCTACTACTGCATGCATGGTGGAAGTGCTAGTAGATGGGAGGACTTTCATATTCATGGGAGGTGTTCAGAGAAGATACAAGTTGCAAGTGTTGCAATAATGAGGATGCTTGGTCTGCTGCTGTTTATTGGAGCTGTGCCTGAGGGAACAGTACTCCACTTCTTCACTTTCTTTGTCCCAGATGAGTTTCACAGGTCTTTTCCTTTTTCCCTATGGGTCCTGTACTCTCTTTCTCATTCTTTTGATCCCCTCCTCCCAATCTTTATGCACCCTTCAATCACCTGGTTCTCCTTGACTCCTAAAAAAAATCCTGGTTCCTAGCAAACTGATTTATTGTTCCAGTACTATGTCATACAGCATTAAATTTTTCATGGCTCTAGTTGTTTGTTTAACGGGTGTTTGTGAATGCCTGTGGGTACAAGTTACTGTCTTGGTTAACATCATAGGACTGATCGCTAGATCTTTTTACATTGCATGTCTGCAGGCAGGGCCCTCATTACCTGGTAACTTTTGACACTTTCTGAATACAACCGTATCTAATTGTTCAAGTAAAGGGAGAAGGAAATGGTTTATTCAGTCATGAGCTTAGAATCAGCTCCTATTTTAAGAACTGTGGTGTAGAATATGACTCTTCCAAGTGTGAATGCTTAAGACTGGCATGACACTCTTACCAGTTCTGAAAGGACTGAACTTTGCTCACTATTCTTCTCTCTTTTGTGCAGATATGAAGTTTGTAAGTCAACGGAAGATGGTGCTGAATGCATCACTCTTTCAGTTTACTTCAGAGAAAAGAAAGCAAGACAATCCAGTGCTGCTCCAGGGACTATTCTCTATGGGCAACCACTACTCATAGCTATACCCAAACACAAGCTTACTCTAGATCACTTGTACAATGTTATATTGGAGCGGATTAGGTGAGTACAGGACCTCTGTGGCATATAAGTTTACTCATTTCTAAGTCAATCATCTTCGTTTCTCCAATTACTCTACAATAGGATTGTTATTAGATGTTACTAGTTTGTGTGTGCCTAATTGTTATTGTTCTGCATCCACTGGTAGCTTTATCAGTATATGAGTTTTAAACTGCAAGTACTTCCATAGTTGTTGAATTTTCTGACAAATGTCTTGTATTAACTTGGTTGGCTGAAACTCTTCCTTTATATGAACCCAAAAAGAATCTAAGATCAAAGACCAACTTTTGGTTACTAGCAGCTATCAACCAGATACCTCTGAAAACTCAGAAGCGGCACAAGAAAGTCCTGGCCCTTATCTGTGTATTGCTTCAGTGTATACAAGTTGCAATAAGCTTCCATGAATTTCTCTTTGCTAAAAAAACTCCATCCCAAATCTAAACTGGTAGTCATCACACAATGCATGCTTAACTTAAGGAACTGAACTAAATTAGTTTGTTTATCTTGATGTTACCATATTTGTGAAAATGTTGATTATATTATAGCATTCTATATCCTAAGAGAAAACTCCTATGGTAATAACATAAACAATGAATCAGTGAAACATTGTAGGGGTTTGTGGTTATCATTTATGCTTTCATATCTCATATCTCAGTTTGCTTATTTCATATTTTCTTTTACATATCTTACCAATTTTCAAGGAAATTCAAGGGATTTAAGGATCGTTTATTTTATATGTGTATGATAATCATAGTGGGCGAGGAAATATTTCTGTACTTTCAATCTGGCTGCTTTCCTGATGAGATAGATACCCAACTCCCATCAACCCCAGTCAACATTGCGAACAGTTAGGAATGGTAGCAGTTGTAATCATCAACATCTAGAGGAGATTTTGCACTAATTGTTCTTTTCTCCTAATGTACCTGCCTTTCCAATAATGGGTCACTTGTGTCAGCGTTTAATGAAAAAAAAAATTTATGTGTTTCAGTCGCTATGTAAAAGTTTCCTTAAAAGAAGAATGTTCTGAAGGATGTCCAGATAGTGAGAATTGCAATGGCTCCAGTAGTGTGTCTGAAGGTAAATTATCCTAAGATGGGTATTATTTAGCTAAATCTCTGTTGTCTAAAGTAGTAGACATGACTCCTCAATAGTATTATACATCCTGTAGTACACGGGTGTCAAACACAAGGCCCGCGGGCCAAATCCGGCCCGCCAGACCTCGTCATGTGGCCCGTGTAGCCGCCGCCGGCCTTCACCTTTTATTCTCGCTTTTTCTTTTTTTTTTTGACACAAGAAAGCCACCTCTTCAGTGCGTGCGCAGCAGCCTACAAGCCAGAGAATGTCTGCCCTCTAGCGGCGCTTTAAAGTGTGCCATACTAGTGGAGTGTTGCCAACGTTACTGAGAGCAAGGGGTAGTTTCGAGGGGGACCCCGTGGTGGCAAGTCTGGGCAATGGCTGAAGGCGGGAAATGGAGAGGGGCGGGAATGGGGGTACCTTTTGCGTCTTTCGCCTCCTGCTCCCCCTTCGGCTCCATGGCAGGTGTACGTCAGTTGCTAAGCAACCGAATGAAAGGCGCGCCAAGATCCCTGGGAAGTTGAGTTCAAAACCTGCTTCGGCTAGGAGCGCCTGCGCAGCAGCAGCAGCATAGTAAGAAGTAACGTCGATGAGCAGCTTGCTCGTTTTTCTCCCCTTCCCCCTCCGATTACTCTAATATAATAATATACGCTGCTGTGCACAATGGAGACAAAGCTACAAATCTTTAAGGAATTCCAGGGGGAAGGAAATATTTATTTACTTTAGTCATTGCCACTTGCAAATGTATATAATGGGTAACATCGGTTTCTCTCCGTGCGTGTGAAATCGGGGAGTCCTATTGAGTTCAATGGGCTGCCTCCCAAGTGTGCTCGCTTCATTTAAAATAATGAGGATCGCGCCTTTAATAACTGCATTAACCGGGCAAAAGGGTTTTCCTTCCTGGAGGGGGGGGGGAGCCTTCCTTGCTAACTTTTAATTGTTACAATGCCTGCCAACATTTTTCTGGTAGGTTTTCTGTGTGCCGAGCAGAAAATCTGCCGGTGTGGCTACAGCGAGGGAAAAAGACGGCACCTGTTGAATTTCCTCTGCGGAGATCTTCCAGGAGGAGCAGGGAAATATCCCTCTTATGTGGTTGCCAAATGAGTGCCCGTCCACAGCTCTCCATTTTCTAATACCCATTTTGTTTTATTGGTGGGACGACCACATTGCTCCAGAGGAGCTAATATCTGCCCAATCCTATATACAATTAGGTTCCCTAAAATCTACATAGGATCAAACTCTTGCAACGCAAGATATGCCTGCTTAGACCGGCCCTTTGAGGGTGACCAAACTGTTGATGCGGCCCCCGATGAATTTGAGTTTGACACCCCTGCTGTAGTAGTATACAACCTTCTGTGCTTTAGAAATATTCTTCAAATAACACTATTAAGTATATTGCATGTTGTGATAACTTGCAAAGTTGGGTACAGACTCCTCCTTGGTCCTCTCTGATTTAGCCGCATTCCTTTCAAAGCTGCTGTTGCAATCATTTGCTCATTAGTTTTTCAGACAAAGGATATTATAAATGCTATGGAGGAACAACAAAAGTGAAAAACAATCTTTAAAATATGTTTCAGGTGATGTTGAAGAAATGGAACATCAGAATGGAGAGGAAGACAGTAAGGAGAAAATATCAGAAACAGATGCCTGCAAATCAGAGGACTGCATCCAGGATGACCTGGAAAAGGAAGGCCTGCATCACAGAAGGCATCTCTTTAGCTTCAGTCTTGTGAACTCTTATGGAACATCAGAAATAAACTCCCTTAATACAGATGGGAAAATCCTCAAGTTGAGTTGTAGGTATCTCCTCTAATTGTCATCCTAGACACACCTCATCTTTGGCAGATTTACATGATGTTATTGCTTTTCTTCTTTTCTTCTTTTCCAGCTCATGCAACTCTAGCTATTGATTGGGATTCTGACACCCGAAAGTTGCTTTTTGATGAACATGAGGCACAGGTGATTAGCGTTCCCCCACCTTTTAAAGGGCACTGCTGTAGTCTGGCCCCTAATAACTGTTGGCAGGGGGTTAGGCAAGATTATGTGGTTTATTCTGCCTTTGTACTTTGATAAAGGTACTGAGGAAATAGAGCATTGTCATAGAATATTGATAACAGGTCATTATCAGCACCAGCAGAGTGCCATGCACAAGGCTTCTCAAGAGTTGGTGATCAGCTGATGGTTCAGCTTTGTGCACACTGCTTACCACTGAGCTTTGCAAACCCCATTTTGGCTGACACAGGTCTTTACCTGTCTCACACTTGACATCATATGTGTGATTACAAAAACGGTATTGTACCATCTTTGTATGAGTAAAGTGTACGGCGGCATTACCAGAGAAGAGGAGGAGGGCAAAGAATCAAGCTGAAATAAAAGTTGTAGACAATTAGTACAGAAGGGTTTAAAGTATTCTCCTGTGTGGTGTGTTAATTTTTAGAAGGTTTAACATGCATCTTACACTTGAGGAAAAAACATAATGTATATTTCTTTTTGGTAGGCATTTGAAAAACACAACAGTATGTTTCAGCCACAGAAGAAGAAAACTACCGTAGCTCTGAAAGATTGCATAGAACTGTTCACTACTATGGAAACACTTGGTGAACATGATCCATGGTAGGTTTGCTGTGTTTTCGCATAGCAATAACATCTCTGGACTGTGTTTAGCAACTGACTAAAGCATGGATATTATCTATGCATTTTGCCCTGTAGGTCATGTAGAAAAGGTAGCTCAGACTGATTTCATTTAGTAACTTTTGAGGTAGCTTGATTTCACATGGTTAAATCATGTGGTAAGAACAGCGCTTGACCCATCCTGGAAAATATTAACTTCTTTGTACTACATGCATATAAGAATTATAACATGCTGTCAGCAGGAAGGCTTATATGATTATGTACAGTTGCATTAATAGCAATAATAGGGTCCAAACCTATAGACTAAGGAAAGCCTGGGCAAAAATACCTGTTTCAGGTAATCACCCTGTGATTATCTGTAGGCTACAGTGTCATGAGTAAAATTTCCCCAGATGATGTAAGTGATCTTACAGGTTTATACAGGCAGCTGCTATTTCCACAGAACTAATGTACTGCTGGGAAACTTGTGTAGGCCAGCCACATAGGCTACCCCTTCTATCTTTGGACATTGATAACTTTGCCTCAGCACACATACCTCTGTAGACTGGAGGATCCTTCAGCACAAATCTCTTCTGTTCCTCCCCATCTCTGGATGTGGGCCTTGCTTTTAAGCAAAACTTTCCAGCTTGCTATGCTGGACTTAACATGAAGCTACATTCTGGTATACTGGCGGATCAGACTACCCACTGGAAGACAAATTGGAGGCAAAAAGTGGCACAGCATTTTCACAGTGCAGTCTAGTTGGGGGCTCCTTGAGAATCCATCTGCCAGTATTTCCTCTTCTCTGATTATTGTTCCTTAGCTCTCTTTGCCACCTCATCAGGATGGACATCCAATTTGCTGGCCTTGACAGGAAGGTAGCTTAAGCTTTTCCTAACTGCTGTCTTGCTGTTATGCCAGAATAGAACTTGATGTTACATCCAGTTTTCCAGCCTGGTCCTTATTCAGGGCAAGGTTTCTGTGTCTCCTCAGTATTATTCATTTTTTGTCCCTAAGGTTTTTTATTAAATATATACAAATGTAAATGTTTTCAAAGATTAGAAAGGAGGAAGAATAATAATTATTTTTGTTTACTTTTCTCTTTGGTGTTCTTTCAGGTACTGTCCCAATTGCAAGAAACATCAACAAGCCACTAAGAAATTTGATCTCTGGTCACTTCCACGTATTTTAGTAGTACATTTAAAACGCTTCTCATATAACAGATACTGGAGGGATAAGCTTGACACTGTGGTTGAATTCCCTATCAGGTAGGATTTTTGGTTGCATTGGTGGTCAGAGCAAAAAAGAAATACAAATAATTTGGGTTCACTGAGAACCCAGCTGGGAACTAGAACCTTGGTACACAGGCTGGATTTTAGCCTTCAAAATGTGAGAAGCCAGAAGCATGTCTGTCACAGTTTTCTACCATCCACTTCAGTGGTCAATTAATATTTTACAACAACATAGTGCACTAGAGGTTAAGAGCTAAATAGTTGCACTAGCAGGAGCCAACAGAATGGGGCTTTCCCACTCCCCCCCCCCCCCGCCCGCATGCCTTCCACCAGCTCTGAGTGGTTCCCTAGGACAGTGTGGTAGGAGAGGAGGAAAGGAAATGCTTGCATTAATGGAACTATCGTAGTATGATGTTGAATTTCTCCCTAAGTCTGCTGCACAGTCAGAGCCTTGACATATACATTGGTACCTCGGTTTTTGAACGTAGTTGAACGTTTCGGAACTTGAACACCAAAAACCTGGAAGTTTTCAAACGCGCCTTGGAAGTCGAACAGGAAACGTGGCTTCCATTTTGAGTTTTCTGTATTGAGGCTTCCGCTTTCAGTTTCTGAACGTTTCGGAACTCGAACGGACTTCTGGAACAGATTACGTTCGAGAACCAAGGTACCACTGTATATGCATCCAGGACTTGATTTGGATGTGGGGTATAGTAGAGGCAGAATAGAAAGTCGTAAGTGCCTGGCCCTGATCTTACGCCTGCTGTTTCTGTTCACCGGAAGGTATTGAGGTCTAATATTTTCTCTGTAATTCTGTAGCACTGGAATATATGATAAGTCCAACTCTGAACAACAACTGCTAAGCTACCATATTCGAGCACCTCTCCCAAAAGTTACTTGAGGTTAGGTCACACAGTCAGTTTTGTCTCAATGCACTTTGAGAATGCATTTGTACAGTGCCTCATGCAAACCAGGCTTTCCAATGTCCACAGATGTTGCAATCATGGAAATCGCCCAGCATTGGCTGCAACTGAAAAAATTGCCACTACATTTGTGGTGTATTGTGGAAATGTCTGTTCCTGCATCTGCAGGGACATTGGGGGAGCACTGTGTGGTTATTGAGGTTGATATTGTGAGCTGGCTTTCCTGCTAAGAGTTAGCAGTGGCAGTGAAGTCAGTTACTGACACTAAATATTGGGATATTTAAAAAAGAAGTGTTGGGTGCTTACAGCACTGTCTGGGGGCTCATGGAAGTCTTTTTATTTGTCTTGAGGTTTCAGTATCACCTTGCACTTGTTGCTGGCTGACCTTTCCCTTGTGACTCTTTCTTGTAGGGATTTGAACATGTCTGAGTTCGTTTGCGACCCGGCAGCAAGCCCATATGTGTATGACCTCATTGCTGTTTCCAATCACTATGGAGGCATGGGTGTTGGTCACTGTGAGTAATTATGTTCTTTCTGGATGTGTAACTGCAGAATTTCAAAATGTTCCCATTAGATAATATGCAAGATAAAAGGAGCTTAGTGGAAGACCTGACAGATTTCAGTGCAGGCCCCCCCCCAGGTGTTAGTCAGGCTTGCTGGGTGTGGACTATAGTAGTATTTTAAGAGAAAAACTGAATTGAGTACTCTGTGGGCAGCAAAATACAGTTGCTCCTTCAGATAAGATGCTCTGGTGGATGGAACTGCAACTGTACAAATTTAAACTCTGGTTTCACAAAACAGGAGCAGGGGTGATCCAGATTTCAGCCCACTAATGTAATGCCAAAGTAGATAGGGCCTAATATGAATGTGTTTCCTAGTACAAGCTATTTGTTGCTTATTCCTACTGGTTGACATCCACTGGTCCAGAACAATGGGTTGATCTCTGCTCCATCAGGTGAGAAGTTGACTTTTTGAAGAAGGGTTTGACTTGGGGCTGGTTTATCAAGCTGCTTCCATTCCCCACTCTGCCTCGTAAAAGGACTAAGAGAAACACTTCAAATGTGGTCTTGACTTTTGAACAATGCCTGTGCATCCCCGATTATGTAAAGGCAGTCACTATTCCCTATGAGTGTGCATTTTGGAGGTGGGGCTTTAAAAAACAACAGCTTGTGAGTTGCGTGTGTACCACACAAATGCTCATTGGACCTTTGCTATTAAAAATGTGAAGCTATGCCTTGCCCCAATGCAGTGCTGCTCCTTCTCAGTAACTTTCTCTTTTATTATAACTAGAGTACATGCCTTCTTAAACCAATAGCCTTTGCTCTGCTTCAAATCAAGGCTTTCTTTCTCTGTCCCACTGAACCTCCATCACATTTGTACCACTGGAGGATTGGGACTAGCATCTTTGTAGTTGCTCCTGTTGCACCAAAAATACTTCCTGTGCAAAACATAAAACTATTCAATTAAGTCGTAGAAGAGAATCTACAAGTTACATCTGATTAAACTGTTCAAGGTTTGCCACATATTTGACACAGATAGCAAATCAGAATGTTTTTCTAATCTCAAACTATTAATGGCTCTTCGTGATTTATTCATGCTCCTTTTGGCCATTGTCAGCTAGGCACAAAGTGGCCTTTGATGACTGAGTTTAACACAAAAAATGGAACTGTGGGCTATCAGCACTTGTAAATCTCACTCTGTACCTCTAAACAAGTCCATTACGTCTCTTCTGCTTCCCTGGTAGATACTGCATATGCTAAGAATAAAGTGAATGGCAAATGGTACTACTTTGATGACAGCAGTGTGTCTCCAGCATCCGAAGAGCAAATAGTGGTATGTATTTGAAGTCAACTGAGTATACCTTGATGTACTCTGTAACTTTAAGAATTACAGGGGCGTTGCTGAGTACTTAAATTGAGGCTCAGACCAACAATACACATTTTCATCGCTGCATAGTTCTATCCATGAAGATGTGGTTGACAGGGATTTCATTGGCACTTCACTTTTCAGTGTGCCTGGCTGCTGTGTAAGCAGTGTGTTTAAAAACCTTTCTTTTAAAAAGGGCATGAGATCTGAGATTCAGCCTCCCCCCCGAATACTCCCTAACAATGTTTATGCAGCTGCTAAGTCAGCACAGTTGCGAGGTAGGAATGGACATGCAGAATGTTTCCTAAAAAGAATTGAGGCATACGCCTGGAAACTCATAAGGAAGATGGAGCTGAGTGCAGCTCTGTTTGACTTGGTCAGACTTTCTTGACACTGTTTGCCTAAATCACTTTCAGGAATGAATGCTGGATTATCTATTTCTATCGAACACAGGTAGCGAACATAGGTCCCTCCAGATGTGGCACTACAGTTTCCATTGGCTCCAGCCAGTATGGTGAACGGTCAGGGATGATAGAGAGTTGTAGTCCAAAACATGCAGAGTGCACCAAGTTGTGGGAGGCTGCTCTAGATCTACAGAGCTACTAGAGAACAGGGTATTGGTACTGGGACTTCTCTTGCATGCAGGCTTGAAGACCAATTTAATCCCATTATTTCTCACCTTGCCTTGCAGACAAAAGCGGCATATGTCCTCTTCTACCAACGTAGAGATGGCATGCTCAAGGGAAACCCCGCTCCTTGCATAAGCACTGAGCTGAAATCTGAGGAATGTGATGGCATGGATACCAACTGAACCTATGTGGTGGGGTTTAAACAAGTCATATTGCTAATTTTAAAAGGCATCCAAGAACTGATTTTTGTAAGAATCAAACAGGAGTTTCAGTACAGAAGGACTCATTGAGCAGTAACTATGGATAGCATAGGGAAGCAATAAGATGTCAAGGACTTGGGTATATCATAGCCAAAGAGCTTTTAAACAAATAGTTATTCAATAAAGTGTTATCTAAATCTGACTGTGTAGTCTGGCAGAAACTGTGTGGAAGCAGGAGCTATGCTGTATGACTGGAGCAATGCATGAAAGCAGGGCTGTGTTGCAAGAGGAAACAACATTTGACTGTAAGTAGAACTCTGGTTTGAGCTCTATGCATTGCAGAAGATGCCTGAGTGCTTGTGTTTCCAGAGTAAAAGAGAAGTGAACATTTGGCACAAGTTCCAATCTTGCACAGCACATTTTGGCGCTATGTTCCTGTCAGTCCCTTGCTGACATGGCATGGTGAGCTTGTGTGTGCTTTTAATAAAAAGAGAAAATTGCATATTTGTTCTGGCTCATTGTGTCCCATACAGGAGTCACAATCCCCACATTTTCTTGTTGCGTGCTAATAAAACAATTATTTAGGATCCGTCCCAAAGATTAACTCTCCCCTACCCCCAGCCTTTCCAGCAGCAGTATTCATGGGGCCTATTCTTCACACCAACTCACATGAAGACTTATATGCTCTGAGTTTCTTCCTGATCTAGTTGGTAACTTACATATTGTGCAATCACAAGGCTTCTTTATTCAAGTGTCTCATTGGGGAGCTAAAATAACTTTCCCTGGTAGTTTTTGAAATTCCGCTGTCAACTGTCTTCTATTTCTCTGCACTTTCAGCCGCACCATGAAAAGTTCAGAGTCCATCTCTTGAAGGCTGCATAGGAATCAGTGTCCAGTGGCATATGTCCTTTTGGGTGGTCTCAGACACACTATTTTTCTTTCTAGCCATTTCATTTCTCTTTTTGTAATCTTCTGCTATCCTCATACCTCCTTAGTATTTTTTTCTCATTGGCTGAGAGATGGCAAGAGTAAATGTTGTTTGACTTCTTCCTACCCACAGCCTCCTCCTCCACGGAGGATGATAGACAAGAACCTTCTAGGAAAGGAGCTTTCAGGTAACGCCGTGGAATTCCCATGCACACTGCTATGACACCTTAAGGCATTTCCCATTTAGTGTCATGGCTTTGAAACTACCTTGGCACCTGTGTAAAGGTGTTTCACTTTTGTGCTCTGAACAGATTCCCACGGATTCCCTTCAGCAAACTAAGAAATATTCCTCTCCCAGACTGCTTCTGTGCTGATCTTTATCAGCATGACGTCAGGCAAGTGGTAGCCAGTGGCATTGTCAGGCCACATCATTTTAACAGAACTGATTAAAAGTGATTGTGTTCTTTTTAACTTACAGAGCAGAAGAGTCCTCATTGCTGTCAGCTGCATTTTGCTCACTATCTTCCAGTGATTACTGTTGCGTTCTCCAGGATAGTCCTTTTAAACACTGAAATTTGAGTTGTTTGGTTCAGTTGCTAATGCTTCCAGGTTCTTTAATTGATTTGAGGTCTTGTCTCAACTGGATATTATTTTCCTGCACACTTGGGTTGGTGGGTGGGGTTAGGGCTGGAATTATTTAAAGGCTAAGTTCAAACTGTAGCATTGCACTGTTTTGTTTTTTCCTGTTTTTCTGGGTTATATTTACTTTGGAATGTAACATTTGGACAGATAAGGAAACAGATATTTAAAAGCAAAGAGCAATTTAATGTAACCATATGTATTTCTGTTCCATACTGTTGCAGCAATCTTTTCACTGCTCTGTATGGTCAGATAGTGTGCACATTTGTGTTTGGGTGATTTTTGGGCTCCTGAACTAAATTTCTTCTAAATGCTGTAAAGATGGTATTAGGAACCTGGATTTGCCTCTGACCAGGCTGGATCCTAGCTGGTGTGTACATTCTGTATAGTGTCAAAACCTGTTTTTAGACTAGCACTTTGTAAGTGACTGGCTTTACTGTATAAAAGGGAAAAAAATTAAAAAGGAGTGGATTGCACTTGAGTGTGGACTTTGTTTTTTCTGTATGGTGGATGGGGATTTGAAATAGATACTCAAACCTGTATCTCTAGTTTTTAATTGGTAGTCTGTATGAAACACCGCAAATGTTATAGGAACTTTATTTTCTGCAGAAGTGTGTGTTTTGGAATACAGTGGTGCTCTGCAATTTTATTATTGATTATTTATTATTTAGACTTGTTACTCATTTGTTACCCAAAGGATTCCAAGTGACTTGTGTTTTAAAAATCATGGTACATGTAGATAAATGTGCCCGGGATATGCATGTAGATAAATGCACAATTCCAAAAAATATCATCTCTGTCTGTAAATATATCTCTCTCTCCTCTCTCCCACCCCCTCCCAAGGAAATAAAGTCATTGCAAACCAGCACTATATACAAGGTTGCGAGAGCACAGTAGTACCTAGTACAAATAAATTTGATCAAAATTAGCTTTATTTTGAAATTGCTTCTGAAAACTCTGGGCCAGCTTTTATCTGTAAGGTATTCAACTAGCACATCCCATCAGAGCAAGGATTTCCATTTGCTGAGACATTAATTTCCTATTTGGCTTGGGAGGAAATAGCTTTATCTCTGATTCCCATTGTAAAAAGTAGATCTGAATGACTGTAGTGTAAGCAATGTATTTGATGACACTAACTTAAGAAGCTTTTATTATTATAAAGCATAAAAGGTGGGGTAAGTACAGTGATACCTCAGGTTGCAGGTGCTTCAGGTTACAGACTCCGCTAACCCAGAAATAGTACCTTGGGTTAAGAACTTTGCTTCAGGATGAAAACAGAAATCATGCGACGGCAGCGGGAGGCCCCATTAGCTAAAGTGGTGCTTCAGGTTAAGAACAGTTTCAGGTTAAGAACGAACCTGTGGAACGAATTAAGTTCTTAACCAGAGGTACCAATGTAATGGAAAAAGACAAGACCAGAATATATTTACAGTAATACAAACTATAATTTACACCTGATACCATTGTGCTGGCTACGCCTAAAATATTTTTGACTATGTAGGCAAGATTATAAAATGGATTAGAGGTGCATCTCATGTAAAAACATTATTTTTGTCATTTTGATTTCTAAAATGGAACTAGTTTTCTTTGTTAACTTCTCCAGCTATGTGATCAGAGTATGGAAAGAATTAAAATTACTGTTAAAGCACAAAAGGACAGTTGGAAGAAAGTTGAATAGCTGATTTCCTTCTTTGCCAATCCATGTTAAAATGTGGGGGTTCTTGAGTGAATCCTAGTATAGTATTAAGTCCTACATTGGATCAGCTATGGAGCAGTGCCAAGGAAAAGGCAGAGGTGACAGAAAGATGCCAAAGAGATAAAGAACTACATAACTTTTAGACATAGGGAAGTTTTTAATGTTTTGATATTTTACTATGTTATATATATGCTGTCAGATGGCCAGAGTAGCTGGGGAAACCCAGTAAGATGGGTATAAATAATAAAATTCATTATTCTTATCATTGCCTGCCTGCTTTGGGGTGAGGAGCCTGTGGTCATCCAGAGGTTGCTGGATTACAGTTCCCATAATTGCTGATCTTTGGCTAGCTGGGGCTAATGTGAGATGGAGCCCAGTACCGTCTAGAGGACCACAGCCCTGGGTTATGTGACAAGCACTAGGTAAAAAATGCTAGGTGGGAAACATCAGTTGGCACCAAGAAGGTTATGTGGCAGAGAGATGATTTTACTCAAAGTTGATTTTGAAATGGTCTGTCTAATGCTGTTGGGCAAAAGGCACCAAGTACAATCTTGAGAGAAAGTTCTAGCAGAGGGGAAAGGTTCCGTGACAGTTGAAAACCTTCAGTAGAGGGGGGAGGCAACAGACTGTTTACTAGAAGTATCCAGATCCAGTTGTTGATCATCCCCATGTTACTCAAAAGTGCTTAAGCAATCGATCTTCTATCCTGCACTTGTCTTGATATTGGGACGACTTGGTAAACCATCACAACAGGTGAACAATTCAGAGTTGATTTGTGTGTAGGATGGATTGCTCCACGTTCAATTTACAAGGGGCATCTGTTCAAACTATGAAAGCATGTTAAATTACTCGTTAGCACTTATTAACCACTCAAGTAGTCACAAGAGTAGAAAAAATGGTCCATTCTTATACCTTGTTAATAGATGAAGTGAAAGGTTGTTGACTGCAAGTAAAGAACCAGGTAAGCTGTAGTGGCTTTCTGGATATATTGGGAGAATATAACGGGATTTCTATGGCTGGGTTTTACTAGAGCAAGTGTCTAGTAAAACTGACACACACACCTTAATTGACACAAGCCTGATGAGTTTTGAATAAGTTTTCGAGCAAGCGTTTGAAGGTTAATATTGCAGGTGCCTGCTAAATCTCTATTGGACGTTCATTCCACAGGAGGTCAGTAACACTGAAGGATCAGTTTTGTGCTGATGTCAAATGTGCCTCACCAACTTGGGGGACAGCCATTGATTCTCCCACAGGTATTGGTGATCGAGCTGGGGTATAAGGGTCCTCCTTATCCTAACAGCCTTGTAACGTAGATTAGGCTGGTCTCAAATTCACCTGACAAGTTTAACAGCTGAATAAGGTTTTGAAGACATGTCTTCCTGAAGAAAGTCTAGCAGGAAGTATTGTATGCTATGCAAATGTCAAACTACAATGGATTATAAGTAGCCCTGAATAAAACAATCTAAAGTGTACTTCAGCACTCATGTAAAAATCATGGCCCATGTGTGAAGTATTTGAAAAATCGCATCTGATTTTTTAATCCTTTTTGTTTTTAATGTTGCATTAACATTCAGTAATCCATCTGTGTCAAGGACATAGTATATTGAGAAAAGGAAATGCTAGGATTAGCTGACTGCACTATAACTGAATGGATTGGCAACTTAGTATTGATTTCAATCTGTGCGCACCCTCCCAACCTTATATTTGCTTATATAACCAAACTCCTGGACAACGTGATACTTCTTCCTTTCAGGTGAGATGTCAGAAAAGCTGAACAGATGCCGTAAGGAGCTAACTGCAGCTATTGACAGAGCAGTGGAAGACCTCTTGGTTCCTTTCCCCCCCTCCCCAGATTCCACCACTGATCAGAACTTTGACTTGCAGACAGCACAGCCCTCTTCACCCCTAAATGCAGATCTCTTTAGTGAGAAGGGAGAACTTACTCTTTCAACTGTGTATTGCCCCCAGTCATCTTTACCAGTCTCTTCCACTCCTGAAAAGGAGAATCCCCTCTTCAGGCCAAACTTAATTCCAGTGACTACTGCTTCCAACATTCCATGTACAAAACGGGAACCCTTGACAAGCAAGGAAAACACATGGCTACATCCTCCCATCTTCATGGCTGACCGGCAGTTTTTTATCAGCCCAGAAGACAGTGAGAGATGGAGGAAAGGACATCTAAGGTATGCTCTGCTTGTCACAGGCTTAATTTTTGTCTTAGGATGAATAGCACTGAGCTTCAATTCGGATGGCTGTTGATATGGCTTCAGACTGGTCCAAAGAGCTGGCTCAAAATATGTTGTCACATGAGAAATATATTTATTAATTAACAATTTGCCACCTTTCAGAGATGCTCAAATCCCACTGCCTTTCTCTGTGGAATGGTAAGGCACAGTGTTAGGGTGCTCCTCATGGTTCAGTTTTAGACCACCTCTACTAACTGTTTTGTAATTGCTGGTGCAAGCACATTTATTTCTCAACATACAGGAAAGTTCTAAAACACGATTCAGAAAGCTAAGATATACTAGTGTAACATTTTGGTAGAGATCATACGCTTTAGAGAATGTTTAACTGAACAATTTAAGACCAGTCTCCATAACGTGTTTCTGTGGTGTTTAGCAAACCTGATGAAAGGCCTGTGAAGTCAGAAGCAAGTATAAGTGCCACTGATGTTCCTCCACAGAGCCTGAAAGATCTTGCCAATATGAGTGGTAAGTGTTGTCTGCCCTGCTTACCAGACATGGCTTTTTAAAACTGGCACTGTAAAGAGCAATTGAGTTGCATACCTGCAGAGTCTGTAATAGACTGTGTAACCTGGTGAGGTATCTTTAGTTATTTTTCCGTTACATGAACAAGCAGTCAGTACTATTTTAATCAAGTTTTTAACCAATAGCTGCTAGAGTGAATGCATTATTACAGGGTGTACCATGGCAAATAATTTCAGCAGAAAGCCAAGGGCTTGAACAGCAGAAAAGGTTAAGCATGCATATCCTTGAAATAAGACTTTCTGACTTGGAAACAGTTACATATGGCTAGGGAGGAATACTTTAGACCAGGATGGCTAACCTTTTGGACCCAATGATTGATCTGGTGAATAGGGAGATGGAGGCTCTATACTCTGATCCTTCCATCACAATGGGAATGCAGCTTCTTTCCCACTCACCAGGTAATTTATCAGGGGAGTGGGAGACCATTTGCATTCTGAACTTGCACAAGCCTTCTGAGAAGTGTTCTACATGCAGGAAGAATAGAATTGGTAAAAGAATTAACCACCATCCCTGCCAAATTCCTGGGGGTGAGGAGAGAGGAGAGAAGGGCATAGAAAAGTCTTGGCAGGCAGAATGCAGCTCATAGGTGAATCATCCCTCCTTTAGACCACTGTGGCCCAATTAGCGTTCATAACTTAGAATCCTTCACATCCATTGCTACACACTTGCTTTCAAGCCATCACCTATTGACAAACATGAAGATACTTTATCCCAAAGCTGGGAGGAAGATATTTGAGTAATTGTTATTAGAATGCTAAAAGCAGTGGGTTCCTCTTTAGGGGGAAAAAAAGCCTAGTACTTGCACTTATCTTACATGTTAGCCAATGGAAGCTTAGCAGGAGTGTTTATGCTGAAAATCCCTCTATGTATCAGCTATTCATCAATTTGTGCAGATATTTAGGGGCAGGACTGATAAGTTGCATTCTTGTTTTTACACTGAAGATAATCCAGCTATTTGGCCATCAGAGAGGATGCACAGGAAAACTGACTTTGAGAATGAACTTCAGCAGATGTCTAGGCTCTCAAGTGAACTGTTTCCTCTAGATGAGGCCTCAGCCTTGGATCCGAGTGCACAGATCGGTTTCAGGAAGGTCCTGGAGCATACTTTAGAAGATGAAGCAATTATTGAAACACTGCTGGATATGGAAGAGGATTACAAACCAAACAGCTCCACCTTGCAGCAGCTGCAGTAGAAAGGCTGGTGTGAGGTGTGAGCTATTTAAGATTTGATAATTAATGCTTCTGAACCATGGAAACTTAGGCAAATAATCTTTTCTGTTGCAAGATGCACTATTAAAGTGATTTACAATAGTGTGGCGTTATAGTGTTTTCCCCATAGGCTAATGAACACTGAACATTATCTAGGCCTGGATCAGAAGATACTACCCTTAAGATATTGTATTCCTGTCTTCTGAGGAACAACTTATCCGCAATGTGCGTGACAAGGGGTAACTGATTGTATAGTCATGGTTTCCCACTACATTTGTCAAGCAATGGGATGGTACAAATCCAACTATCTATATTATGGCAAAACTGCCTTAAAGTTCTTCAAGCTTTTAGCTGCCTTATTTTGTAAAGCTATTCAAGAGAAAATGCTTGCAAGGACAGGATGAGATATTGTGAAAGCGATTTTAGAAGTAAGTAACTACAAAGTGAACATTTAAAGTTACTCCATGCACCTTAAAACATTCAGCATCTGCTATAGTACAGAAACCCCTTTACATTCCCCTCAAGAGCAGATTTACAATCTGCCACAAAGGGGGGCAGGTAATATGTACACCATCAAGGTTGAAGAGCAGTCTAAGAGTTTATTTGCTATAAACATGGAGATAACAAGCAGCTGTACCCATCTCCCAGTACCCCAAACATACACCTGTGATAAATCTTCTTTTGCTTTTCAAGTTATTGTGTATAGGTAGCTTTAACCATTTCAGTTGCAGGGGGGGCAGTGCTTATTAGTAAAGCAGTCTTGATGCTGGAGTCAAATTAGGTCACTGCTTAGGATGGATTTTATCATATTAAAAGCAGTTTTCACATAAGGCTACAACTGGATGGAGAGATGTGTCTTTAGAAGTAGAGAACAAAATGAAAGCTTCTGAATTTCACTAATGAACACTTTATAACTTACTCTAAACATAAATATACTGCTGCAGCAAGGGAGAGCTGTACATAGGCAGAAATGGGCAACAGGATATATTTCAGAGCTTCACTGACATGGGTAGATACAGCTGCTCCAGGAGGGATGTAATACTTTCCCTTACAGTACTAGCTACTGTATGCGACCAGAGCTGAACCAGAATTCCGTTTCATTGACACATTATCTTGTTTCTTAAAGACACAAATACAGTGAACAGCTCCCTTCATTTTTCTTAGGCATAAAAACATAAGCCAAGGCCACGTGTTATTCCAAAAGGATAATCAAATGCTTACATTCTGACCAACTTCAGACTATGGCATCAGTAGCCTTTTCTCTACTGTCACACTATGCCAACTGACCCACAGTCATTAAAGAACATTTTATCCAATCAACCTAGTTCTGTCATTATGAATCTGAGGAATGTGCATTGTCTTCTGATTATACAAACGAGCCCCCAAGAAGCACTGAACTATAATTCAGCAAGTACCTTAGGTCAAACATATTGGGAGACTTCAAATGCTTGTTCCCTAATGGACGATAAGAGCAAAAGCTCAAAGCTTGTCTTCCAAAGACAAACCAGTATCTTAATAAAAAAGGGATTTTCCTTGGTTCTAGATCGTGTCTTAAAAACATTTAAATCAAATGCTTAAAATGAAAGAAGTCTACTCACAAATAGATTCAGTGCTGGTGCCAGCTAAAGTCAAAGTGTACCAATGGTCCTTTTTCAATACCAAAATCAGTGTTTAGTTACTGCTCAAGCAGACCCTAAACCTCTGACCATGTACTTAGGGGGCAGGAGAAAGATTGGCTCTAGAGACAACAGGTCGCTTCTAGTCCAGTCCCTAATCAAGCCTTTCTCCTCAAAAGAACCAGCCTCCCAGTAGACAGAGGAGTACCTCAGTCTGTGGACCACTGAATGGCAACAGTAAGGAGAATCATCTTTGGATGCTTCTCTCATCTAAATTCATGTCTTTGAGTATTGGCAGTTATGCTGCATATGCAGCAAGGCTGAGCCCTGGCAATGAGAGATGCTTCAAGGGTTAAATCTTATACCAATATTTTAATCATTAACGGATTCTGACTTAGGCTTAGTATGTCTCTAGAGTAGCAGGTACATTTAAAATTTGCAGGGACCCACACTCAATTTCAAGTTCTCCTGAATTTTAAATGTTTCTTCCAGTAAGTTTGGTCAATCACTACAAGTTTGGTAGTTTGCCTTCTGACATGACTATTAGCAGCTGCCAAATCAGAGCTCCATGTGACTCAAAAGGCAACAGAGGAGACCTCAGAAGCAAGACTCTGTCCTGCAGGTATATAACTCACATAAGTTCTGACCATCTTTATTCTGGCCACCAGTAAGAGTACATTATAGATAAATAAACATAAACTGACTTAATGCCAACCATATGAAGCAACTCAGAACATGGACGTCTGCAGCTCTTCCTTAAACATGCCTTCAAAGCGGAGGTCTTTAGCCATGAGTTCCTCTTCAACATCCTCTAGGGCCCACTGATGGTCAGTCAGTTCTAGAGCCTCCCATTCTGTCTGCAGTGATAAAGAAAAAACATTGATGCAGCCAACAGAAGGGTACCAACCACCTACTTTCCATCTTGGAAAAAAGCCTTTGCTCAGCAATTCTGCCTTAATTTATTCATCCTGCTTTAGACTCTGAATCTTGAACAAGGACACTGAAGTTTGTGACTGAACTGTATGTGCGCAGAGTGATTAAACAGTAGGAACTATAATGTGTACAAGGAAGCAGCAAGGCTATTGAACATACAAGCAGGTATGTTTGGGGGAGGGGGCAGGTCCTCACAGGTAATAACTGCCTGCATTACTAAATGGAGATCATTGAGCATTTCTGGTTTGTGTGTACATGGCTGCTAGTGCCTAGCATTTGACAAGTGGGCTGTTTTCTGGAGAATAAGCTTTTATTTTACTGCACAACTTGCAGACAGAAGAACAGCTCAGAATGCATGAAGCTACTTATGGGGTTTGAAACCTCTGTTTCTTATTTCTTGCAACTAGTACTGTAAAACAAGTTTCTGTTCAACATATTTCCACTTTGTATACAATGTTAAGTGCCGTATTTTTCGCCCCATAGGACGCACCGCCCCATAGGACGCACCTAGTTTTTTGGGGGGGGGAGGGGAAACAAAGGGAAAAAAATTATTTCCCCCCCAGGCACGGGGCTGGCGCGGGGGAAGCCCGAGCTTCCCCCGACCCCGGAACAGCCTGCTATCCGCAAGCCTAGGGAGCCGTGCCGGTCTCCCCAGGCTTGCGGAGAGCTGCGCGAAGCCCGGGTGCGCTCTTCAGCGCGCCCCAAGCTTCGGAGTGCAGGCAGCTCTGCGCAACCTTTGGGAGCCCGGTGCGTCTTCGCGCTGGGCTCCCAAGGGTTGCACAGAGCTGCAGGAAGCCTGGGAGCGCAGGCAGCTCTGCGCAACCCTTGGGAGCCTGGCGCGAAGCCACGCTGGGCTCCCAAGGGTTGCGCAGAGCTGCGGGAAGCCTGGGAGTGCAGGCTGCTCTGCGCAACCCTTGGGAGCCCGGCGCGAAGTTGCGCCGGTCTCCCAAGGGTTGCGCAGAGCTTCCTGAAGCCTGGAGAGCGAGAGGGGTCGGTGCGCACTGACCCCTCTCACTCTCCAGGCTTCAGCGAACGAAAGCCTGCATTCGCCCCATAGGACGCACACACATTTCCCCTTCATTTTTGGAGAGGAAAAAGTGCGTCCTATAGGGCGAAAAATACGGTATCTTCTCCATACAGGTCATCAACTAGAATACGGTATATTTTAATGCATAGGTTTTCAAACTTTCTACCCCCTGGACACTCTTACTTTACCATTTTGTCTTCCAAGGACCCCACCCATACCCCCCGGCTATGCACTGGTAATAATGGGCACTTCTTTTGACTAAGCTTCTCCACGATTACTGATCTTCTCATCTAGTGTTTCCTGATGAATGGACGTTTTATCTACCCTAAAGCGGCATGAAAAGATTACAATAGAATAGGGGTTTCCAAACACACTCCTATAAGGTACAACATTTATTTAGCATACATTCAATAAACAGATATTTAAGACCATCATTTTTTGCAGGTTTTAATCCTTTGAAGTATTTTTTCTGTGCATTCAAGGAATAGAAGCAAGGCTATATGAAACTAGAGCAGCTCGTTTCAGCAACTGGAACAGAAGCCTCATACCTTGAATGCTTTATTAGTATCTGCAGGCATGGCCATTGCCGCCCCTGTCATCTGCTCCTGCATTACTCTGGACTGATCGGCAGCTGTAAATATGAAAGAGTGACTTGTGTGACTCTATATAACAGTAGCAATACTATCAAAGCTGGGAAAAATTAAGAATGTGAGCATTATAGTGCTGTGCTGAGGTAGACAGCAAAATATCTCCCTTGTATTTTACAAGTTAGGCCGAAAAAGGTATGAGGTCTCAGCCAGGTATGCTTAACTTTCTTCAGTCTTAATAAGCTGAAGACAAGATTTTTGTCTATTATTGCTGGAAATTCTTACAATTTACTAATATTAGTAACTAGGTCAAAATTCCTAAGAAACATTTAAGCATAGTTTGACACATTTAATAAATCAAGAATCACTCTTACTTTTACATAAATAGCAGTTTCTTACCATTATCTTGACCAAGAATGAGGGTATAAATGCTTCGAAGTCCAAACACATTCAGAAAATACCAAGAAGCAGAGCTAACCCTAACAAACCAAAGAAACTGAGTGTCATTTAAACAAATGCACAAATGCCCAAATTCCCAACACTGCTGTAACTTTCACAGTTTTAGATAGACAAAGATTGATTGAAGCACAGTGAAGGATTCTTACCAGGATGCATCCAAAGTAAGCAACTCAATACCCTGCTGTAGCATTGGTTTAAAACGAAGCGTCAAAGGAAAGGGGACTTTTGCTGTAAAAAATAAAAATATGGTCAGAAACAATTATGATTATTACAAAGCACCATAAAACACTAACTGAAGGGAAATTTGTCTCACAAGGAGCTTAAAACCTGTGACAGGGAACATGAACACTCAGCTAATGAAAACGCTGATTAAATTTGGGATTTTAGAAGCATCAGGCCTGACACTTACTTGTGACAAAACCAGAGAAGGTCATGTTGATCCAGCCTCCAATAAGAATCATAGGAAGTACATTTGTTACATTCCCTTTCATCATATCTGTCAGCATAGTAGGATCTGCAAAGCAAATGCAGTTAAAGTGACCACACAATTGACAGCCTACACACCCATGGATTTCTGAAGTTTGGGTATACTACTTTAAAAACAAAGGAAACCTCCTTAGCATGATTGAAGAGATCACCCTGGTTTAGTCTTTAATTTGCTATTTAATTTGACTTTAAGTATATCTGGGCTATTTTATGAGAGAACTAGGTAGACTTTAGAATTAGTGGCTGCTGCTAAGCACAAAAGCAAATCAGATGTTCCTATTACTACCAGTGTTAGAAACTGTGATATGAAAGCTAGGAGCTAAATGGCACCTTAAACCTAGGTTATGTCTAGGCACGCTTTTTTATAACAATAATACAAATAATACAAAGCTGAAAATGAATGAACTGCAGTTAAAATATTATGTTCATTTTTCACATGGTCTAATCCTTCCTCTGCCCAACCCCCTAATACTCTTAAGAGGGCCTCTTCAGAGAGTAGCTGGAAGTGGGGAGGCAGAAAAAGGTCCTCCTTTTCTTCCATTCTGCAGTTTTAATCTGAAATCTTAGGCGCAGTACTGCACCCAGAGCTCAGAAGCTGCTCATGCTAATGAAATGCCCTGTCGCAAAATGCGCCTAGAACAATGGGAGTTTTGAACACTGATTACTACTCTATTGCTCATGTTTTAGAATATAACAAACTCTTAGGAAGCCTTCTTACTTACCTGTCATTGGGGAAGGTGGCACTACCTTCCTTTTAGTTTTCTTAAAGAACCCATCATCTGGATTATTGAAGTAATACTTCCGTGTCAGAAAGGACTAAAAAAAGAAAAACAAGTTCTAATGATGAAAGAAGTGGACGCAAGGCTTCAAAATTAAGCACAGGTTATTTCTCTGTAGAAGAGCTTGCAATAAGGATGACAGACATTTACCCTGCAAATGACCTACCCTGCTTTTCCAAATATTTCCAGGTTTCAATGGAAACTGTGGCAATGCATAGCCTCCTTTAATTTTTTCAAGTATCTTTGCCTGTGACATAGTTTAGGCCAGGGGTCGGCAACCTGCGGCTCCGGAGCCGCATGTGGCTCCTTTAAACCTTTGCCGCGGCTCCAGGGCGCCTCTTCCCTCATGGTGCAGGGAGCGAGGAAGAAGAGGAGGAGGGCGGCGGCAGGAAGGCGCGCCAGGGCGCAGCGGCGGTTCTCCCCTCAGGTGGACACTGCTGCCACTGCCACCGCCGGCACCTGCCACACACAGGCGCGTCCACACGCAGGCGCGCTCCCTTTCACCGTCGCGGCAGCCCGCCCTCAGGCCCCGTGCGCTGCGCCGCTTGACGTCGAGAGCCACCCACCCAGGCCACGCTCTCCTCAGCCCCGCACGCGAGGCACCTTAGGCGAGGGAGAGAGAGAGAGCGCACGCTCGAGGGAAATGGCGGGGCGGGGTTTGTGTGTGTGTGTGTGTGTGTGTGTGTGAGTGAGAGAGAGAGAGAGAGAGAGAGGGGTGGCGGTGGTGCTTCGGGATCCTTTTCCGTGCCTTGCTTCTGAGTGGCCGCCGAGTTGAGGGAGAGCACCTGAGGTGAACCACAAAATGGGCCCGCCCTCCCTGTCAGGGAGGAAGGGGTGAATTACGTCAGTGACGAGGAGGGGGTCCAGAGGTAGCCAGCAGGAGAGGCGGGGGAGCACGAGAGCAATTGCAGAGGGAGGGGGGGCTGTTAGGCACCAAAATCCTGCATGCGGGATTTCCCCTGTTCTCTCGTGCCTATGCAATTCCTGCCCTTCTCCCTTCCCTCTCGAGATTTGCTGCAGAGACAAGCAAATGAAGAAAGGGAAGAGTATTAGCTGACATGTCCCCGGATCCCATGGAAATCACCACAGATTCCTTTGCTTACCAGCTCTTTTTATTTTAAGTTGGCTTCAAACCTGTAATTGTGTAGGTGTATGTATGTATACATATACACACATAAATATTCATATCTCTTCCCTCTCACCTTCCTTTCACCCAGTTTCTCTGGCACTGGTTTATAAATGCTGCTATGTAGAAATGATGAGAAAGTTGCACCAGCAGAAGGAATGGATATGTGCTGTTAGTAAAAAGAGAGGGAGTTGAACTGCAGGAAGGGACAGACACTTTTCTATGTATTAATTTGTATAATGCCCTCTATGCACATGGTGCTTTGCAAAAAATGGATATGAGAGGTACCATACCCCTCTTTGCTATCTGAAATAGACTCAGGGAAAAGAGAGAGAATGGGGGAAGGGGAAGAATGTGTGGTTATTTAACATTTGGCTTGTTTTGCGGCTCCCAGTTTGTTTTTTCTTCGAAAACGGGTCCAAGTGGCTCTTTTTGTCTTAAAGGTTGCAGACCCCTGGTTTAGGCACTTGTGATATAAACAGAGATGTAGCCAAACATTTTTCCAGATAATCATGTTACACATTCCCAAAAAGATTAGTGGCAATACAAATAATTTCCTCCGTCTAGTATACTCATAATTTTGATAAGATGCAAAGACAAAATTATACTGAAAGCCATATGATGCTCACATTATTTTTTTAGTGCTATGCATTAAAAAAAACTTAAAGTATGTGACGTAGAAACAAAGTAGGTGTGATGGGATGATGAGCTGCTTGTGCGTAAAATCGTATCCCCTCAGAGTTTGTTCAAGTCCACAAACCTCTGTCTGTGACGGAGCCCCTCAGACATGGCTACTCTAGTCACTAGCAGATTCCGACAGTGGTTGCTTTCGTAATCGCTTCCAACATAAAAGCTCCTTAACGGAAACACGTCTTCTGGAATCTCTGCGTGACAGTTTCCGGCGAGGAGTGGGTGTTCTTACAGGAGGTCCTGAAACCTCCCCACTGTTTTCGCTGGAAGTGTCTCTGAGCCATCCCTCCAGCTCAGCTCCTCTCCCCCTGCTGGTTCCTTCTTCAGCTGCTGCGTCTCTCCCAACCTGTGTGAGCCCTTTCACCTCCCTGTTGGTTCCTCTTCAGCTGCTGCGTCTCTCCCAACCTGTGTGAGCCCTTTCACCTCCCTTCCGTCCGATGGCAGTTCCCTGACATCCACCTCCCCTCCAGGGCCCCCTTCACCCCCCTCGCCCCCTCCTCTACGGGCGGTGAGGAGGCAAAACCCCGGAATGAACTTCCTTCATCTTCCGATGTCTCGAACACTTCTCTCAACCTGTTGCGGTTCCTGGTCTCGAAGTACACCTCCTCCTCAGAGTCCATCTCCCTTCCCCTTCCGAGTCCGGGAATCCTTCCAACTCCTCCCCTTCATCAGTGGTCCCAAAGTATTCCCTCCGGAACCTCTCCACAGGCTGAGGTTTCCTTGGGAACCTTTGATGGAACGTTTCTATCAATACCTCGTCATTGATATCTTCAGCCATTACCCAAGTGTTTTCTGACTCCGGTTCTCCTTCCCACGCTACCAAATACTCCACCTGATCCCCCTTCCACCTGGCGTCGAGGATTTCTGCCACATGGCTGCTGCATTCTCTTCTTCTACGACCGGTCCCCGAGTGGCCAGCCCTTCTCGTCCCCTTCGTACGGTGACAGTAACGACCTGTGAAATACTGGGTGCAGTTTCATGTGGTTGGGTAACCGGAGCCTGAAAGCCACTGGGTTGACCTGTTGAATGACCTCAAAGGGACCCAACCTCCTGGGTCTTAATTTCTTACAACCTCCTTTGAACGGCAACCCTTGGGTTGACAGCCACACCCTATCTCCCACCCTTATGGTTTCACCTTCCCTTCGGTTCTTGTCTGCCTGCCTCTTGTATTCTTCCTTCGCCCTTTCTAAGTTGAGTTGGAGCTGACGATGGATTGCTTCCATTTCTTCCACAAAATGCTCGGCTGCCGGGACGCTCCATCTCTCCCCTCTCCCCTGGGAAAGCCCTGGGATGACACCCATAATTAGCCAAGAAGGGGCTCATCCCTGTGGACACATTCTCGGCATTGTTGTAGGCAAATTCCGCCAGCGCCAACTTTTCTACCCAGTCATTCTCTCTGTCATTGACATAACACCTCAGGTATTGCTGGAGGACACCGTTTGCTCTTTCCGCCTGCCCGTTGGTTTCAGGGTGCCGGGCAGTCGAAAAATTGACCTCCACCTGCAGTAAGCTCATGAGCTTCCTCCAGAACCTGGAAGTAAATTGTTTTCCTCGGTCTGAGACCACCCTCAATGGCACCCCGTGCAACCTAAAAATGTTTTCTACAAATAACTTCGCTGTCTCTTCCGCCGTGACTGCATGCGAGCAAGCTACAAAGTGGCACATCTTTGTTAGTAGGTCTACCACCACCATGATGGCTGTTTTCCCTTTGGACTTCGGCAGATCAGTCATAAAATCTATCGACACTGCCTCCCAAGGTCGTTCTGGGGTTGGTAAGGGTTCTAATAGCCCCGCCGGCGCCCGCCTTTCCCCTTTGGCTCGCTGGCATTGCTCGCACCCTCTTACATACTCACGTACATCTTCCCTCACCTTAGGCCACCAAAATTCCCTGGTGACCAACCACATGGTTTTGTGTTGTCCAAAATGCCCCGCCGTAGGGCTGTCGTGCAACTGCTTGAGTACCCTCCCCTTAACTCTCCTTCAGGGATATACAGTGCCCCTTTGTAATACAAAGCTCCATTTCTTTCCTCGAAACCCCTGGTTCCTCTCCATCACCCCTAAGACCTCTGAGCTTATTCTGGGCGTATTCATCATTCTCTGTTTCCTCTACCAGTTCTCTTTGTCCCACCAATGCCGCCCCACACACCCAGCGGTCTTCTGGAATGACATGTCTCTCTTCGGGTGCCCCCTCCTCCAAATATTCAGGTTTGCGTGAGAGAGCGTCCGCCCTAATGTTCTCTGGGCCTGGCACGTAACTAATCTCAAAGTTAAATTTGGAGAACTCCTGGGCCCATCTCACTTGCCGTTGGTTGAGCACTCGTGCCGTCCTCCAATACTCTAGGTTCTTGTGGTCAGTGCACACTTGCACCTTATGTTGTGCGCCAATTAGCAGGTGCCTCCATCTCCGGAACGCCTCATGAATGGCTAGTAGTTCTCGGTCATACACCGTGTAGTTCCTCTCGGATTTGTTCAGCTTTCGCGAAAAAGGCACACGGTCTCCACTCTGACCCCTTCTTGCCTGGCTGCAGAAGCACCGCCCCAATCGCTCTGTCTGATGCGTCAGTTTCCACTCTCATCGGTTTTTGTAAATCCACATGCAGGAGTTGTTGTTCCGAGGCGAAGGCCCTTTTTAGTTCCTCAAATGCTCGCTCCGCCTCCTCAGTCCACACGAACTTCTTCTTACTGCTGAGACAGTCCGTAATGGGCGCCGTCAGGTGGGCAAAGTTTCGGATGAACTTACGATAGAAGTTCCCAAATCCTAGGAACCTCTGCACATCCTTCTTTGTTTTGGGTGTTTTCCATTCCAGCACCGCCTGGACCTTGCCGGGATCCATGGCCAATCCCTTGTCTGACAGGCGATACCCCAGGAATTCCACCTCCTTGGTATGAAACTGACACTTCTCCAGTTTCACCCACAGCTGGTTGGCTTGCAGCCTGCTCAACACTTCTCTGACGTCTCTCACATGCTGCTCCTCATTCTCAGAATACACCAACACGTCGTCTAAAAAGGCCACACAATTCTTGTAAAGCAAAGGCCCCAGGACGTGGTTCATAAACGATTGAAATGTTGCGGAGCCTGCTTGTAGGCCGAAGGGCATAACCAAATATTCAAATGCCCCTAAAGGGGTGAACATAGTGGTTTTCCATTCATCCCCCTTCCTTATTCGTACCAGGTTGTACGCCCCCCTTAGGTCCAGCTTTGTGAAAATCTTTCCCTTCCGCACCCTTGTCAAAATGTCGTCAATCCTGGGCATAGGGAAGGCTACTGGTTCTGACACTGCATTTAAGGCCCTGAAGTCACACACCAGCCTCGGCTTGTTCGTGTTTTTCTTATCCACAAAAACACTGGGCTGCCCCCACCGCCCTGGACTCTCTGATGAACCCTCTCTTCAGGTTCTTGTCAATGAACTCTCTTAACTCCTGCATCTCTCTGTCTGACATGGCGTACAGCTTGCCTACAGGGAGCTGTGCTCCAGGGAGTAAGTTGATTTGACAGTCAAAGGGTCTATGCGGGGGTAGTTGGTCAGCTTCCCTTTCGCTGAAGACGTCACGGAGATCTGCATATTGTCGTGGTACCTTCACGTTCTCTGTTACTTCAGTCCCTGCTAGGGTGGCTTGGACCCCTGCCAAACCCTTTCCCTCTTTGCAGTGTTCTAAGCAATGTGCTGAACCAAAAGAAACCACTCTCTGATGCCAGCCCACCAGCGGATCATGTAACGCTAGCCAGCTCATCCCCAATATAATGGGAGCTCCTCCCAAGGTGGCCACATTAAAAGCTATCAGTTCGGTGTGCCTTGCTACCTTCATTATCATTGGGACGGTCTGCAAGCTGACTTCTCCACCCAACAGCTCCCTGCCATCGATCGTGGTCACCTGCAGGGGGCTGCTTAAAGGGATTGTCTGTATCTGGTGTTCAGCTGCAAACTCTTTGCTCATGAAATTGCAGGAGCTGCCTGAGTCCAACAGCGCCTTTATCTTTAGAGGGTGTCCGTTTGGCAGCTCTAGCGTCACTTCTATCACTAGGGCGGGTTTAGGAGGTTCTGGCGTGGGCACTCTCACTGCTCTTTGGCCTGGCTGCTGTGCCCTGACAGTGGCAGCCAGGCGTTGGCTTTACTTGCTCCGGTATTTCTTCCTCTCTTCCATCCACAGCTCCTACCATCCCTTGCCATTCTTTCCTCTGGGGGCAGACTCTGGCAAAGTGACCTGGCTGTTGGCAGAGATAGCATTTCCGGGCGCCTTTCCCTCCTTCTTTGCCCCCTCACTGGGCTTTGAAACTGCGCGCGCGCGCTGTTCCGATTTCCATCGGCTCTGCCGGTGGGAAAGTTGGCTCTGGAATGTCTGGAATGCGGAACTCCTTCCAACGTTCCCCTTCCCTTCCCGCCTCTCCAATGCTCTCGCCTCCTGGCGCGCCTCCTATGGCCAGCGCTGATTTGGTCAGCTGGTCCATAGACTCCGCCCTGGGCGCCCGGGAAAGTTCGTCTTTCACAGCCGAAGAAAGCCCTTCTTCAAAGAGCATTTGAATGGGTTCCGCCGATAAGTCCCACCCCAATCTGTGAACAAGCATGGTGAACTCAGTCCAGTACTCACGGACAGATCGGCTCCCTGTTTGCAACCCATTAACTGTCTGCGCACCACTCCCTTTTCAATATCGCTGGAAAACATCAGATCCATGGCGCGAAAGAACTTCATCGTGTCCTTTAAGACGTCACTATTCGCTGCCATCAGGGGTCTAACCCAGTCTCTCGCCACCTTTTCAAGATGCTCAATCACGAAAGCCACTCGTGATTCCTCGTCAGGGAATTCATCAAACTGCAGATTGAGGGCATATTGCATTTCTGTCCGAAAACCCTGATAGTTTTTGGGCTCCCCCCCCATCGTCTGCAGCATTCCTGGTACCTTTCTGGCGCCCTGGGTGGCTTTCCCCTTTGTCTGCATCCTGAGCCCTCCTCTCCTCAAGCCTCGCCGTCTGCATCGCTAGCTGGACCTCCAACATCTGGTACCTTTCTTCCAGGCTTGGACCCGCTCCAGCTCCTGCTTCTCCGGTTCCTGCTGGGTTGCTCATGATGCCTTCTCCTGCACAAGCTGCTTTCAAAGACTGTCGGAATGCTGTGATGGGATGATGAGCTGCTTGTGCGTAAAATCGTATCCCCTCAGAGTTTGTTCAAGTCCACAAACCTCTGTCTGTGACGGAGCCCCTCAGACATGGCTACTCTAGTCACTAGCAGATTCCGACAGTGGTTGCTTTCGTAATCGCTTCCAACATAAAAGCTCCTTAACGGAAACACGTCTTCTGGAATCTCTGCGTGACAGTTTCCGGCGAGGAGTGGGTGTTCTTACAGGAGGTCCTGAAACCTCCCCACTGTTTTCGCTGGAAGTGTCTCTGAGCCATCCCTCCAGCTCAGCTCCTCTCCCCTGCTGGTTCCCTCTTCAGCTGCTGCGTCTCTCCCAACCTGTGTGAGCCCTTTCACCTCCCTGTTGGTTCCCTCTTCAGCTGCTGCGTCTCTCCCAACCTGTGTGAGCCCTTTCACCTCCCTTCCGTCCGATGGCAGTTCCCTGACAGTAGGTCTCCAAAAGACGCATTTAGACAAAGGCTGAGGTTGGATTATCAGGGAACTATGCAAGCTCTGAAGTCTGCTAGCTTGTGTCTGTTATGAGCCACTTTAATTTGATAGGGATTTCCCCCCTTGGATTGACAGGATGTCCCAGATTCATTCTAACCATTAACATTTTAACTGCTGCAATTAACATTAGTTTAATCTGGTCTAAGTATGCTGATCTTAGTAACTATATTTTAAAACAGTAATAGATCCAATTTTGCAACATAACAGCAAATTAGAATGATGGAAACCCCACTGTCTTGGATGTATATTGCTGCATATTAATAGTAACAGAAATGACTGGGTCTACTCCACAAATGTGCTTACAATGTGCATTTTAGATCCTTATGAAGACAACATTCCAAATCTTGGAACAATTAAGGTTTCCTCTTCCTCTTGTTTTTAAATTCTGACACAAATGGAAACGTACCTGCTTTGGAATGTACTTTCCATTTTCTCTGAGAACTCTGCTTCGAATCAGAACTTGACTGAAAGAAAGAAAGCCATTATCATACATATGAAATAGAAGAAGAGAATAAGGAGGAAGACAGAAAAATATTCCTGCACGAACACTGCATGTGACATTGATGCAAAATACAACCAAGAGCCTCCCAACAAGTTAGCGATATTCACACAGTTCTTTCATATAAATATCTATTATCTTTCATAGTTTAAAAACATGTGTTGAGCAAGATTTCAAGAACAGCAAGAACTGATTTGGGAACTAATACTAGATATTAATCCAGTAAGGGCAACAGTTTCATTCCTTGCCATAGAGGGCTGCTTCATATACTTCTTTTTTGAAACACAAAAATGCTCCATGAAGAAAACACAGGGCTGCTCATAAATATCTGAAGTGTACAAGCAGTTATTGACCAGACAGCCATTGTGGGGAACCCCCCCCCCTTTTTTAACAAGAAATCAGGGTAGAAAAATACAAATATTCAATCCATGCATTTGCTGTGGGGAAACATTATAGTGTACATATATTTCCCTATATTATCTCCATATTGTAAAACCATAAAGAAGTGAACAGTCATAGAACATGACAAAATCTACTTGAAAAGCACAGATATTTTCAATCACATTAGCCTTGCGATTTTTAATAACTGTTTTCTTATCCCCTTCCACCATCACCACTAGTCCCTTGCTATCGTCTATGTGACTAGAAACAATCTGAAGAAAGATATACATATTTATAGAAGAAAAGCTGGAAAAAGTCCATATAAGGACTAAAGAGAGAAATTAAAATCTAAAAAGCAAAAACAGTCAAAATGAAATTTAGGAATCTGAGTATTACAAATATTACAAATAACAGTGTGTTTTGAATTTTCACCATTTTTAAGATTAAGTATGATAATCCAGGGAAGAAACCAGAGGCCTTTCTCCTGGGCATGGTCGGCCAATTGGTGCCAAAGAAGGACAGAACTTTCTTTATGTATGCCACAACAGCAGCAAGAATACTTATTGCAAAGTATTGGAAGACACAAGATCTACCCACTCTGGAAGAATGGCAGATGAAGGTGATAGACTATATGGAACTGGCGGAAATGACTAGCAGAATCCGAGACCAGGGAGAAGCGTCGGTGGAGGAAGATTGGAAGAAATTTAAAGACTATTTACAGAAACATTGTAAAATTAATGAATGTTAGAATGATGTTGGAATGAATCTATGTGATTTTAGCAAAAATGTAACAAAGATTTAAGAAAAATAGACTGTTAATTGGTGAAAAGAGGGAAAGTAAATTTATATTAAGATCAAGATAAATTTTCAGGACAAAAATTTTGAAGAGAGGGAAAGGATTTGCTGAAATGGATAATTGACTTATAATACAAAAAAGGGAGGTGTGAGGAGGTCAGGGAAACAAGCAAATGAAAGATAAGTTATGGGAAGGTTTGATTTTTTTTGGTTTTTTTAAATTGTTTCTATCTTTATGTTTTTTTATTGTGATGTGTTGTTTTGTCATTGTTTAATTTGGTGTGTTTTCTTTTGCCTTTTTGTAAACTTAAAACCCTAATAAATACTATTTAAAAAAAAAAGATAATCTTGGGGATTTTATTCAGCCCAGCTGACAGGATCCAGGAGCTAGGCTCCACTTTTTCTAGTCTATCTTGTGCATTCTTCTTTGCAAATATACAAAGACCAGGCCTCATTTCCCGAAAACACCCCAAACCTACCTGCTATCTAGATTTCCAGCCACAAAGCCGGGTTTAGAAGTATTCCCAAATACGTACACAGCAAGATATAACCCACCTACTGCAGTTCAGTAAGCCTATGTGCTACCATAAAGTATTGTCATCAATCTCTATAGTTGACAATTATTAGTATAAGTGACGATGCCCAGTTTTCAGTTGCAAGCATCTTTTACCTGTCAGATACTTGCTCCTGGGTGAGTTTTTTGTCACTTTGGAGAAGGATGGATACATAGTGACGAATCATCCCCACAAAGAAGGTTATGAAGACGATTGGGAGAACCACCCATAATCGAATATTAGAGTCCAACAACAGCTCCGGCTCACTCATTGTTTAAATTCAGTTCTGGTCATGCACTTCAACCTTCAGTATCTAGGGGAACAAAGCACAAGAAGTCAATTAAAAATTTCAACTTTCCCAAAATGTTGAGCCAGTTAGCGTGTTGCTAGCCAAGTTTTATTTATTTTGAAGGCTGCCTAAGGTCCCCAGAGCAAAGTGGCTTTTCTAATTCTACCACAGCAGTTATTCCTTACACCCAGGAGTTTCATATGCAGGTGGGAAATTCTTCTTAAGTTACAAGGCAGCCACAGCAAGACACTGGGCAGCAATGGAAGCTCTGTGCATCAATCCCCATTTATCCTCAGGGAAGCACAGTGAAGCTGAATAATTTGCCATTCGAGTATCTGGTACAGGCAGAGGCCTAAGAGAGAGGGTAGGAAGCAAACCGAAATGCCATTAAAAGCAGGCAGCACTCCGCGTGAAGGAGAGCTCCGCGGCCAGTTTCTAACGACAGAGCGCAATCCCGGGACCGACGAAATAGAGACGAGCCCTCTAGAAAAGGGCAAAGTCCTTTAAAAAATTTCTTCAACTATTAGGACTAGGTCAACGGAAACTAGCAAATGTAAATACATGCGCACATACACGGCCTTGCCCTTTCGGAAAAGGGATCACAGCCGGATTCCACACACCTGGAATTAAGTCGCAGGGATGAGGCTCAAGCCCCGGCACCTCTTAAAAAACAACAACCCAACAAATTCACCACAGGTGGGGAGATTTTACACGACCCCTCAGCGCCCACAGCCGCGGGCGGCCCACCCCGGGAGGAGGAAAGCAGACGCCGCGCGGACCCCCCTCAGGCGCACCTGCGCCGCGACCCCCGCCGCGCGCCCACCGGCTCCTTACCTCTCCGGCGGCAGCAGCAGCTCGGTCTCCCTCCCCCGCTTCACCCTTCCGGGAGCGACGCCTGACTCCCTTTCGCGGCGCCCGGTAGGGAGAGACGTCGCGCGTTCGCTGACGTCACTGCGACGCGTCCCGAGCCGGCGCTTGGCGGGAACCTTTGAAAGGCGAGCGAAGGGTGGCTGAGGGAGCGCGCGCGCCGTTGCAACTGCGCCTCGGCGGGGAAGGGAGGCGGGGTTCCATTTGCCTCTCAGTGCCGCGTGAGGGGCGCCTTCTGCTTAAGCGTTGCCGTTCCAGCGCCGCTTCACTGGGACTAAGACCCCGCCGTCCCGGGAATTCAGGAGGAGCGGGACTCGGGCAGGGCTCCGGCTGAACAGCCACGAAGCGGGCGAGGGGTTGTACTTCTGCATGAGCAGGTTGGGTGGTTATCCCTTGGCCTCCGCTGGCCTTCAGCAGCGCTTCCGCGGTTGCTCAGGTGGGTTAACAAACAGCGCAGGTTCGAGTCCTGTCCCTGTTGGCCTTATTGGGCTGGGCTCTCAACCAGTTGTCAAAGTGGGTAGGGATGCAGAATTATATAGGGCTCAAGGACCCACTGAAGCATCATAGGAGGTGGCGCTGCCAAAAATCACTTCTCCCCTGCCTGTTAATGATAGCCTCCATTGCATTGGAGGCATTTCTGTGGCCTGAAGGAAGGGAGGGGAAATCAGGATCCGAGCTGACAGTTGTAAACACAGCAGCAGGATTACGGATAGTGGAGCTTTCCCATCCTTCTTGTTGTGGGAAAGAGCAGGATTTAATGCATTTGGCCTCATCTTTCTTTCCCAAATCACCTGTTGGGTATAGAAGAAAACTGGGGAGGGAGGAGGATTTGTGACCAGGACTGCTTTTTGTCACAGAGATAGGAGAGTTTAAAAATCCAGAATTAAAAATAAAGTGTAATAAATGCAACATGTACACTAATTGTGATCTTGTGTCCAATATGTTCATGAAAATGTATCCAGTTGCACATATGTCTAAAATAAGTAAAATACAGATCTAATATTTGTTACCTCTTGTCAATATGGATTGGTGCACTGCAGTAAATGGCTTACTTCAGCAGATTATTGTAGTAGGCCCTTTTGCCATTCACAGATACTTGCTATTGTAAATAACGTATATTTCAAACAGGTCCTACTGCCATTTCAAGAACAGAGTTGTAGCTTCATAAATTCTCTTTTGTGCACCATTTTATAACAAAACATATCTCCTTCAGTCAGCTTCTAATTGTTTCCCTTCCCTCTCCCCACAGTTGAAATAGACTACCTTAGTGCCTGCTGTCATGGCTCCAAAAAGGAAATTGTCCAAATCTGATGTGGAAGGAGAAAATCTGATGGAAAAGTTACCAAGTATGTAAAGCAAGAATCTTTCCTGTCATCTGGCCCAGTATACCTGAAGTGTCTCTACCCCCATCCTTCAGCCTTCTGGCGGTTCCCTCACTACAAGAAGTGATGTTACAGGGAGCTAGACAGAGAGCCTTCTCGGTAGTGGCACCCGCCCTGTGGAACACCCTCACACCAGAGGTCAAGGAAATAAACAACTATCTGACTTTCTGAAGGCAGCCCTGTTTAGGGAAGTTTTTAATGTTTTATGTTTTATCATGTTTTTAATATTCTGTTGGGAGCTGCCCACAGTGGCTGGGGAAACCCAGGCAGATGGGCGGGGTATAAATAATTTATTATTATTATTATTATTATTAGGCAGAGAACATGCCTTCCTTTTTAGTAATGCCCAATGCAACAACAAAAGTATTCACAGAGCTGATCTCAGTGCTGTTTTCTCCCCAGCCCTGGAATACTTTTTTCTCCATGGTTATGAGCACTGAATACAGTGGTACCTCGGAAGTTGAATGGAATCCGTTCCGGAAGTCCGTTCAACTTCCAAAATGTCCGCAAACCAAGGTGCAGCTCCTGCAGCCAATCAGAAGCCGCGGAAGTCATGTCAGACATTCGGGTTCCAAAGAACGTTCGCAAACCAGAACACTCACTTCCGGGTTTGCAGCATTCGGGAGCCAAAACATTTAACTTGCAAGGCATTTGGGATCCAAGGTACCATTGTATATAATTTCACTGTAAGCTCATTGAGAAAAATTACAAAGGAGAGAATTCTTTATATATCATAAAATGAAAATAATATTCCACAAGTGTGATAATCTTGCTTTGTTTAAGTAATGACATACAGGATTGCTGATGGGGACTTAAATTATGCTCCTACATTTTATGCAGAGTCTATACATATTTTTGCCACGGTGAATGTTCCATCTTCAGCAGAATGCTAGCTTCACTCCTGAGTTAGAGGCTGTGGAATTGCATTGTGCTCTTGGAAGCACTATGTGATAGTCTGGAACTAGAAAAAGCATCAGGGATATTTTCAGAAGTCACACTGTACCTAATGGGTCTCATAACAGTAGGGACAGTCCTGCTGTTCCCAGCTATCCTGCTCTTCCCAGCTTGAGGGAAGACCTGAGTAGTACTGTTCCTCTAAAGAATTCATGAGTGTTTTGGAACTGTGGTGTAACTGAGAACAATTTCTCAATCTCTCCTTATATTCCACACTCGAGAGGGGGGCTGGGGCTTGTCTGTGTCTCATTAAACCTCCAAGTATTTGGAGCGCCTGTGTTTTTGGATATGATCCATGTTTCCCTCTCCAGCTTGAGAAAAGGGCTGTACTGTTGTACTGTTTTTTGGAGGTAGTCTTGGTACATCAGAAGCACAGTAGGATAGAGATATGCTTCATCCTTCATCCTGAGCTTGGAGATGGGAATTGTTCCTGATTTGTACACCAGACACTGGTGAAGTACAACATAAGGTCAGGGACAAGACAACATGCATCCTTTATTGGCAACAAGTCTTGGCTGGCTCTTGTGGTGTATATAATATTCCATAATTCTAATCTGAGGGTTTCAGAGGACAGTCCTACTTTAGTAGCCCCAGTGATTTCATCTTAACTCTCTTCAATGTCCAGTAATTTTAGGACTGGGATTGCAATCCACAAACCACTTACTCAAGTGCTTTGTTAGTTGCACCCTTTATACTAGGGATGGGAAATTTGTGGCCCTCTAAATATTGTTAGACTCCAACTCCCATTAGCCTCAGCCAACATGGCCAATGGTAAGGGATGCTGGGAATTAGTCCAAATAACATCAGGAGGGTCACAGGTTCCCTAACTTTGCTTTATATCATCCTTCCTCTATTGTAAGATTTCCCAGTGAACCAGTGGTCAGGGATGGTGGGAATTGTAGTTCAAAAACAGCTGGAGACCCAGTTTTGGGAAACCCTGCTCTATTGTATGTATCTCCTACACTCTCTTAGAAGGTTGTTCTAGCTTAGGATATATAGCCCTTGGGTTCATCTTCCAAGGGACCTCAAACTTTATACAAACTTCATGATTTAAAGGTTGATTTTTTTTTTCATTTATTTGTATTGAGGTATGTGACTCTCAAATATGACGTTCATTTATCTTACGCTAGTAACTTTTCCATCTTAGAAACAAAGAAATCTTGCACGCTTGGTAAGAACAGATCCATTCCCAAAGATGGAGTTGTAGAGAACAACAATGTTTTTGGGCAGCTCCTCAAGATAGGAGGAATTATACTGAAAGCTGGAGAACGACAGAATGAAATAGGTATATACTTTCATGACATTCTTAGCAGTAATTCTAAAAGGAAATTAAAGTGTAAAACATTTACCTGCTAGTTTTCTGCTACTTTGCACAACTGTTAAAAATAGAGGAGCTCTGCTAGAAATGTATTTATTTAATTTTACCTTTTTAGCATTCTAGCCTCACTACCTCTATGCCAGGGAAAGTTCTGCCAGGTGGATTTCTGTCTGTCACGTGGCAGTTAGTGGGAAGGGCAGAAGGTGGCAGATTCAGACTATTATGACATGAACATGACAGTGTTTGTTCTTCTTGGCACTTTTTCCATAGCTGTGGATGGAGCAATTTTCCAGAAGAAGTTGCATCAAGCATTGAAGAAGCACCCTTCTCAACCACAAGTATGAACTGGCATTATTTCATGTCTTTGAAATTGAAGTGGGCCTGTATTGATTCTAACACCCAAAGCTCTCTGTCTCTGTCCATCTCTTTCTGTCTCTCTCCTGACAAACACAAATTAAAATCTCTTTTTCAGTCCACTTCTCTTATTCTTTACCTTGCATTTTAAATATATGAATTAAATAAAAACAGAACACAAGAGGAAAATAGGAGATCTCCATAATCAATACAGAGTTCTTGCTTATGATTTGCTGCTGACAGATCTGGAAGAAGTATGAAACTGGTCACTGGATTTTTTCATTAAAAAGTAACAATTTACAAATTACAGTTTTATGCATCCCACACAAAGATCAAGAACAGGCATTGTGTAAACAGTAGGCTTTCACTGCTTGATTTGCACATTCATGCATTTGAAACAGTAGGGAAAATTGTTCGGCCTTCATTTTCTCTCTCTCCTTCCCTCCATCCTGTCTAGATTGGTGAGGAGTTCATCAGTGGCTTGGAATCCCACATAGAAAACAGAGATCACTTCAGGAATTGTCTTCTACCATGCATACCCACACAAAGTCAGGAAACAAGGTCAATGAAAAACCTCATTTGTTTTCTCCCTGCAAGTTGCCATGTGAATGGTTTAATACTTGCAGTATGTTACCATGACAGTGTAGTAAATGACTACCTGTATATACTCCAATCTGCCTCTGGACTGCAACTGGAGGTGTTTTTTTAATGTGTGTTTTTTTTAAAAGAAACAAACTTAATTCTGTTGTAATATACACCTTTTAAAGGTCAAGCTCTAAACAACAACAAAAGAGAAGGTACTTGGGGTTAAACTAATTTATTACATGTGTGTCCCTTTGTCTAAGGAGCTCAAAGTGGGGTAGGGAGCGCCTATCACAAATACAGTATATTGTTTTAAACCCAGGTACTCACATGATGCCTTTTTCTAATAAGAATAGCAAAGTGTCTCTCTCCATTACAGTAATGCAATCCATTCATATTGTGAAAGCCTCATTAAACTGCTCCTTGGCATTGAGATATTACAGGTAAGATCGCTTTTCCATGCAGTTCTCCCAACCATCTCCCAGCTTCCTATTATTTATTTATTTATTGCATTTTATATCCCAACCTTTTCAGATTGGCATAGGGGGGGAAACACACCAAGACTGTTCTTGCTCTACAAGCTCACAAACTAAAAAGGCATAAGGGAAAAGGAATGGGAGGGAGGAGGGAAAAGCAACCTTAAGCACAAGTTCCCAAAGTTAAAACCAATATGAGTTACAGTTCTGGCTTGCCCTGACAAAAAGCAATCCCACTCCCTCTACACCCCCCCCCACCCCCACCCCCCGTGGTTCCCCTGGCCCTCTGGAGTAGATGTGGAGAAGCACAGAATGGGGAAGGTCCTATTGCGCAAGCGCTGAATACTGCTCAATAGCTTTATTTACCAAGAATTAGTGCTCTGGGGAAGTTTTACTGCAGTGCTTCATAGCAGAGAACTCTTCTTCAACAGTGGATAATGGGGTTTGGGTCTGCAGTGTTGTGTACACAGTGTGCTACCTCATTGTAAATGTAATTTCTCAAAATGCCTTTTTCTTTTTGGAAGCCTGCTGTTATAAGACTGCTATTTGAAAAACTCCCCGAATTTTTTCACGAAAGGCAAGTACTCCACTACTTTAACTTGAAATGTTGACTGCTCTGCATTTTCCATCTGCTTCTCCTCAACCGCTTGTTGAAATCCTCAAAACTTGATCTCGTTAGCATGCATGAAAGATTTTAAAAATTCTTTGCCACTCATGCCCTATACTCATTTAAGGTTCAGGAACTTGGACAAATTTGTGGTCCTCAAGATGTTGTTGAACCTTAACTCCCATCAGCCCTGACCAGCATGGCCAATAGTCAGGAATGATGGGGGTTGGAATCCAACAACATCTGGAGAGCCAAAGGTTAGTAGTCACCCTGCTATAGAGGACTGAAATTTAAGCTTTTACTGTGTGTTCTTTTCTGCTGTACAAAGCAAGTTTTAGATGGCAGAGTAAATGAATGGATTACAGTGAGCTTTCACTTCCTGGTGCAACTAGACTTCTCTGCGACCCTTCCTCTCCACAGGGAAGTGGGACCAATTTGGATGCTCCTACCCCACCACTTAATGGATCCAAATGGTTTCCAGAGCGTGGTAAGGGATATTTTATCCCATGCTGATGGCCTTTTAGCTGATTCCTTGGTGGCCCGCTCTGGTCATCTCCTGCTTTCACTACTGCAATGTGCTCTAGGTGGGGCTACCTTTGAAGGTGACCCAGAAACTACAACTAATCCAGAATGCGGCAGCAGCTTGGCTGTGACAAACGAAGTTACAGGGAACCAGGCAGAGGGCCTTCTCGGTGGTGGCACCCTCCCTGTCGAACACCCTCCCTTCATATGTCAGGGAGATAAAGAATTGTAAAATTTTTAGAAGAAATCTGAAGGAAGCCCTGTATTGGGAGGTTTTTTAATGCTTGATTTTTTATTTTGTTTTTAGATATGCTATAAGCTGCCCAGAGTGACTGGGGAAACCCAGCCAGTTGGGCGGGGTATAAATAAAATTCATTTTATTTTATTTTATTTTATTTTATTTTATTTTATTTTATTTATTATTACCTACTTTGCTGTTGATCCTGAGGCTGGGTTTCTTGTCTGAAAACTAGTATGTATTGCACTTCCTCAAGTGGCTCATATACAGGATGGCATGGCATATTTATTTTCAACAGAATTTGTTAAAAGAAACTATAGTTCTAAATAAATTGGATTTCGAAATGCTTCTAGAGAGGATGGAGAGCAGTCTTCCATAGCTGCATCTGGAAGTGACTTCAGAAAGAAGGGTTTCTCAGTAATAAAAAGGAACTAGGGCTTATGTTTTATCTCTTCTGATCTTTCAGTGTGGGCAGTGATGGACTCAATTTGCCTCGGCTCATTGTCAATCAGTTAAAATGGCTTGACAGGATAGCTGACAGCAAGGCAAGTACCACCAATGCAATCAATTATGTTTCTCATGGGGTATTGTTTAACATTCAGTGAGCACTAGCAACATGCTAGTTAGATGTTGGTTTCTTTAACACAGAGATGGGAAACTTTTTTGAATTCATGGACCAGATCTTTATCAGATCCTAACCTTGTAGGCCAAATTTGATAGGTGGGTAGGATTGTTCACCTGTCAATCATCTGACATCACAATGGCATCAGGAGCTTGGGTGCTTTGAAGTCCCAAAGTTGGGATTTCGAAGAACTGTGCAGGACCTAAGAAGAGCCCTGCAAAATTCTTTAAAACTCTTACTACACCCCGCGTACCAAAGACTCTGCATCGGTGAGTTGGGAGAGGTGGAGGACATTCAACACAATTTGTTGCAATGCCCTTTATGTACATCCCCTAGACTAAAATTCCTCAATTACATCCTTTGCTCTTTCTCCAACCAACTTCCCCTTGAGCAAATCTCTATTTTGCTGGCTGGCAATAATGTATTTATTACTGCACAGGTTGCAAAATTTGCCTTGGCTGCAAGTAGGTTGAGAGCTAGGCACCAAGACAAGTATAAGGGGAGTGTGAGAAGTGGAGTGCTTAACTTATGCATGTATGATTTTTGTATGTTTGCTTTGCTGTTGTTGCTGTTCAGTTTTAAATTAATTATTTGTATTTTACGCATTGTGGCCAATTGTGGCGGCTTATAGCTTTTAGCAATAAAGATTTCATTCATTTAAAACTCTTAAGGCTTCAGCTTTATCACATATCAGTTTCTGTGTTCATGACTAGTTTCTACAGCAGATTTGGGCACTTTCATATCTTGCTATGTACATAAGACAGGGCATTCTAATTGTACCCACTGATGAATCCATAAACAGTGCCTCTGAGGCTAAGCATTAGGTTTGGGCAGGTACGTATGAGTGCAGGTGATCTTTCGAGTAGCTCCATCCCAGGGCTTTAGCAACCATAACCAGCATTTTTAATTGGGTCTGGAAATGAACTGAGATATTGTGGGGACAAAAGAGATAAGCATTTAAAAATATTTGCATGCTAAGAAACTACAAATAATATATGTCTGATAAATAAACCAATCACTTAGCTTCCATTCTGGATGCATATATGTAGCATACATTTGTTGGCTTCTCTGTGTTTAAGCTGTCATCATTAAGGAAATGTCCTTTTTCTGAGTTCCTGGTGTTCTAAAGCTTTTGTTCATCTGCAGGATCTTGTTCAGAAACTCATGCAGATGATTTGTGTTTCTCCTCCACCAATCCAACACGACATAATCACAAGCCTGCCAGAAATCCTGGAGGATTCTCAGCATAGTGAAATTGCCAGAGAGCTTAGGTAAGCTTGATGCTGCCATGTTCTCTTTTTACTCTCTCTATAATTTTCTGTTAGCTGTTTCTGGTGCCTTAGCTGAAGATACCTTCTGACTAGGCATAAGGTGAAAAGAAGTGAATTTAGAGTGCATCCAGACAAGAGTGACCAGGACTCGCATTAGGTTTGTGGTCCATTAAGACCCCTAATCATTTTCACATGTACTACTGGTAAGCTAGGTGTCCCCCCATTTTATATTTGTACGGCTGGTTATTCCTGCCTTAATGCAGAACCTTACGTTTGTCCCTATAGAAATTCATTTGGTTAATTTTGGCCCAGTTGTCCAATCTGTTAAGGTCAAATTGAATCCCGATTCTGTCTTCTATGGCATAGCTACCCCTCCCAGTTTGATGTCATCTGCATGTTTGATTATCATCCCCTCAATTCCTGCATCCAAACCTTGGCATTCAAGAGACTGCAACCACAATTGTAAGACACTTCTGTGTCTCAGTTCATTTTAAAGGGGTGTGTGTGTGTGTGTGTGTGTGTGTGTGTGTGTGTTTAATTCCAGTTTCAAAAGAGTTCTGAGAGGGAAGGGCATTGAGTTGCCTAGAATTAATATAAGGAGCCTTTAAAGCATGAACTCTGCACATAGTATTTTCTCCATGCCAATCTGATTATTCACAAGAACTGATGGTGGCATCATAATCCTTAAGGCTATATTTCTTAATTCATTGCTGCTGCTGCTGCTGCTGCTGCTGCTGCTGCATTCACTGTGGTCTTCATCTGATGCACTGACAGTCTGAGCTTTTCAAGTGCTCCATAAAAAAGCAATATTTCAGCAGAACCCCACCCCCTCCTCTTCCTCTTCTTATAATACGTGGATAAAACCAGAAGGCCACAAAATTCAAACAAAGTTTTTATTGAACAAGGTCAGCTGATCCTGATGCATTTCAACTAATTAGTCTTCAGGGTAGAAAACTGCACCACACTTCAACATTCTCATATAAGGTCATATATATATATATATATTTGTCACAGGCTGCTTCCTTCCATATTTGGGCATTTACTGTGGAAGAGCCATGCTTTGTTCACTTTTAATAGAGCATCTTCATAGTATCATAATCAAAACAGCTTCCTCCCATGTTTTCCCTTTTCAGCTTCTGTTCCTCTCTCCCAGAAAATCCACTGTGCTTTGTTTATTTAATACAATGGAACAGCTGCATAATTTCTCTTAAGTGTAGATGAACCATTGTCTAATATCTGTTTCTCCCCACACTCCTTAATTGCAGAGTGGGGAAGATCATGACTGGGTGTGCAGCCGGGGTGTGTGTCATTATTTAGCCTAATCCCTAATACGATGATCTCAATTAAGATACCCGCTCCTCCTCGCCCACTACAGAACGTTATCTAGATTCCTGAAATATCAAAGCAGGGTTGCTATTCCATTTACAGTTTAAAGGAAACAAGAATGATTAAATCATCCACATCTGGAAGCACCCACAGTTCAAAATGGATATTTTGTGTTTTATATTTTATTTTCTTGTTTTGATTGTATATTTTAAAATCTTTTGTAAACCCTTTTGTGTATCCTTGATTGAAAAAGAAAGACAGCAAACATGGGCAAGTTATACATTGTAGAGATAATCAAGAAATCATTCATAAACTTTTATTGTAGCAGCGTACAAAACCGTCTTTGTACAAATTGATACTGGATGGACTGTAATCCACTATTGCAGTTTGGGAATTTTGCTAGATCTTAAAAGGTCATTTTGTTGTCCTGCGTTTCAGTTCGTTATTAAAGGAGAAGACTGAGCTGTCTGTTCCAATCCTTGATGCCCTTTCCAGTTTGAATCTAGATGTGGGACTTCTGTCTGAGGTAGGGAGCCCTGTATGGGCACACAAGCAAGATATAAGTGTTGCTTAAAGTCATGATATAGGTGAGACTAGGTACTCTTTGTACATAAATATGTACAAGCATTCAGGGAGAGCATAGGAGAGTTAGAAATTATAGGAATTAGGTTTGCCAAGGCTGGAAGTAATGCATTTTCAGATCTGAAAAATCCTCATTAACTATAGCACGTGGATCCCAGATTTGGATAGCAGACACATTAACATGCAGTCTTGGTGGCTGCTCTGTAATTATGAAATCCTTTCCCTCTGGAGGCTCCCCTAAGCTTGTTCCTGATCACTTTCTGGAAGTTCTGAGTGACTTAAAATATAGGGTAGTGCTTGGTGGTCATTTTTTATTTGAGCCTTCAGGATTCTAGTATATTCTCAGCCTGTGTGAATTTTCCACTAACAACTCCTGAGAACCCTAATAATGAGGTAAGCAAGAACTATAAATAAATGCTGCACTTTCCCCTGCTCCTACAGCTGAAAAATCTCCTGCTCTCAACCTAGGTGCGCCAATCTGTTATGATCACAGTCAGTGCCGTAAAAGTGGAAGATTTGCCTGTAGTAGTTAAATTTATTCTCCGTTCCGTCAAGGCCACAGATGCAACAGAGGTAAAGTGTCCGCTATTAAAGCTGAAAAGTATACTCTTTAGGAATACAGAGATGACTTTGTTGGGATAAGCACTCAAACATTTGTTTTCTTTCTACGTGTGAACAAGATGAGCCAGCACACACCTCTGAAACTAATGTTATAAGTTCATGATTTCCAATTGCTTTAAATCCTTTTTATCTTTTTACCTAGGCAGATAAGAGTATCATTTGGCTAAAGATTTTCATCTTTTAAGCAGGCGCATGACTCTTAAAGAAGTGTGACCCCTTTCTCCGTGCTAAATGCTTGCTTGGCATATAGCAGTCAAAAACTGAATTATGGCTCACAGGGCAGCAAAAGACAATTCTTCACTTGCTGCAGACAAAGGGTTAAAACCAAACTTTTTTTTAATGGGAATAATTTCTTCCTTTTTTTTATTGCTCATTCAGCATTCCTTTCCATAAAAGGAAGTAGAACTAGGTTTGCCTTTTTAAAAACTATTTTAAATATGATAGTTTAAAAAAAATCCACTTTTCAGTCCAAAAACAATGTTAAGCTTTTGTTTAGTTGATGATTCTGTATAAATTATAAAAAGTATTTTTTCAGGCTCCTTCCTTGACATTTACCCCATTTACACTTTTTTTCTCCTACTCCACAATCACTGTCTTAAAATATATGACCATGAATGTTTGTGTGTATTTCTGAGTAATAGCTGCAGAAACCTATGCACTGTGTTATGCAGGTAATTTCTGACCTTCGTAGGAAGTTGGACCTGGACTCGTGTGTTTCACTTCCACTGATTCATGTTTCTCAGACCAAGTTCAGGAGCCAGACTTGGACAAGGTTTGTGTGTTGACATTCAGCTTCACCCAAAGACTTGCAGTCTCCGTGCATGAGCAGTTAGGATGAGGCAAAATCATAGCCTCAGCGAAACATAGCAAAGAAAATATTACATCAGGTTTCTGGTGCCTTTGTTTGCATGGATGGGATTGCAACATTTCATCTCCTTTTGAACGTGTTCACTTTGAAATCTCACTATTTAATTGTTCTCTCCCTTTCAGCTAAAACAGCATCACCATCACAGCTCTATATTTATCTATGCTCATCTCCCCTGGTGGGGTTTTTTTCTTTTTTTGGTAGTACACGTACACATACACACAAAACTAAGAATTCCCACCTGATCCTTTAAGAAGAACATACAGATTCCACAGCTTATCTGCCACAGGGAGGTTTTCTTCTTAAAGATCATATAAATCTTTGGACAGATCTAAGAGTCCCCTACGGGGGTAGGAAATGTTCCATATGACAAGGGTAATGGGTAGAAAGGGGTTGTGGGGTGTGTCCCCAACACATGGAGAGCCTTTCCACCAACAGCAACTGCCAACTATCTGATAGAGGTTTGACAGTTCTTCACACCGTGAGGGTGATTGATACAATGAGGGGACCCAAGACCTCAGTGTGCACTTGGACAATCCTAAGCATTCCCTGGCATGGCTGGTGTGTTAACTGTTGCATCTCCTCCAGCTGTTACCCTCCTTTGCCATTTATTTGCCTTAGATGGTACTGCTGCTTTGTGCAGTTATCACTGCTGCCTTCATTTTAGTGCGTTCCCACTTTCTCGCTCCCTTTCAGTGCTGCTGTGCCTTATACCTGCCAATGCATTCTTTTGTGGGTGGCAATTTAGCCACCAAAGTTAGACTTTACCTGCTTAGCTGCTTTTGTGGTTAAGATGACGGGCTGCCTACCCATCTTGTGCTTCTTTTCAGTCTGTCTGCAAACCAACTGTGTGTCAACCAGGACTGCGTCAAGCTTCTTTTTGAAGTTATAAAGTCTGCTGTTAAATTCCAGAAGACCATTTCAGAAGGCTGGATTAAGGTCAGGGTGTATTTTCTCTGTGGGTATGCACTTTTGCCAAGTTGTTCTTTCTTTCAGATGCAGTTCTATAAAAAATATGTACTTCAGATTTTTATTTAAAGATCCTGTTAAAATCTATTTCCTTTTCAGTAAGGAAATTATATGTGAATGATAGAATCATCACAGAACGGCTATGCTGTTGAATTCAGACTTTGAGTCCTATTTGAGAAAATCAAAACAGAACAGAATAGAATCACAGAGTTGGGAGGAATCTTTTGAGGACATCCAGTCCAGATTCTGCAATGTAGGGTGTAACATACAATCATAGTCATTGAGGAAGAAACAGGAAAGGAAAACACTTGATAGAGCATAACCATATGTAGTAATGAACATGGGCAGTGGAGATGGACAGGCACATGCGTGGGTAGTCTAATGACCAGCATACACTCCTGGGAAGGGACAGCTAACCATGAGCTATCCCTATTCAACACCATCTCTTTATGATGTAATCCTCTCATTGTGCTCTGAAGCCTTTCTATCTCCCTGCTGCCAATGCAGGCCGTCTTAAGCGGCAATCCAATACCCACTCATGGGGAGCAAGCCCCACTGAAAGTGGGACCTGCCTCTGAGTGGACATGTATAAGATTGTGCTGTTAAGGAGGCTTCCTTAACTCTTCCTCATCTGGTGCCTGAGTTCCAACCTGAGTTTGTAACTTTGGCAGTATAACATCTGGCTGCCTGGAATTACTGCTAGGAATGCAGAATGACTGGGAGTAAATTCCTTTCCAAACTTATTAACTAATAGTCAAAAGAAGATAAAATAACACAATAATCCAGGAAGATGCAGATAATAGAATCATAGAATTGAGCTGAGTGGGGATTTGAACCGTGGTCTCCCAGGTCCTAGTCCAACACTCCAACCACTACACCACCAGAACAGAGGCTTATATTCCTGAAATGGGATGAATGTCTCTTTTCAGTATTTGATGGTGAGCCCTAATAAGTTCCAGGAGCATTTTGACTCATGTGGCAGAAGTGCCCAGGTGTGTTTCTCCTCCCCATTCCTATAGCACAACCTTTGTCCTAAGACTGTGGTAGAAGATATGTACAGTGGTACCTCGGGTTACATACGCTTCAGGTTACAGATGCCGCTAACCCAGAAATAGTACCTCGGGTTAAGAACTTTGCTTCAGGATGAGAACAGAAATTATGCAGTGGCGGCGGGGGGAGGCCCCATTAGCTAAAGTGGTGCTTCAGGTTTAGAACAGTTTCAGGTTAAGAACGGACCTCCAGAACGAATTAAGTACTTAACCAGAGGTACCACTGCATTAGGAAGGTTCCAATAGGTTTACACTAATAATAATAATAATAATAATAATAATAATAATAATAATAATTTATTATTTGTACCCCACCCATCTGACTCTGTTGCCAACCCAGCCACTCTGGGTGGATTCCAGCATATATAAAAACACAGCAAATTATTAAATCTTTAAAAGGCTTCCCTATACAGGGCTGCCTTCAGATGTTTCCTAAATGTTATATAATTACTCATCTCCTTAACATTTGATGGGAGGGCATTCCACAGGATGGGCACCACTACTGAGAAGGCCCTCTACCTATGTCTGACTTGTGCATGATTTCATGTGATCCCAGCAATCAGCTGGAAATATGTGTTTAGTCTCTTGTGTAGGGTGGTTATTTGTTCAGCATTGGCAACTGTCTTTTCCGCTTCTGTTCTAGGCCATTGAAAGTGTTGCTTCTGCCTCTGACCATAAGGTAATATCTTAGATTCTGCAGTAGCTGTTCTCTACCTATAATTATTTTTTTAGGGATGTTAATTGAAGGGGGGAACTTTTTTTAAAAATTTCCCAGCAGCAATTACATTAATTTGGAATAGTGTGAAGTTGTCACTTGTGTAGTAAGAGGACATCTTGAAACTGACCTTTACCTTCTTTCACTGCATTTCTAACACACCTGAGTTACCTTTCTAGCTCAATATTTGTAGCAAATCTATCTCTTCACTCAAAGCCATTAGAAGTCAGGTCAAGAGCCAAACTTCTTTTCATCCATCCTCTAAACTGAGAGATCTCAATCTCTGGCCTGCTTGTCGATATGACAGAAAATTGTTCCATTCTTTGGCCAAGATACTAGAATTCTGTTTTAGAGTCTTGTCAGATTCTGCTTTTAGACACTGCCTTCAGTGTATGCACATTTATATTTGATTTACATAAGTACAAAAAGGAGTTGTTTTCAGAATTTGGATTCACTTTCTCCCCTCCGTGTATTTGTGCTATGGAAGAAATTCTTATCAGAAAGTAGATGAGGACTAGGAATGAATTTTCACTGAAACCTTAGTTTATTGTAAACACTGGCTGGGCCTTCCAATCTTTCTTCTGAATCATGAACACTAGGAACGTGTCATTTTAAAAGCAAAACTAAAGAGACGTTTTTCAGAATGCTATATAAAATTACCACAGGTTCTGCCAAGTGAGCTGTCTAGATCCATTGTCTGGTCTGATCCTTATTCTTCTAACTTGTTTGGTTGTTAACCTTTGTTAATTGTTTTACTTGCCAAAAGGTTCTGGATCTGATAATGCTGTTAGTAATCTATGCTACAAATGGCAAGAACAAGAAGCAGATTGAGAGAGTGCTGAAAAACAAGATTCAATCAGGCTGCGTAAGAGAGCAGTTGCTGCGCAATGCCTTCCGTTACTACTTAATGGTGAGTACTTCTGCTGCTGTGTGATCCAGCATGCTGACAGTCTTTCCCCCATTCCATCCTCCGTCCTAAAATCTGCATGACTATTTATTGGTTTGCATACAGACCTTGCTTATTTTATCCACATGGCTGTGTACACAGGTACAGATCTGCATGGAGAGACATTAAAGTAAAACAGGCAGAGATGGTTACAGCTTTTCCTGCAATCATGGTGGTTTCAACTGCAGAAATGGCTGCTGGCTGCCTCTGCATGCTGCCTGATTTATTCTGAAGATAACAAGACTTGTATGTGTGAACTGGCTCTAGGATTCAGGGTGTTACTGGCTCCTACAAAGATATGCTCCCTGAACATGTCCTTCTTTACGTCTGGAAACTGTCAACAGGAGACATCCTCATACGTACACTTCCTAAAGCCGGCTGGAGTAAAACTTCCTTCTGGCAGAACTAGGCAGCGTTGGTGGCTTCTATCCCCTCAGAAGCCTCCTTATTGCTTGCCTCATTGTCTTATTGATTTACAATGTAATTTTAGAAATGTCAGTCTGTCTGGCAAATCTGTATGAATTGCTCCAGTATTTTGTTAGCTCATCTTTGTGAGATGTTGAAGTGTTTCCTGTAATCATTGCCAATCTTTTCAGGACAGTAAAATATAAAAAAAAACCTTAACTTGGAGTAAGATAGACAATTGGAAAGATAGTAGAGGTATGTATCAGAATCTCCCTTTTTTCTGTCTTTATCTAGGTTATGAGAGACCTCTTTCCAGCTGTCCTGTCACTGGCTGAGATCTTTGTACACTCGGCAGATCCCTGCATTGTCTCTTTTGGCTGCTGTATGTACAAGCAAGCATTCACAGTCTTTGACTCTTATTGCCAGCAGGTATAGTTCCATTCTCTGTTTGGTGAAGTGTGTGTGTGTTGTTGCCTTGTAGCAATTGACAGCTACTGGTTCTAATGTAGTGGGGGGCAGAATGCCATGGATCATAGAAGACAACCAGTTTGCATCAAGTTTCCTGTTTTGTAGCCAGGCCTGTGCCAGTGATAGGTGAGATAGGGCACTGGCCAAAGGCCCTTTTCTGGCCACAGCACTATTAGCCACCCTGCAGCTACCAGGGCTGGGCCATGTTCTGGTGGGTGGGAAATATTTAATTCCTCACATTAAACACCACTGAGAGGGAGGGAATAGTTCAGCATATTATTATTTATTAAAATTATTGCCTGCTCTTCACTAGAGAGGTCCCAGGGAAGGTTAGAACAATTTAAAATTCAGAATAAAAATAGATAAAAATCACAATAATATGATAAGTTCTGAAAATGCACACCTCTGGCGTCAAAAGTCAAAACCGTTTATCTGCACTTCTCCCTTTTATTTTCCTTTTGTTACATCAAGATGCCTGCTGTGATTAGTTTGATCAGCACATCTCTGTTCTGTGTTTTGCTCTGGTTTATGTAGAGTTCCTTGTCATTCTCTGCAGTCCAACTTATGTAGGTGCAAACTATGTTAACCAATAGGGGAAAGCTGAACAAGACTATACAGGCAAAGAAGGCAGGGCCGGCCCACCTATGAGATGTGCTGAGGCAGCCACCTCAGGTGGCAGAATCCCAGGAGGCAGTGTCCCCATGACTGTTGGAAAAGTGGCAACTTCCAGCAAGATCTCACCAAAATCTTGAGACATCTTGTGCCCTTCACTTTGTGGGCACTGCTGTGTGACCCAACTGAAGGAGGCCTTGGACTCAGGTGGCAAAACAGGATGGGATGCCTCTGGAAGTAGGCAGCATCTCTAGCCTCTCTTATACCAGGGCAGGGCCATTCTGCCCAAAGCTGGACTGTATGCTTTTCATTTTTCCTTGTGTCTGTTCCTGCAGGAGATTGTGGGTGCCTTGGTAACTCATGCATGTGGTGGCAATAATATTGCAGTTGATGTCTCTCTGGATATGCTCATTGACCTAGTGTCTCTTCACACTTCATCCATAGTTCCTTATGCAGTCTTTCTGAAGGCAAGTATGATACAAAGCTAGGAGCTCTCACTTTGGTACTAACAGCTTAACAACTAACCATTCTTCTTTGGAAGAGTCTGAGCAGTCGGCTGGTGCTTGATGGTCCACCACAGTTTGGTTAATGGTCCACCTTTTGTGGCCCTTTACTCAGAGGAAGTCAGTCCAGGTGTTAACAGTATACTTTTTGCTGTACTGCACATTCTGTTATTAGAATTTATCATGAAGATATGGAGTACTTGGCCTGACTCCGATCTCTCCTTTTCAGAGCATTTTAGATTATATGGATAATCTAAGTCCACAACAAATCCGGAAGCTATTCCAGATTCTTAGCATGCTGGCATTCAGCCAGGGGCACAAAAGCAATCACATTCAGGTGAGTAAAAACATACTGAGTCCTGTAGATCCTGATGGTTATGCACTGTATTGACCTGGCTATAAGCCACACCTGCAAATAAGCCACACCTTTAAAATTCAAGGTTTATTTGCTGGTGCGGCCTGCCTCCCAGCACTAATGCCCTGAACAGGGGGCGGCGGGTGCTCAGCACCCCACTCCCCAAGCCGGTGCTGGCACTCGGCTCCAAATATAAGCCGCACTTTAACTTCTCAGAGTCGGAATTTGGAAAAAAGTGCAGCTTATATTTGGGGCAATACAGTACTACCTCCAAGATGGAATTCCTTTGAGTACCAGTTGCTGAAGAGCACAAGTGGGGAGCATTGCTATTGCACTCATGTCCTGATTCTGGGCTCCCATACGCATCTAGTTCGCCACTGTGAGAACAGGATGATGGACTAAATGGGCTTTTGGTCTGATCCAGCGGGGATGTTCTTATGACCTAATTGCAAATATCTAGATGCCATTGTGTGTGTGTGTGTGTGTGTGTGTGTGTGTGTGTGTTAACAGTGAATGGTCAAAATTTGCTGAACGTTGCTGATACCTGCTACCTTAGAGAGAAAACATTTATCCACTTCTCAGACTTACTCCACTGAATTCCAGCACATGTACTACTTCTACCCTTTCAGGTGTTAGAGATTTCACGCATAATTCAGTGGCATGAGATTTACTGTGACTGCATCTGGATGAGGCGTTGTTATTTCTGACATTCTGGTTCCTCTCTTTCCATGCAGGATGACATGCATATGGTGATCAGGAAGCAACTCTCCAGCACTATTCCAAAGTATAAGCGCATTGGTATTATTGGTGCAGTTACCATGGTGGGAAGCATGGCAGCAAAGAGGTGAGGAAATGGAGAAGAATTTGCACACTGTCGTTTAACTCTTTTCTATATACAGATGGCAACCGAGGGTGTCTCTTGAAAACCGCACCATGAAAATCCCAAGAGAATATAGCAATTTTCAAAAACCAATTTCCAAATATATACCGTATTTTTTGCACCATAGGACGCACCGGACAATAGGACACACTTTGTTTTAGAGGGGGGGAGAACAAGAAAAAATAAATTCTCCCCCTCTCTGCCCAGCGCCCCTTCAGCGAAGTGGCAGGAGGCGCTGTGCAGAGAGGGGGAGAACTTTCCCCCTCTTGTTTTCCCGCTCTAAAACAAGGTGCCGTTTAAGGTGCATTCAGGCGGCTACCTTGGAAGCCTGGAGAGCGAGAGGAGTCCGTGTGCACTGACCCCTCTCGCTCTCCAGGCTTCAGGTTCCTTTCGACCTGCTCTTTGGGGCTGGCGGGGGGAAGCCCACCACCAGCCCCAAAGAGCAGGTCAGGGAGCAGCGGAGAGGCTCCTGCCATAGCCGTGCGTCATCTCTCCAGCCGGGAGAGGGTTGCGGGGCTATGGCTTCTTTAGCCCCGCGCGCGCTATCCCGGCTGGAGAGGTGACGCGCGGCTATGGCAGGAGCCTCAACAGCCGCGTCACCTCTCCAGCCGGGAGAGGGTCGCGGGTGCTGCTTTAGCCCCACGCGCGTCTCCCGGCTGGAGAGGTGACACGGGGCTTTAGAGGCTCCTGCCATAGCTGCGCGTCACCTCTCCAGCCGGGAGAGGGTCGCGGGGCTATGGCGTCTTCGCTCCATAGGACGCACACACATTTTCCCTTCATTTTTGAAGGGAAAAAAGTGTGTCCTATAGAGCGAAAAATACGGTAGGTTGCCCAAAAGAGCTCCATTAAGGCTGATGCCAACAGTATGCCTTAGAACAGGGGCTTCCAAACTGTCGTCCATGGGCAAACTTCATTCAGGTGGATTTGTGGCTGAAGACAGGAGGCAGCTTATCCATTGTGTTAAATATGGTGATTTTTAATTGTATTTTTATTTATTCATTTATTTCTTGTATTCTACTATATTACAGTTTGAAGTCTCTGGAATTCAGATTGTTATACAATAAAATACAATTATATAAGAACTGAAGGACTCAATAAAAATACAGTTTAAAATTGTACAGCGTCTAGCACAGTACATTACAGTTGCTACAATGAGCAGAAAAAAATCATTAATTGGTCCACCAGGACCCTCAGCAATTTTTAAGTGGTCTATGGGGAAAAAGAGAGCAGAGCCTTAGAAAAAGCGAGCAGCAGGATTTCTGTGTTCCCTGTGTACACACAGCGTATACCAATAGTGCAAGAGAGATGAGGGGCACACCGCTTTTCAAATGTCTGCCAAAATGTTGTAGAGCCTAATGATCTGCAATACATTTGCATATGATTTATTGATGCCTTGTTAAAGGTGAGGTAGAATTCTGCGTTCCTGGGCTTTTGAAATGAATGCTATCAAAATGCATTCTGCAAATTAGGAAGGGACCCCTCCATGGTATTGTTTTAATTCTGTGATATGAAGTGATCGAAAACACAACAGAAGCTATAAAATAAAATAATAGTGTTCTTGTGAAGAGACACAATTCTTACTGGATTTCAGTTTTCAGTTCATTAGGCAATAGTATTTGGGGTTCGTTTGTTTTAGAGAGTAAGCCTTCAGAGGATATGTGAGCATTTATGGCATTTGAAGCCACCTCCCTACCCATATGGGACTGTGACAGTTATATCATTGTGATGATTAATTGGACAGTGAATGATGATCAATGAGATGTAAAGAATGTAATGAATTTATGGTCTTTGAAGCAGCCTTAGTTCCATTTCTGTGGCTCAGAAATGTATATGCGAGTGCCCAACTACATCTGTTAAAAATAATTACTCTAAAATATAATTTCAGGAGTAAAGAAAATGGACAGCTCTTGGAACGGGCACAGCTGAGCAAGGAGCAATGTAGACAGGCAAGTATTTGAATATTTGCAGGACCCCTCTGGGAATAGGTAGTATGTGGGGAAGAGATGTGTTTTTTGAAAAATTGCAGCAGAACTGAATGGGAAGGATCAGTCAGTGTAAAGCTTGGGGAGATATTCAGACCAACATGATGCTTGCTTATTTATTAACTTAGAATTTAAACTGACCGGAATCCCCCCCAATTTTAACATGGGGGGGAAGTCGTTAGAAAGTTTCTGCTTTTCATTTTAAACTATCTCCTCCTTTTATGCACTAAAGAGGAGATGCGAGGAGAGAATATTCAAGCCCAAGGCTTGTCAGAGCCTTTGCTCATAATGCTAGAAACCATGGTTTAGTATTATGTGAGGTGAGGCCAGGTAAAGAGGTTAGAAAAATAAACCTGGAAGAATTAATCTGAGAATGGATGAGTGGGAGTTATGGGAGAAGCAGGATGTCAATGTCAGTAAGACAAGGTGTCAGTGTAGATTTGTGCACACAGAATGCGTTTCAGAGATAGGTGTCAGATATTACTTAACATTTGGCTGCTGGTGTTCTTTATAATGTTCACAGGGGAATGTGCACAGGCTGCCTGCACTTGTGGAACCATCACAAGTTGCCTGTACAAATTATCCTATCACAATTATGAGAAGAGCCGTCGACCAAATGCCAGAGTGACATTCATTTGGCTAATGACATTTCTTGTAACCTCTAAAGCCACTTGGGGGTTTGTGGGCTATGTGCGAACATTGGAAAGCTGAAACCATATCATCCTCCAGTAACTACTCTGCTTCTTCTTTTTCTACAGATTATATCTTTACTAGAGCTGGTTTGCTCCTGCTGTGGACAGGTCCCCCAGGCCTTGGCTCTCTATTACGATGAACTTGCCAACTTGATTCAAAAAGGGAATTTGGATTCTCAGATCCTAGTAGGTCATAGAGCTATTGGTCTGCATCCATTCAGTTACAGACATTGTATAACCGTAGCTGGGATAATATTAGCTGAAACAGTAGTCTGGTAAATCATGGTAAACCGTAATCTGAAGCAATTGTGCTCGTGCACATTGCTCCAGTTGTTCCTACTGCTCCCTTTACCAAGCTGAGAGGAAAGCAACCACAACGCTAGCTTAGCATCACATGCAAACCATTGTTCATGTTTGTTTCTCTCTCTATAAGCCATGAGTTGAAGGTTTGTTTTCTACTTCATGCTCTTGATTTATATGGAAGAAACAAACCATGAGCGCTGGTTCACACGTAACACTCCACCAGCACTGTGGTTGGTTTTCACCTGGCTTTTGGCAACGGAAGAAGCAGGGTGGATGCAATTTGAATAACATGCACCAGCATGCTGGATGTTTGTGGTAAGCAAACATGTTTCTGACTTCTTGTTTCTGACTTCTTCTGACTTCTACACCCTAAAATCTTTTTTCCTCTACACCTCTACACCTTTTTTCCTCAAAGAAAGTTTTAACTTACTGCTTTACTAAATCCTTAAATAAAATAATATCTTGTTTTTGGAGGGAAAATAAGGTTTTGGCACCACACCTAAGTGCCATACAACTTGAACCAGTATTGGGAGTAGATTAGGCTAATTAAAGTCTAGGAGGTTAAAGGGGTTCTCAGTGGAAGCAGTCAGAGGAAAAGTAAAACTATCCACTTGATGGTAGTGCGGGATAAATGAGGAGTTGCTTTAACTAGTTTGCATGCTTCACTTCCTCCTTTAACCTGCACCGTCACCCTTCTTCAACATAATTCTTTAAAATGAGTTTTCCTTGTGGAACTGTCATTCTTTCAGGAGTGGATTGAGAACAGTGTGGAGAAGGACTTTGAGAGAGATTTTGTGACAGATCTTCTCCCTATAGAGGACAGGTATTTCAGGAAAAAAACACCATTCACACCTTCAGTACAAAAAATTCAATTAGTTATTGTAGCATTGGCCATCAATTGATATCTGATTTCTCTGCAGTGCTTTCCTGCTCCCAGTGAAGTCCCTGTATAGCTTGGAAGATGACAAAAGTGAGGGAATAATTGCTATTAACTTGTTGCCTCTGCTGTCCCAGAGCTATTTGAGCAAGAATGTAGATGAAGTAGCAGCTAAGAGCCATGACAAAAGGTCAGTGGTGCTTCTCTGTTCTTATTGAGATTAATAGATAACAGCCTTGGGCAAGGCAGAATGTGACTGCTAACGCATACTTTTTAAAATTTAAATGGAATCATGGAAATATGTTGTTCCTTCAGAAAGAACTAGTCAGGATGGTTATGAAGAAAACACGCAGACATTTCTGATAAATGTAAAAAGAAAGGGAAAGAGCAGCAGACTCACAGTATTCCTTTTCAAAACACGTCTCATTGCCTTGCCACAGCTCATGGTCCCTATCTCTCCAGTTTGCTTAGTAGTGCATCTGCGTCTCCCAATTATCCCAACTTTTTTCCCTAGTCCTTGCATATGGGAAGAAAGATTCCAGTTTCATGAGAGGAGGCAATTTATGCAACAAGAAAGATGCAGGCAAATTTAAATATACTTTTAATAATTTGCCAAGTTTTACATGGTCAGAAGAATGTAGTAAGAACACATAAAGCTGCCTTAGGCAAAGTCCAAACTATTTATTCACCTAGCATAGTATTGTCTGGGGTTGGGGTGGCTAACCTGTGCCCCCCCCATACATAAACACAATGAATATGCCTATTAAAGAGATCCCCCAAGGAAACTACTGTTGGTTTTTTAAAGTATTAAGTGGTGTGAGATAATTTGGTGGTCATTTATTGGTCCTGTATAGGTTTAGACCAGGGCAGCCAACATAGTTGTTGGACTCCAGTTCGTATCATCCCAGACCGTTGGTCATGCTGGGTGGAGCTGATGAGAGCTGGAGTCCATCAATGTCTGGAAAGGCTGCAAGTTAGCTACTCCTGATCTAGGGCTTCAGACTGGTCTTTCCAAGCCATGTCTGGAGATACTGAAGACTGGACTAGGACATTTTTCGTTTCTTCTCTCCTTTCTCTCCCCAGGGTTCTGTCTCCTCTGTGTTTGTCACCATTCTTCCGGCTGCTGAGACTCTGCATGGCAGAACTGAATCAAGGGAGCTTAGATGATGTTGATGCCCTATTAGGTACAGGTTATGGACAGTTATCTCTGTGAATGAATGGCATTTATTGCTTTAGTCCATGGACTACAGCAGAAGATAGTTGGCTCTGCCTGACCTAATCTGTCCTGTAATGTCTTTGAGGGCTTGGGATGTTCAGAGCTGGGCTGTGAGCAAAACATCTTATCTTCTAATTTGTTGTCTCTTAAGTTATACTATTCATTCCCCCATAATAGACAATTACTAGGAATCACTGGTCATGTGCCATTTACCTCTCAGGCCAGCTGAACTTAGTTCTGTGTTACTCTGGGAAGGATAAGGTGCTAGCTACCATATACAAATGCAACAGCTAAGAGGGATGGATTGTGAAGGTGGCAGTGGGTGGGTGCTTTGGTTATGTTGAACTTAAGTTAACTTGAGCCCTGGGGTTTTGCCATGTTTGTTACAGGGTGTCCTTTGTATCTGACCAACTTGGAGGTGGTAGGAAAGTTAGATTCCTTATCGAAGCAAGAGCGTGAATTCCTCTGTTCTCTTCTATTTCATGCCCTCAACTGGTTCCGTGAGGTGAGCAGTACTATGCAAGAAATAGATAATTTCCTACTCCTTCAAATCCTGGCTAATAGGCCAGATGTCTGTCTGATATGACAAGTACCATCTCCCCAAAAACATAAAGGGAAGCTTTCCTAAACTGGGTTCTGTGTGTGTCTAAATGGATTCATATTTTCATGACATAAATATTATTTTTGTGTTTGGGAGTGAAGAAGTGTGTGGCTTCCTGACTGGTACATGTAATAAAACACATGCCTTCAGAAGTACACACTTTTTATAATACAGATATTAATATTTGTAACTGGAAAAATAAGTGTACAAAGGAGCCTCCAGGATTCTTTTTTTAAAAAAATGTTTTGTTTGTCACATTACTTTTGTAAAGAGTGTCTGCCCCAAGATGTCAGAGCACTGTCTCATGCAGTATAGTACAGCAATTTCAAAAAACATATCTGCATCATTAAAGCTGTGGGTTCCTGGTCAAGGGGATGAGATTTGCAGATGCACTTCACCGTGTTGTTTGGCTGACATTTTATGGTCCAAGTCAGCAACTTATTTTTAACAGGTGATATATTTGGAATTGGACAAAGGCTGAGGACACAATCCTTATTGTGGAGTGCATTAAGATGTCTCTCCAGTGTGCTCTGGAAGTATCAGATTCGATAAAAGGTTTAGCAGCCATCCTAGATTAGCAGAGGTAGCTAGGAAAGAAGATGTCCCTTTCTCGGTTTCACAATTTCGCTTTGCCTTTCAAGGTGGTGAATGCCTTCTGTCAACAAGATGACCCCGAGATAAAGGGGAAAGTTTTGACTCGGTTACAGAACATTACGGAGCTACAGTGTCTGCTGGAAAAATGCTTGGCAGGTGAGCAAGAACAAAATGCAGGGTTAAAGGGCATGGGGGAAAGAGAATATCCAGTATCTGCATATGTCTACAAGTAGATGGGCTGGCAAACAGGTTGACTGTGGTTTTCCTGTAGGTGTAGGATTGCTGCACAGAGCTACCTGTGTATTTCTCATTGTCACATGGAAATACAATTCATGTAGAAACTTTGTAATGTATGAAGGCTGCCTTAATGTAGTCAACATAATTGCTTCCCCTTTTGTTTCTCAGCAAGCCCTGGATATGTTCCCCCTCTTGCAAATTTTGATTCTGAAACCTCAGAAGGAGTACCTGTTATCAATACCATTGGTGCCACCAAAAAGAAGAGCAAAGGTAACATATGCTAAACTTTATTTTTAAAATAAAAATTCATGGAAGGATATAATTGAGACTATAAACTTTTTTTGCAAATAAGTCCAGGAATGCAGAAGAGGTTATGCAATAAAAAGACTGTATAGCACAGCACCTCAAGCTTAAAGTATAATTGTGCCTTTGTTCAGTGAAGGATTCTGTATATCATGGCCTGTATACCATGGTGCTGCAGGAGTATCAGAAGGGCTGGGTCGACCGGGAGGCTGCCAGGCCTCCACACTGAGAAGGGCTCCCCTCTTCCAGGCTTACCCAGTTCTCCGTCTCTATAGCTACTCCTTCTTGTGAGTAGTAGTACGGCAGCAGTCACTGCTGCGCTAGTGGCATTCCTTTGGAGAGTGAAGATAGGGAGAAAGGTGTTAGCATGAAGGTATTGATTGTTCTCCATGTCTGAGGGGCAGCCTTTGTTTGGAAGGCGCCCAGTGTTTGTGGAGTGTGTTCCTCAAGTGCATAGCGCCTTTCTCCAAGTGCCCCCAGCCCCTCTCCTGAATGCAAAGTCCATATGCAGGGAGCCTGTGAGGCAGCATACCACACACCACAGATGTCAAGAAGTGAAGTGAGCTGTGCTTGGGGCATGCACAGTTTGAATCCTGCAGGTACAACCATGGGATTGAACTGGAGATCCACTGGGTCCAGAAGTCCCATTTGGAGTGGCCTCAGTTGGGCACCAGGTGCTGCTGGGCCCAATTACTTGAGGATCAGGTCTTCTTCGTTGACTTCTGTGGTGTTGTTTTCACTAGGCCATCCTTTTTGCTAGCTTAACTCACGCAGGGCTCCTATGGTCACATGACTGATCAGACGGGGCTTGGGATGCACATTATGTCCCCCCTCCCTCCTGTCCTGGAACGCCCCTTATTCTGGGCTTGCACCAGCTTTGGCTGCTGCAGGAGTTTGCATAGCTCCATCTGAGCCAAGGGTGGGGACTTAGCTGTGTCAGGAACTTGCCAGCTTAGCTGGGGATCTGCTGCATCCGAAGATGCTCATCCCAACAGATCTTGCCCCCTTTCCTTCTATTTGTGAAATGCTCCCTTGTTTTTCAGGGCAAAAAACCCCCAAATCTGATAATGGCAAAAACGGTTCTGCAGACAACTCACAACTGGATGAGAACACAGAAGCAAATCAGCCTGAAGCTGAGATCAGCCAGCCAGAGAAGGTTCTATATAGCCCAAGTTATTTTGAGGAGTATACAAAAGGAAACTAAAAAGAGCAGACTGGGGTGCTGTGGATTTTTTTCTAGAAATCTGAGCTTTATTCTCTCCCTGATTATGAACATCCTCTCATGAAAAATCTGATAAACCACATGATAAAAAAGCAGCATTGGTGCAAGCATGCCAGGGTAATTGGTATCCACTCAGTGGCTTAAGGGGTTGGGGCCAGCAAAAATGCATTTCAGATTCTTAGGGTGCCTTGGATTTTTCAAGTCTTAAATCAGTGTACCCATGATTTGTTATTTTTCCTTCTGGATGTGTAGTACACACTGGCAGCATATACAAATACATGCCCCCTTAGTGAAAATCTAAGACCAGACATTAAGGAAGAAGCACCATAATCTGAATGTGCAGTCTTCCCATTCTGTGATGCTCTTCCAATTCTATTGTCCTATAGCTGTTTTTAAGCACAGACTTGGATGGCTATCTACCTGTCAGGGATTCTATAGCAGCAGCATTTCTTGCATCAGCAGAGGGTTGGGCAAAGATACCTTTGAGATGCCTTACATTTCTATGATTCTATACAGTGGTGCCTCGCAAGACGAAATTAATCCGTTCCGCGAGAGTCTTCGTCTAGCAGTTTTTTCGTCTTGCGAAGCAACCCTATTAGCGGCTTAACGGATTAGCGCTATTAGCGGTTTAGCGGCTATTAAAGGCTTAAAGGCTTAGCGGATTAGCTGCTAAAAGGCTATTAAAGGCTATTAAAGGCTTAGCAGATTAGATAAAGGGGGGGAAAGCGAAAAAAAAATCTCAAGACTTGCAAGACATTTTCGTCTTGCGAAGCAAGCCCATAGGGAAATTCGTCCTGTGAAGCAACTCAAAAACGGAAAACCCTTTCGTCTAGCGGGTTTTCCGTCTTGCGAGGCATTCGTCTTGCGGGGCACCACTGTACTGTTGAAAGGGGAATTTGCACAGTCTGTATCTGTATATGCCACCTGTGTATTTCATCTTATCAAATGCCATTGAGAACCAATGCTGGCCAAATGCAGTGTTACTTTTGCAGTTGACTGGCACTCAGTCAGTTCCCAGAGATGTGTCCTGTGCAAAGAGATATGTTCTTGTTCTTCTTTTGTTTTCAGGACTCCACAGAAAAAGAACCAGAGACTCCTTTGGTACCACTGCAGAGTTATAGTGCGTATTTCCGTGAACTAGACTTAGAGGTTTTTAGCATTATTCACAGTGGCCTGCTGACCAAATCTGCTCTGGATACGGAGATGCACACAAAGGCACGTAAATTTAAAGAACCATGACACAAACTTCAGTGTACTTACTCTCACCTGTTGTGGTGATAATACACAGCAGCAACACACACACTTGTCCCATCCTACTCTGATATCTCCTGAACTAGCATTTTTATGCAGTGCTATATTTAAATGCCTGAAGGTCCTAGAATACTTCATTTATAGGCCCCATAGGAGCATTTGGCTTAATTGTGTCATATTCTTCCCTTAACTTTTTAGACCCATGAAGTGGTGCAGATTGGGCCAACACAGCTTCTGTTCCTTTTGGACGATCTGAGTCGTAAGTTGGAACACATGCTGATTCCAGCTGCTGCAAAGAGAGCCCCCTTTTTTAAGGTACGTACAAAAGAGATAGCAAGAAGGCAATGTGTTTCTTATGTCAGGGACGAAATGCAGCTCCCCAGGCCTCTCTAGCCTGCAGGACTCTCCCCAGGGCATACATCCTCCCGAAACCACAGTTGTCATCAGCTCTGCTTTACAACCTACTTGAGGGTTTTTTTCCCAGTTGAAATGTGTCCTTGAATTCTGATAGTGCTTCTTGCTTGCCTGGGTGGAGGGCAGAGAGGGATGTGGTGAGTGTGTAGAAATTAGCCTAAGTAACACACTCTCTTTGTCCCTTGTGAATTCTGATTCACTCTTGTATACTTCCTGGTTTGATCAAATCTTAGTTTGCTGTTAAACCTGATTTAGTAAACCATGATTTGATCAAAGTAGGAAGCTGGGGAGGGAAGACGAGCGGGGAGGGAGGAAGTCCAAGCCACATTTTTCCAGGTTTGTGCTCTTCAAAAGGTGACCAAGTTATGTGCCCAGCTTTACGCTGGTACCAGCCATGCACTTTAGTCTATACTGGAGACAATTTCATGTTTGCTGAGCATTCATTGGTAAAATCCCTTTCACCTATACTAAGGTTTGATCACTGCATAAAACTTTAAAAACCTTGGATTTTCTACAGGGAAAAGGAAATAGAAATGTTGGATTCTCACATCTTTGTCAAAGATCATCTCAAGAAGTGATTGAATATGCTGTTGAACTCTTGAAGCCACTGTGTAACCACATGGAAAATATGCACAACTACTTCCAGGTTAGAAAGTAAATTGCTTAGACTACATCAACATACAATGTGTGTTTTATCAGGTATGGGGTTTGTTTCCATCATGAGTGTTTTGTAAAGTAGGTGGATCACAATGTAAGCAAGCAAATGGCAGCTTTTTACTTAATAGTTTGTTCTTCAATTAAGGCACTGATTGCAGAGAACCATGGTGTGATCGATGGGCCAAGGGTCAACATTCAAGAACACCACCTCATGTCATCCTGTTACCAGCGATTATTGCAAGTCTTTCACCTTCTGTTTGCTTGGTGAGTGTGTGGAAGTGCAAATATGACAGTGAGGATGAACCATCACTCTTATTTTAGGGCTCTTATTTTTCTTCTTGGCTAGGACTCCCATCAAACAAGCCATTCTTAGCTAAGGTCAGGAATGGGCTCCTGTGAAGCTCATTGTCATATAGCCCTGACACAGTTACTTTGTCAGATTAAGACAAGAATGTAAGCAAAACTTTAGGGTGCTCAACTATGTAATCAGAGCTGATAGTCCTCTGCTGTAGAAATGAGTCCCAAGATTTCTGACGACATGTGGCTGGCAGTCTGTGCATGAAAAGCATACAGAGCTTGAAGAATGCTTACATTTCTCTTCCCCACACTAGGCATTATTGCAAAAGGTGATTGATGTCTTCTCTTTCCTCAGGAGTGGATTTTCTCAACACGAAAACCATAGCTTGCTGAAATCTGGTCTTCGTGTCCTAGCACATAGACTCAAGCCAGGGGAGAGAGATCTCCCTCTTGAGGAGTTGCTCAGGTAAAATAAAGAACATGTCCCTCATGGTGCACCCCTTAGTGTTTTTTTAGTCCCATTCTGAATAGACCACCTTTCCTCTTGTCAAAGTGCCTGATCCTTCCCGATAGTTTTTCAAATGGATCTAAAAGGTAAAGATTCAGAAACAGGATATAGGATCCATCACTGGGCACGGGAAACTGAATATTAGAATGTGTTTATTATGCCAATATATCAGCAATGTTGTTAATAATAATAATAATAATAATAGTAATAGTAATAATAATAATTTCTTTTTTGTATCCTATAGTCAGAGTTTTCAATACTTACTGAACTTCCAGCACAGTATTCCCAACATTTACTGTGCACTGAGCCTCACTCAGCTTCTGCTTGTCATTACTGAAAAATCTGGGACTAGCCAGAAAAGCAATGAAATAGGTAATGTGTACAGAGTTTCCTTGCATTGCATAGCTTTAATTTGTATAAATTATGTGTAGTTTTGAGAGTTTCAGCAAGCACATTGAAGAAGGCATGCTATGCTTTCAAGAAATAAAATGTTGAAATGATTTAATTTATGGTTAGTGTTTCTTAACTAACCTAGATGGAAAGTAGGATTCCAAAGTGGATGATGCACACAATGTTTGTACGTCTTATTGGAAATTCCCTGAAAACAGGGGGAGCTTTGTATGTCACAACCCAACAGAGATCATTGAAAAATAGTTGCAGGATTATGAGACTATGTCTCCAATGGGTGCAGAACCACAGGTGCTTGAGCCCACAGATGTCACAAATGGCAAGAAATAAAAGTTGATGCAAAATCACATGGTGTGTTCAACACATGTTATCTGCCTAGCTCATGGATAGCCAGTATGGTGCCCCTAAAATGTTGCTGGACTACAACTCTCATCATGCCAGACCGTTGGCTTTCTTGGCTGGCCTAATGGGAGTTGGAGTTCAGCAACCTCAGGATAGCCCCATGCTGGCTACCTGACTGAGACACTGAAAGCAGATCAACAGACTGTTGCATGCCCTGCACAATAAAATAAATCCATGCATTCTTCTTTTGTTCTTCTTCAACAGCTTCCATCACTAAACATTTTCTCTGCCAATCATGGCTGCAGCCCAGTGGAATTCGTCAGAAGGGCACCCAGTTTAATGATGCTCTCCACACTTTGTTCTGGTAAGGATGGCTTTATGTTTGAGATATAAGCATAATGCTCTCTACTTTCATTCCCACAAAAAGATCATGATGTAGCAGCCAGTTTATTTCATTTGACATTGAAAATGCCTCATTGGCAACTACTGAGATTGTTTAAAAATCACAATTTCTAATCAAATTGCATTTGTAATTACACTACATTTTTATAATTATGAATGTTGATGAAATAGGGAGGAAAACATCTTTTATGCTTTTCTAGTACATCAAGCCAAATGTAATGTAATGTAGTATAAGCCTTATAAGGCTTTCTGATACCATATGGAATTCTGGTAATTTTTGTAAAAAAAATTGTTCCACACAGTATCTATATGGAGCACACAGATAATATATTGAAGGCGATAGAAGACATTTGCAGTGTTGGGATTCCGCAGCTGATTCAGTCTTCTAAGGATGAATACTCTTCCACTTACCCTACGTTGACCAGGTAATGGGGACCTTGAGATTTATTTTTTCCATTGAACAGTTCTCCAAAAAGAAGGAATATTGGAGAAACTTATATTATGTATACAGCATAAATAATATGTAAATGCTTCAGAGAATAAGAATGCTCAGAAAGCTGTGTATTATTTCAAAATGGTGTGACTTCAGCACAACTTTCTATTTTCACCAGGCAAACTTTTCCAGTTTTCTTCCGAGTGATGATGGCTCAGCTTGAAAGCTCAGCGAAAAGCATTTCTGCTGGAAAACCATCAGATTCCAGTGAGGTAGGGTGACATAGGGTATCTGAGATTTCTAGCAGGAAGTCTGCATGCCATAGCTCTGGCAGAATGTGTTAGAGCGTGTTTCAGCCTCACCATGTACTTCATTCCTGAAGCTCAGAGCTGATTTTGCACAAGTACAATAACTAAGTGGTAAAATAGCACATTTGTAATCGATTGTAAATGTGCGCACACACAAACACTCCATGGCATTTAAGCACAATTGGATTGAAAGTACTTGCTGGAGGAGGATCAAACCCTCACTTGCATTGTTTATTGTAGGGAACCTCAGTCATATAAATGTGTTGTCTTTCATAACTGACAGTGGCCTAAGTGAGATGTAACACTAACCTGTGATTTAGCATTGTGTGAACAAGCCTAGGTGAACCTCAGACTTGCTCATCACCACTGCCTCTCCCTCTCACCTCGAGGAACATATCTCCTGGCAGCAGCCAGATGATACCCAAATAAACATATTTCTACTCTTGTTATTCCACAGGTCCAGCTAGAGAAGTTGCTACACTGGAACCTGGCTGTCCGGGATTTCCACATCCTTGTTAATTTAGTCAAGGTGAGCAGCCTTCACATTAACAAGGAACATGCATTGCTGGAATATGACCGTGCAGGATTCCTGTATTCTTATCCATTTAGTCAAAACGAGTGCCTTTATGTTTAACCTGGAGAAGAGTAAAAAAACAAATGTGATAACCATCATCAAACATCTGAAGGGACTGCCATGCAGAAACAGGGGGCTGTTCCAGAGTGCAGACTAGAATGAATGGGTGGAAATTGCAGGGAAGCTGATTTTGGCTAAACATTAGGAGAAACTTCCTAACAGCAATTTCTTACAAGAGCTTTTCAGCTGGAATGAGCTGCCTCAGGACCTTGTACAGACTTTTACGTTCATTGGGAAGGTGGGAGGAATTGCTTTAACTAGCATTCTGGCTTCTCATCATTCTTTCTGCTGGATCCTTTACTCTTTCCAAACAGGTATTTGACAGTAGGCCTGTGCTCAGTACTTGCCTGAAGGTAAGTTGAGGATCTGATGACAATGGTGGCTCCCACAGGGGCTTACAAATGCATGAGAAGACAATCCCTGCCTTCAAGCTCACACAAAAGAAAAGGGGGCTGGGAGAGAGCAGGGCGGGGGGAAGCAAGCTCAGGTGCTATTTCTTAGTTACAGAGATCTGCAGTGAACAGCAGGAATTGAGGAAAAAATGGAGAGCATCCAAAAGTTGCTGGTCTCTCAGTGCCAAAAACAACCCAGGCAATCTAGGACTTCCAAGAGCCTTCCACTCTGATACTTCAATTTGACTCTGCACCTGGCTATAATTGCAAGGCAGGGAGCACAGAACTTCATTCAGTGAAAGGTGCTTATTATGTGAACTTGGATGTAGGTATGAGGGAGCACCATGCTGATACTTGAAATTACTGGCACATGTACCTTCTGCCCAAGTATTCCTGCTACAGTAGAGAAACTTTGAAGCACAAATACCTTTTGATTACATAGCTACATTGCACTACAGGCATCCTATGAAACAGTTCCTGAGATTGTTTGGGAGAAACTATAGAAATTAAAATGATGTAAATTGGTGGCAGGGATATGCTTTAATACTTCTTCCCTGATTAAGCTGGAAAGGGAAATAAACAAATATGCGAGGTTCCATGCTCTGTGTTGTTAACTCGTGGCTTGTTCAAATAGCATCTCCTAATTATTGTAAGCAATTACCACATTTTCTGCCTTTTTGTCTTTGCTCCATGTAGTATGGGCGTCTTTTTGTGGAAACATTCTTGAAGCTTGGCATGCCCCTATTGGACTGCAGCTTTAAAAAACACAGGGTAAGGTGTTGGAAACAGGGCTGTCTTCTGATTAACACGGGAATGGACTGAACAATTTGTGGCTGCTCTTTCTAAGCATGGAGTATAGTGACTGTGCAAATGATACAATGAAAATGGGGGAGGAAATGTTTGGTATAACTGAGTTGATCTGAGAACTGAACAGTGCTAATAGTGAAACAACTTATGTGCCTTAGTGACACTTCCTTGCAAACCTGCCATGACCCAGAGCATGGGATAATAGTAAGACAGTAACTCAGATAAGGGCTGTTTCGTGTGTTACTTTTAAATGTACATCTCAAAGAGGTTTAGGGGACATGTGGCAAATATGGGCATCATACAAGTACACTTGTCCAGGAACCAAGACTGTACACTTGGTAGCAAACCTGAGTTTGGTGTGATGTAATATGCAAAGCCGTCCTAATTGGTTCAGTATACCCCATTGAGTGAAAACAGAGCCTTGAGTTAGTGATAATGCAGTATTCCAAGTAGCCCAATAGGTGGCAGTTTTGAACAGGCTTGTAAATGGTTTTCTTCCGCCTTCCAGGAGGATGTGCAGAGTTTGCTGAAAACGTTGCAGCTGAGCACTAGACAACTTCACCACATATGTGGCCATTCCAAGGTAAAGAAGGCTACAAAAAAAGGTGTTGGCTTCTAATTTAGTACAATCTGGTCAATCTGCTTTAAGTTCTCTATCAGAGTATGCTCAGTCTTCCCATTTCAGTGATTATTTGTAATGAATTGCAAATCCAGTAAAAGGCTGGGAATCTCCAGGTTGTACTCCAGCTATTCTTGCTTTATCCATTCCTGTCCATGCATAATAAGAAGGGTCCGGCTAACGTTTTTATAAGCTAATTGCTATTAGCCTGTAAGTCTGACCTTTATTATTATGGACATATCACAACCACAGGTATATTCTTCTGGAAGGCTAAATTGTCATCATCTGTTTTGCTACTCCTGATATTGTTTTTTGTTGTTGTTTTGTTGTTGTTGTTGTAAAATAGTAGTAGTAGTAGTAGTAATATAATATTCAACCCTGATCAACTTAAGAAGGTTATATTTATGGCAGCAGACCCTTTCCTGCTCCCCTATGCCCCACTGCCAGTCCTGTTGCCTACAACTTGTTCCTTGATCTTACACTTGCCCTTTTAGAGTTAGCAACTGGGAGAGAAGGTAGAAGACAAACTTCAGAAGAAAGAGCAAGTTTGTCGAAAGGCAACAAGCTACAATATCAATAGCACTCTTAAGTTTATAATATACATTTTACAATCTTTATACTATTTAGTTATAACAACCATATTGAAGGTCGTTATTTCCATCATAGCAGAGACAGGGAGATAAAACCTTGCTGAATGCCATTCAGTGCATTCATAAAACAGGATTTGAAGCCAGATTTCCTATATCCCAAACCACCTGAACAATCCTGATTAAATACAGAAAAAGATGCAGATAAGGATTGTTAATTTCCTTCTGTGCATTTCTTCCATGTGTAGATTCATCAAGACACAGGACTCACCAGCCATGTGCCGCTACTGAAGAAATCCCTTGAGCTGTTTGTTTACCGAGTGAAAGCAATGCTGGCTCTCAATCATTGTCAGGAAGCTTTCTGGGTGGGCGTCCTCAAAAACAGGGATCTGCAGGTGAGAATATATATGTGTACAGCACTACTTGGTTTCTTGTGAATGGCTCATTGACTGAGCTTGGTGGAATTTGAATGGACATCATTATTCAAGTATTAGCAGAGTAAATAACATTTAAATACATGGAAGATCATAACTTTTATGTTATCAGATGTCTTTTTAGAAAGCTGAGTGAACACTAAGCAAGCTCTGTATGGTGAAGAAATGGTAAAGTTAAAATTGTTGGAACTAGATGAGCCATGTGCAACTGCAACGTTATATTGATCTGGGTTCCTCTTCTCTCATCCATGGTGCAGATAGCGTCATAGTGTCTAGTTGTTGCTAACTTGAATGATTTATTTCGATGGAGATCATCTGAAAGGGCCTCTGAACTCAAAGAAATTAATTTTCAGTACTGGCTTTTGGAAGCCAGTTTGCTGACAGTGTGATTATCCTCTTCAATTGAATGATATACGGGTAACATTGACACACACAGTATTTAAGTGAAATAGAATAAGAAATAAGCCCTTTCTTAAATTAAAAGTATTTGTGCCGAGTCCTTCCAGTAGAATGTTTGAAGCAGCTCATAACACACCTTCAAAATACAGGTAAGTAGCCGTGTTGGTCTGACGCAGTCGAAATAAATAAAAAAATTGTCCAGAACAAACTTAGTTGGTCTCCAAGGTGCTACTGGACAATTTATTTATTTTTTATTTCTTCAAAATACAGTCTGTGACAAATGCAAGAACAGCTAAAAAGGGGCAGGGGCAGCAACCAAAAGAGCTTTAAAACCAAATAGTCATATGCCAGGAGTCAAATGCTTGTCTAAAACAAAAGGTCTTCACAGACTAGCAGAAAGCCAGTCAAGAGAGAGGAGAGTTCCATTTTTGAGTGGCATCATAAGTTTATTGTGTCCATTTTAGGGAGAAGAGATTCTTTCACAGGCATCTCAAGCTAGCAAGATGGAGGAGGAGATTTCCAAGCTTCCTACAGAGGTAATTGTCTAAAGCATCTATTGTGGTTGTTGTTGTTTTTATGATCATTATATTCTGCAGTAGGGGAAGGGTCAAGATTATCATTCTGTTTCTGGTACAGGAAATGCACAATGATAAGATGTCTTCACCGTTGTTGTAATCTGAGCTGTGCCACTGTTGCTTCTTTCTCACTAACATCTTTTGCACGAAATGAGCTGCAGTCTGTAGGCTCGAGGGGGGGTAGGCTGACCAATGGGCATAATCCGGTTAGCCTAATGAGATAAGATTAAGATGGAAATGGCACTCTGAACCATTCCTTTCTTGGACATGGAAAGGCAGCAATTTGCACATTGGTGAAACCTACCCCTAACTTTACATATATGCTAATAAGGTTTAAACTGGTGGTGAGGGGCCAAGAAATATTTGGGGTTGTGGTGGCTAGCTCAATGAAAATGCTTATAGATAATGTGCATACATCTGTATCCCTTAATCTTCACCGCTTGTGCATCAGTGCCATGATTTTTTTTTCCCAGGAGGAGGAGGAGGAAGGGGAAGATTCAGAGAATGAAGATGGGATGGATATCAAAGACAGTGATGAAGACAGCTCTGATTAGCATGGGCTATACTGGCTTAATTCTTCATGGCATAATTACTGGAACTAGCAAATTAAAGGAAGCAAATATTGAATGGATTGTGTGTCCAGAACACCTGTGCTTCAGTGAGCTTATGTGGATCTCTAGAAAGATTTGCACCTTGAAAATCAAAGCACTTTTCTCCTTGTATCCAGATCTGTCTCCCTTTTTCTCTCTCATATGCCTTGCTCTCTGTCCATCCCTAAATATTCTCCACCCGTGATATGTAAAAACAAAACATACAACTTTTCATTTGAGTCAAGAATCAAGATTTGAAATGTTTGATTAAACATTTGAAAAAATACTAAAATGTTCATTTTGGTTGCTTTCGTCTCATGAAAATATTTCATTGCTCGTTTGTATAGTGTTCTAGCCTGTTGTGTTGTTTGTAGTGCTACATGCAGAAATATGTATTAAGATCTTTGGAGTTTCATTCACAAATTTACTAAATAAAGTAGAAATCCTAACTGTTGCATGCTGTGGCAAGTGTTTAAAGGGGCTAAAGGGGCACAAATGACATTTCTGTAGGTTTAATTAACCTTCGACAGTTGTGTCCCTTACCCACAAGTCATTTCAAGGCTTCTATGACATTGTCTATATGCATTTAAATAGGGCAGTTGAATGCTATGGAATCATGTCCATGTCTACACATTGAAAAAATATAAATATTGCTATCCTGAATTGCCCAACTAGCTTTAGTCTTTCAAGTATTGCTGTTATCTCTATTTAATATGAAATACATGTAGCTTTCCAGAGCGTAAGAAAATGTTAAGTAAGCAGAGAATCAATCATGCCCCAAATTTCATGAATTAGTTGGGAAGGAAAGCAAATATATGTCTCCTGTTTGTGTAACTTTTTATCTTACAGGGGTGTTAACTGGGGTTTGAATATGTCTTTAAGGTGTGGGATTTGCATTTTAAATTTGGGCAGTCCTGCTTTTTAAAGTCCCTTAGGCCTTTAACTATAATGCTTGATTTTAAATGCTTTATCATAGGGGCACAGCAGTTTCTTCCCTCATAATGGCTATGAAGGAAGGAGTTTTTGTGTCATAAGCTTTCAAGTCCAGAGAAGCATTAATTCCACAGTGTAAAAGTAATACGCAATGCTGCCATATTGGCTTCTGCAGCTACACATCAAAGCTATGAAAAAGAAGAAAATCTGGTAAACCACAACATCAGGAAAAATAAGTATTGTAGGCAAAAGAGTGTGTTCTGAGCCCTTTTCTTAAAAGCATAAGAAGCACAAATATGTTTAAAATTGACTTCGCATGATTTATAAGCGTAAGACTCTCTTGCTTATCTCCCTCTTGCAGGCTTTAGGTATGGTAGACCTGACTTTCCTTAATCTAGAAAAGCCCCTCACTACTGGGCCTCAGAAGAGAAATACTGTACAAGCAAAAGATTGAACCCACAACAAACCCAAATGCCAACTCTGTCTCTGCATCTGCTCAGCAAGCCTAGACTTGCCGCAGTGCGCAGACTCGCGGGTTTGGGGAGGGCGGGGCCCAGGGAAGGACGGCGCACGCGCACTGCAACCTTGGGCCTGCTCCTGCGAGACAGGGAAAAGCAAGCCTGGGGAGACGGGGCTGCGTCTTGTGCGCAAGCGCAGCAGCGTCCGTGGCCGGGGAGGGGGGTGGTCTGCTCCCAGCTGTCGGTCATGTCGGTGCAGGAGGACCCGGTTCAGCGCGAGATCCACCAGGACTGGGCCAACCGCGAGTACATCGAGGTGATCACCAGCTCCATCAAGAAGATCGCGGACTTCCTCAATTCCTTCGGTACAGAAGCCGCCGCCCTGGCCTTCTCCTTCCTTCCTTCCCTGTGGGGGTCGCGATCCCTGCCAAGCGGGGCGGGGGGGTGTCTGGCTGGGGGCGCTGCTTGCCCACCTTTACTTTCCCTTTTCTCCGCCTGCAGACATGTCTTGCCGCTCGCGCCTGGCCACGCTCAACGAGAAGCTGACGGCGCTGGAGAGGCGGATCGAATACATCGAGGCCCGGGTAAGGCGGCGGCGGCGGCGGCTCCTTAGGATGGGGGACCCCGGAAGGCGATGACCCCCTTTGCCTGGCTGGCTGCACCCGCGGCCGACTTGGCTTCGGGGATTCTGCTGCCACGACCCCCTGCTCCCTTTTGCAGGCTTCCTCCAGGCACGGAAGCCAGGCTTGCTTTTGCCCTCCCTGGAGGTTGAGAGGAACCAAAGTGGTCAGGCAGCAGGTTGGGCGCAGGGATGTAAGAAGCCGCCAAATGCTGAGTCAGATCTGGACCGTCCAGCTTAGTATGACCTGTGCTGATGGGCAAGTGGCTCTGCAGGGTTTCAGTCAAGGAATCTTGCCAGCGCTAACTGGATATGCCTGCAATGGAACCGCTGCCACTTAGCTATGGCCCTTGTGTACTTATGATTCATAAATAAGGCACCTCATGGGTCATCTAGTTCAACCCCCTGCACTGCAAAAGCCCTCCAGTCAGCTTCTGCCTTTCCTCCCAAACCTTCCTGTACATAGAAAACTAGCATATAAGGGAGAAGGCAGACACATTGTGATACAAGCCTTTTTTGTTGTTGCCTGGAGCCTTCTTCATCACACACATTTGGCCCACACATTCTACCAAGAAAAATCCGCTACACTTAACGCTGTATTTGATTTTAAGTTATCATATTAGGGGAAAGTACATATATTATTTATATATTTCATAACATGTATACATTGCTTGATTTTTTTTTAAAGCAGTTTACAAAAGTGCTACCAGAGTGGCGTGAAGTAGGTTATTGATGCTCTTTTCTGAAATTTTGGTTGGCATAGTGAAGGTATTGACTTAACATGGATTTGGGATTGTTTCATATGGGTCAGCCCAGCTACTTTTGCTTTATTTTTAGATTTTAAGGCGTTATGTGATCAAGTGTGCCCACAAAAAATAATAATATCTATACTCCTGCACCAATACTACATATAAGTTTCCTAAAGAAACTTAGGAATATCCTCTTCCCCCTTCCCCTCCCAAGAAACCACATTGCAAGGCAAGCAAGCTCTCTTCTTTCTTTTGACAGGTAACAAAAGGTGAAACGCTGACATAGGGTGGCGGAGGCTGGCAGGGAGCCAACCTGGGAAAAAAATGTGCAGCTGTTTACGAAGCTGACGATCAGACATCAAGTTTCTTCATTTCTTAATATGGATGGGAGTTACGCTCGTCTCTGCCCCTTGGGAAGCTGCATCCCCCGTTTGGAGCCTGTGACTTTGTGCGGGTGATTTCCACCTGAAATGGCTAAATTGTACAAGAGCATGTTTAATTATGTGGTTTTTATACAAGCCGATTTATGCGCTTGCAAAGCTCTCTTTAACAGAATCTTTATGAAACCAAATCTTCATTTCTGGGAACACAATGATGGTGGTGATGTTGTTTTTTAACAGTTGAAACAGACCAGGATGTTGGGACTGTGCATAATGGGCAGTTTCAATATACACAGTAAGAGCATCCTGTGGCTGACTTTTGCTGCTGGAAGGTATTGGTTCATTTCGCTGCGGTTGTCCAACAGAATAAATGTGCAGTGTGTTTTGGGGGCAGGGGGAGACTTATCATGTGCCAAGGGAGGGGGGCTTAGTTTTCTAAGTATTTTGTATTCTCTGATGTAACTTGGGGTATCTTTTTTTCCATTTGTGTTTCAACAATAAAACCTCCTGTGCTTAACAAGTCTGGTCAGTCTGCAGCTAGAGTTTGGGATGGGTGTGCATAAGGGATATTGCCGCCGTGTATTTAGCCCATCCAATGCCAGAATAGTGTGAGTGTCCAAGAAAATATTGGTGGACACTTGCAGCTCCCCAGTGTATCCATAGATAAACATTTTAAATGTTTGTGTAAATTTATTTTTATTTTAATATTGTGGAATTCAGTGTTGTGCTAGGAGATTGACCTGTCACTGCAAGCACTTCTGCTCGCCCAGTGGAACAATATCCCCCATGTGCTGTTCTGGGGGTTCTTCCGATCCGAGTGCATGTGGAGGAGGTGTTGCGGGGATGCAGAAAGAGAAGAGGGTAGCCCCACTGTGCTAGTGGGAGAATCTGCCCTGGCTACTACCAGTAGGACCAGGTAGTTCGATTCGGCTCAGTTGCTGTGAACTTGATGGTGAGCACTGGGTAATAAATCAAATGAACAACTAATAATAAAAAATAGATATAAATAGTATACTGCTTAGATGCCTATTTTGGCCTAAGTTATATATTAGTTAATTTTAAAATAACAATAGGCACTGAAAGCTGGGGCAAACCACCATTTATCCACCATGCCACAAACTCTGAGCATGTCAAAGCTATCCATGCCTCTAGAGCAGGGATGAGGAACTGGTGGCCCTCCAGGTATTCTTGGGCTCCCAGTTCCCGTCAGCCCCAGTCAGCATGGCCAGTGGGCAAGGAGGGAGTTTTAAGTACAACATGAGGCAGCTCTTGGGTGTAACTAGGGAAAAGGCCCTGCTCCAGGTCTCCCGCGTTGAGGCTGAGTAAAGGTTTCAGCTTATCCTAGCTAGACATGTTCAAAAAAAATTTAAAAATTGTCCAGTAGCACCCTAGAGACCAACTAAGTTTGTTCTCTCTAAGGTGCTACTGGACAATTTTTTAATTTTTTATTTATTTTGATTGTGTCAGACCAACACGGCCACCTACCTGAACCTAGACATGTTGTTGGCCATGGTGCAGCCACTGTTTCTCCTCTGGCAGCCTGAATGGAAACAGGAAGAGGAGCTTCCAGTCAGCCTTTCAGCTGCCCCTCATACAACCAGCTACATTTTATTTCAAATTGGTGTTGATTCTAATTTCTACAAATGTGCATCACATAACACCTCACCTTGGCCACCCAGTTTCCCAAAAAGAAAGTGGGAAACACATAAAGAGATAAAATAAAGGGGGAAAGTCTGCATGGAAGGAAAAGGCACTGGTCAATCCTGGATGAATGAAGATTAAGAAAACTGCATTTTATTTCAGAATAGGAATCAGAACAATGGTTCTCAGAAACAAAGACACTGATTCAGTGATACTAAATTCCTCATGATGACAAGAAGTCATAGAATGTTCTCTGAAATGCAAGCAATTCATTGATAATGACACAACCCATCATTAGAGTACAGTATTCTGTGCAAGTTGTGCCTTTCCCTTAGTGAAAGTGCAAGGCAGGGGTAGCCAACACTGTCCTCTGGCTGTTGGACTACAATTCCAATCAGCCCCAGCCAGCAAGGTCAGGGGCAATGGGAGTTGTAGTCGAACAATATCTGGCAGAGGGGTACCCTAGGTTAAGCAGAAGTAAAGTCCAAGGTGAATATGTTATTTATAGACAAATAGGTGAGTGGTTGTTTTAAATGTTGCCTTTAATGCTGTAACCCGCCTGGGACTTTAGGGCAGAGGGTAGTAAATAACTAAATAATTATTAAGTTGCATTTATTTTTTACCAGTTTTATTGTTTTATTAAGTTGCCTTTTCAACAATAGACGTCCCCCTGAAAGAGTGCAGTTTCTATTTACGCTGAGCCCCAAATGGTCTGTGCCACCAACCAAAAACGCTTGCTGGCCTTGAAGAGAAATGGGAGGGGGCGCGCAACAACATACACACCACCCTTTGCCAACCTGTTGCCCTCCAGAAGTTTGGGTCTACAACTCCCATTACCCCAAACCAGCACACCAATGATAGCTGGGGGCTGATGGGAGTTGCAATGCATGCCATCTGGAGGGCACCAGGTTGGCGAAGGCTTCTATCCGCACTGCATATCCAGGCATGGCCAAACTTGGCCCTCCAGATGTTTTTTGGGACTACAATTCCCATCATCCCCGACCACTGGTCCTGTTAGCTAGGGGTGATGGGAGTTTTAGTCCCAAAATATCTGGAGGGCCAAGTTTGGCCATGCCTGATGTGCAATCGAAAGCCTGACTTAGGGCACCTCTCTCCCCCTCCCCCGCCGCCTGAGCCACGTCACTTTCACTTTCTTGCTGGGCTTCTTTATCCTGGACTGACTCCGGAGAGGTGAGTCTGCTGCCCATCGTCCTGTCCCCCCCGCCCCAAATGCCTCTGCAACGCCAGCCAGCCTTGCCTAGAGACGGCAACGAGTAGGTCGTGGGCGGCCAAAGGAGGCGCCATTAGGAGCTGGGAAGAAAGTAATGTGCTCGCCTTCCAGTCCGCCGGAGTGTTTCCGCCGGTGGGGCCAAGCCTGGCCGCACTGTGGGCGGGGGAAATGGGGCAACAGGGGCCACTTGAAACTGAATAAACGACGAGGCAGCTGTTTAATGCGACCCCCGCCCCGCTCGTGTCGCAATGGACGGGGTGGCGGGAGGGTCGCGCCTGACAAGCCCACAAGGCCGCCTGGCGGCTGGGCGGAATGGGAGGTGTTTTCCTGTAGGGGCGGAGAAGGGGAAGCTGAGAGGGACGGGCATTTGGTGAGGAAGACTTACTCGAAACCTTTTGTGAAGAAAGAACAGTTCAGGCAGGACCTGGCTGATGATAATGACCGAAGCCGAGCTGTAGAGCGCGTCTGAAAAGCTGGGGGTGTTTTGCTCAGAAGGGCGAGCGGGGGAGAAAGGGTTGTGGGAAGAAACCAAACTTGTTTTTGAGTAGTAGGTGATTCCTTTCTAGTTCATTATGATCCTAATAATAGTAATAATAATATTTATTAATTATACTCAGCCCATCCCGCTGGGTTTCCCCAGCCACTCTGGGCGGCTCCCAACAGAATATTAAAAACATGAGAAAACATCAAACATTAAAAGCTTCCCTTAACAGGGCTGCCTTCAGATGTCTTCTAAAAGTCAGATAGTTGTTTATTTCTTTGACATTCTTTAAGGATTTAAAGCAGTACCACGTCACTTTGACCTCAGACCTCGTGGGGGTCCAGACTATATTTTGAAAATAAAAATAAAAATGAACGAATTCCTATGCCCCACAAATAACCCAGAGATGCGTTTTAATTAAAAGCACACATTCTACTCATGTAAAAACACCAGGCAGGCCCTACAAATAACCCAGAGATGCATTTTAAATAAAAGGATACATTCTACTTATGTAAAAACACGCGGATTCCTGGACCATTTGCGTGCCAGATTTAGAAGGTGATTGGGCCTCAGTTTGCCCACCCATGCTTTAAACCAGGCATGTCCAGCCAGGTCGATTTAATGCGGCCCCCGTGGTAGTATATGTCTTGGGGTAAAATCTTTTAAAAAGCTGGTCGGACCTCATGCATGCTCACTTCATCAAATCTGGCCCTCTTTGAAAAAAGTTTGGGCACCCCAAAGAAGCCTGGGAACTGTAGTTTGTTATGGGTGCTTTTAGGAGATGCGTGTTCCCCAAACAGAACTACAATTCCCAGGGTTCGTTGGGAAAAGGAAGTAATTGTTAGAACTGCTCTGTGAACTGTAGCTCCATGAGGGGAACAGGCATCTCCTAACAACTCTCAGCGACCTTAACAAGCTATGCTTCCTTCCCAGGTTGCTTTGAGGGAAGTAATGACTGGCTTAAGTGGGATAATGCTTATCTAAAGGTGTGGCGCTGATGAGACCTCACTAGTGCTTGCTTCTAGAGGGCTGGGTCAAAAGCAAAAGCTTCTCAGTCTGCCACGCATCTTGTGGACCCTTTAAACCCAATTTCGGGCAAAAACGTCCTCGCTGCACGCTTCCACAGAACATTATTAATACAGGACAATCCTAACCACATCTATCAGAAGTAAGTCCTACTTAATTAACTGGGACTTAGTCCCACATAAATGGATTTGGATTGCAGATTTACATCCCTTGTTCAGGCAGTACAGTTCCAAAGTGGTTCTTGTTTTGGAAATATGCAGTGACAGATGTAAATACGGAGTGGATGGCTAGGTGGGCTGCTTCTGTGTAATATGGGTACGGTAAAGACCCACACATGGATCCTAAAGTCGGTATGCGATGTCAGTGTTATTCCCTTCCCTTCTGTCCACCCGGAAACCTACAAAATGTATTCCAGAGGCCTTTCTCGTGTGAGTTACTGCATGATGGGCAGGCGACATCTTTTCTTCTGGCACTTAAAATGGTTCTTTGCTTGCAGCCTGGCTGTGAGCTGGCGATGGAGTCAGGAGGAGGAGCCACAATGCAGGACTTCCTACTAGACGCCTTAGAGGATCTTGGCCAAGAAGATTTTGAGAAGTTTAAGTTTAAGTTGCGTACTGCAGCAGCTCCCGGGGGTAAGAATATTCCACTTGGACGGATGGAGAAGGCAACTCGGGAGAAGATGGTGGAGCTTCTGGTTGAGTTTTATGAGGAAGAGGCTGCTGCCCTGATGATAACTATTTTTGAAGACATTGGTCTCAAGTACAATGCTTCTAAACTCAGCAAGGGTATGGATTTGTACTCACCTAGATATAATGTGCTATATAATTGACTGCAGTTCAGTATAGCTAATAATCGCTTAGAGCAGGGCTCAGCAAACTTTTTCAGCAGGGGGCCAGTCCACTGTCCCTCAGACCTTGTGGGGGGCCGGACTATATTTTGATTTTTTTAATACGTGAACCAATTCCTATGCCCCACAAATAACCCAGAGATGCATTTTAAATAAAAGCACAAATTCTACTCATGTAAAAACACCAGGCAGGCCCCACAAATAGCCCAGAGATGCATTTTAAATAAAAGGACACATTCTACTCATGTAAAAACACGCTGATTCCAGGACCGTCCGCAGGCTGGATTTAGAAGGTGATTGGGCCGGATCCAGCCCCCGGGCCTTAGTTTGCCTACCCATGGCTTAGAGGCTGTTCACCCACCCCTAGCTCTGCTCACCTCACAATTTTACAAGTTCATTGTATTTTTATTTTTCAAAAGTGACTCCTTTCTGTGGAAGTTCTCTGGCACAAAACAAAAATTGCCATTGCAGGTAACAAGAGGCTGGAAGGGAAAAGGGGAGGAAAGGAAACAGCAGCCCTTCACACAAATCCTTTCCAGACTTGGGGTGACACATTTTTTCTTTTTTTTTTACTGCTCTTCTGTGAAAATCTGGTATATATGAAAACTTGTTATTTCTAAAATAAAATAAAATAATTTGGAACGTGTGCACACAGGTGAACACATATCTGTGAGCAAGCCTACAGGTGGCCTAGATTTCCTGGCTTGGAGCCACACACACATATTTTAAAAATTATTTCTGACTGTTCTGTGTAAATCTGGTATATTTTAAAACTTGTATTTCAGTTTTTATTTTTTTACAAAAAATTAAAAGGTGCATGTAGGGGTAAACAAATACCTGCTTGCATTCCCACAAGGGACCTCAGGTATCCAGAACTTACCATGGGCAGGAACATACTAACTGAGGGGACAGGGACAGCAACATACAGTGCAGTACATCCCATCAAGCCCCACTGCTATTGAGGACTGGAAACACTGAGATAGATTTTAGAGGCATAAAATTGAAATTGCTCCTCTGTGGATGAAGGCATACATATACACACAGAGAAAATAATTACTCGTGTTCACATTAGTGCCCTGGTGTAGACACAGCCCAAGTGAAAATAATTCCTTTCTGACAGAAACCTTCCAAAATGTTCTCAGATAGCTTGGGGGGGGGGCTTACTTTCCTCAAGCCATTCAACCAAGCAAAATGTTTTTAAACACCGTCAGTTTACTTTCATTTGCTAAAATACAGTTCCTTCCATTTGTTCTGAAACTACATAGTAAAGGGAGGGAGAGACTTTTAAGCGCCAATAAGAAGGAGGAAATGAAAAGGAAGGAAAGAACTCTGATCAGATGGAGGGATGAGGCATGGTGGGCGCTGCATAAAATAGGGTTGGGATGGGCACATGGGGCTGCCTTGCTGCAGGTTGCCCACCTGTGATGCAGATGATATAGAACTGAATTTGATTCCAAATGCTAGTTGACCTAAAGCCCCAAAGCCTGTCTCAAAGCTGGCCTGAACTCAGATTTTCAGGAAGGGACTTGGTATGTGCAGTGATCCTTTCAACTTTCCTATACATTATGAGCACCAGAGTTAAAAACCTACTGATCGCAATACAAAAATGTCTGACCAGTTATTTTATTTCTTTTTCAGAGGTTGGGAAGCAATTTCAAGGTATGTAAGCACCTCATCGTAAGCCATTGTAAGTTTTAGTCTAGAATTCAAGATAAGTGGCTCCCTTGTCATAACTTTTCGAAAGCAGCCTAGAGAGCCAAGAAGACTCTTGAGGCTCAGTAATTTGTAGAATATGTTTGAAGGAGAAAAGCAAACAAAATTGGATAACCACAGGATTGTGAGGCATAACTGCAGATATCAGGTAAGCATGGCCTCTGGAAGATGTAAGTATTTGCATTGCTCTCTAATTTGGGAATATTGCACTGTACCAGTATTAAGAGGGGAGGGAGTGGTAATAGAGAGCTGGTGCTAGACAGAACAGGACTAGAGTTATTCTTCTAGCATTGCCGATGAGCTCTAAAATGGTCAGTGGTGATCAGCGTCTGGCCTCCCAAGAGATTGTTTGTGGCTCCCAAAGATTCCCCCACATTTGAATTTTTTATTTTAAGTAAGCTTTCTTTAATTGCTCGCTCCTATGCCCCTCCTTTTCTTTTTTAATCTGTTTAGTTTCTGCTCCCACAGATATACCTGTGATGCCAAAAGGTTTTCTGTGTCCCCAAGCCCCTCCCTTCAAAGTTGACTTTTTATTTATTTTTTAAAATACTGATCACTCCCAGACATCCCCTGCTGTAACCTTTTGATGCCAAAAGGTTTTTCTGAAAACTTGTTCTTTCCAATGCTAATAAACAAAGACACAAATTGACCACACCCACTTCCCCCTCTGTGACTACAGACACTTTTTTACCAGCAGTGTGCACTTTGACATGCCCATGAGTCAGTACATTTTCATATATATCTTGTTTATGATGGGGAGAAATACAGATCCCATAAAGTAGAGCCAAAGTGAAAGAGGTGTATGCTAGTTTAGGTTTTCCTCAACGATAGGAACAATTCAGAAACAGTTCAGGCAAACGGTATGCCTGATTCAGGGTATTTGAATGTTTTAATGTATTTTTAATAGTTTGTTGGAAGCCGCCCAGAGTGGCTGGGGAAACCCAGCCAGATGGGTGGGGTATAAATTATTCTTCTTATTATTATTATTAACTTTGCAAACTTGCAAACACAGACCTTGGTAGTCTTGAGCAAAAGAAAAGTTATTTAACTCAGAGGGTCTGCATAGACAAGGGACCACTGGGAAATCAAGGGGGGCCTGGCATCAGGCAAGCATGTTGCAATGCCATGGCAGGTGGTTAATCCTTCTCTCTGTCTATACTAGATTACAAAAAAAGGTATGCTGAGAACGTGAAGGAAGAATACTTGCTAACAGAGGACAGAAACAGTCTCTTTGGTGAGAGCACCCCATTAAATGCCCGCTATATAGAGTTACTTATCATCAAAAAACACCGGCCTCAGAAGCAGAGGGAACATGAATTGGTTGCTACTGGCAGGCTGCACATGGACATCTTGGAAACCAACAGTTCAAATTATTCATCAACTGATATACAAAGCCTTTTTGAACCTGATGAATCGGGAATAGCCCCAAGAACTGTGGTGTTGCAAGGACCTGCTGGTATTGGTAAAACGATGACCGTGCAGAAGATTATGCTGGGCTGGGCTGCTGGGGAGCTGTACCAGGACGTCTTTGACTACGTGTTCTGTATTCGCTGCAGAGAACTAAGCCTTCCTGAAGATGCCAGCAGCCTGGCTGACCTTATTGTAGATCAGTGTCAAGACATGTATGCCCCAGTGAAAGGGATTTTAGCCCACCCTGAAAAGCTGCTTTTCATCATTGATGGCTTTGATGAGCTTTGTTGCTCCTTAGAGCTCATAGGAGACAGTTTCTGTGATGATCCTTATTCAAAGATGTCCATACAGGGTGTTCTGAGCAGCTTGTTGAGAAAGAAGCTTTTGCCCAAATCCTACTTGTTAATCACCACAAGACCTGGTGCTGCAGAGAAGCTGCATGAGTGCTTGAAGTTTCCGAGATTTGCTGAGATCCTTGGATTCACTGAGAAAGGTCGCCGTGAGTATTTTTTCAAGTTCTTTAAAGATGATCAGAAAGCCAACCTAGCACTGAGATTCATTGAAAATACCAGTGCAGTCTCCACCATCTGCTTCATCCCCATGGTGTGCTGGATCATCTGCTCTGTCATCAGAGTTGAACTGGAAACTGAAGACGAGATTGCAGACACCTTGGACACCACAACAAAAGTCTTTGTACAGTTTTCTCACAATCTTCTTAAGCATGATTCTGCGAAATGGAAGAACTCCTCTCTGAATGAGCTCGGAAGGCTCTGTTCCTTGGCACGGGCTGGCATCCTGGGACAGAAAATCCTCTTTGAGGAGCAGGATCTCAAGGAGCATCATTTGGAGGTTTCTGCTCTTAAAGACCTCTTTCTAGACAGAAGAACATTCCAGAGGGGGGTTGGCCGGCACAACCTGTACAGTTTTCTCCATCTCTGCTTCCAGGAGTTTTTTGCTGCCATGTGGTATATTCTGCAGAAGGACTCAACGGAAGTTTCAGATAACAGTATGGGGGACTTGAAGACACTTTTAGCTGAGTGCGAGAAGCCAGGCAATGAGCATTTAACATTAACAGTATGCTTCGTATTTGGCCTGAGCAGTGAAAAGGTGCGCATCTTTCTTGAGCAGACTCTGCAGTGCAAGACATCTGACCTTGTGAAGCCTTTCTTGCTTCAGAGAGCAGAAGAAGTGGCGACTGAGGAGCCTCCTCGAAAAGGTCATTGCCTGCTGAAGTTTTTCCACTGCCTGTTTGAGACCCAGGAAGCAGAATTTGCAAACCGTGTGATGCATCATTTCCAGAATATTAACCTTTCTTACCAGATGCTCTCGGTGCTGGACTGCAGGGTTTTGGCGTTCTGCTTGCAGCACAGTAAAATCGAGGATCACTCCATTGATCTAACGTTTTGCAGGCTGAAGTCTTACCACATGAGAGCTTTGGCTCCAGGAATAAAAAACTGTACAACTTTAAAGTAAGTGATGCCATCATATTGTTTTTTTAGGAACAGCAAATGCCAGGCATTTCAGGATTTGAGTGGAGAGCCTTTGGGTTGGGCACTGATTTGTTTTTCCCTTTGTTACTAGGATTACTTGTCAAAGGAAGACACTCCCAGACTCAAGCACACTGTGTTGTAGTGGTGGAATAGCCATGTATTCACTTCTTCACCATTTCTGAAACCATATGAAATCAATGTGGCAATATATGCCTTGTATAAATGCCTTGCTGTCAGTAACCATGGCTCAAAATCCCTTCCAGTCTCCATCTTTGGCTCAAAAGCTCATGCAGTCTCCTTGTCCCCCTGCCTAGAATAGTATGCACAAGAAGGCGAAAAGCCCCTGGTTTCCTTGGCTTGAAAATCCTAGACCAGCAAAGTCATGCATGTAGTTGGGAGATGCATACTGGGCTTGGAAAAATAAATGTTGATGGTGGTGTAACTAATGTATTCCTGGTCACCATTCTATTTCTCAATAGAAATTTTGAAATAAGGAAATAAAGGCTATATTCCCATACACACCTACGTGGGTGTAAATCTCCTTGAACTCAATAGGACCCTTCAGTAGCTATGCATAGGAGTGCATGGAAGGAGTGTTATTTTTCCACTAAGTACACAGGTGCCAGCCTTCCCCATAAAAACTTTGTTCTGTTCTCTAACACCTAGAATTGGTTGGCACTGTGGTAAGAGTGCCCATCTGCTTGGCCGCTCTAGAGTTTCATAGAACTCAAAAACTTGCAATTAGAAATCTCTGTGTGTTCAGTCAAAACAAATTTCACCATAGATTCCAATTTGTATTACAGCTACATTTTAGTTTTGACAGAATTCTGGCTTGTGGTTGTTTTTGGACCAGAAACAGTACCATGGTTGGAGAACAGAAGGAACGCATTGGGGAGCAATAAGTGTGTAGGGGCAAGGAAGGGAATAGAGCGTGGGATCCTTCTTGCCCATAGCACCCTCAGAAAGCCACTTCCTCATACACAAACTTTTAGTAATCCCTAATTTTCAAGTATTTCTCTGTAAATGGCTAGAAGCCTGTTCTTTTCATAAGGAAGTGGAGATTTCACACTTCTGTGTGAGCTATTAAGTTTCTACATTGGATGGTCCAGTTCCAACTATGCAGACCCACCTTCTTATATTCCTCCTAGATTTTGAAGAATCAGCCCTGAATCTTTTTTCGTCTTTCTCATTCTCTGTCTTTCTCATTGTAGCTTTGGAAGTAACAAACTTGGAAACTCAGGAGTGCATGTTCTCTGTGCCACTCTGAAGGAACTAGACTGTAATGTGACCACACTAAAGTAAGTAACAAGGGAGCAGAGACACATACAAAAAGTTGGGTGTATGTATGACATCTTTGTGGGCTTGGAGTTCAGATTATTTGCTATCTGCGCACTATTCCAATGGGGTGCAGGGTCTGTGGGAGTCTGGATGCAACTAGCTGGCAGTGAGAGAGAAATTTCACAGTGGGAAGGGTTTTTAGACACAAGTAGCCAGACACTGGTGCTGAGAGCAGGCTGCAAAGACAGAGTAAGGTCTGGGAACAAGACCAACAGGACCAGGGACAGCTCCACATCAGCAGACAAGTTGTCTCCAGGAGATACAGAGCTCATCTCCTTATAATTTCCTCTTAATAACTGCTCAAGTCCCACTTCCAAGTAAAGTGGGGGGAGGAAAGCACTCTGGCTCAGTAGCTTCCTAGTATGCCTTCTGGCACATAAGGCAATGAGGAAAGAGGAATGTTAGGCATTCCTCATACTGACTATTCAAGCTGGCAACTTGGCTTCGAGTTGCAAGTTAAATTCTGGAAGTAGACTGAATAATAGTTTGCTTGTAACTATATATTCCTTTGAGTCTGTTCTCACCAAAGCTTTGAGGAAAGGATAATAGTGCTTAGACGTAGTGTGTGATCTGCCTATGACCTTGCGTCCATTTTGTCCCTGCCAGTCTTCATGAGAATTACCTCACAGATGCTTGCTCCCAAGAACTTTGCACTATTCTGAGCACCAGCCACACGCTCTGCACCCTAAACCTTCAAGACAACTCCTTCTCAGAGGTTTCTGTGCCTTTCATCCGCCACCTCATGGAGATCTGCCCCAGCCTGACTGTTCTGTTGTAAGTGCTGATAAAGGGTGGGAGAGAGAACTAACCTTGCCTTCCAGGAAACTGATAGGATTGCTTTGCTGTTGTCGCTCCTGAGGCCAAAGAAGTGAAGTGGCAGGATGGGAGGAGTATTTTGACTGAATGGCAAAGGATTAAGAGCAGGTTTCTCAGAGCATATCTGACCTTACAACTTGTCACCAGAAGAGTTTGCTCTTTATAAGCAGATTTCAACATAACAAATACACACATTTATGCTGAAATCACACACATTTCCATCCAGAAACAGAGGGTGATTAAAAGAAAAGGGAAATTGCTGTTTCCAGTTCCTTTACATGGGAATAAAATGGTTTGAGCACATGATGTAAGGCCAAAAGATGAAGCCAGTAAAACTTTCCATTCTGCTAGCACGCTCTCCTCCTGCTCTCATTTAGGTCCAACATAGAGATTGATAGTTGTGTAACCACCCAGTTCATCCCACCAGATTTGCTCCTGGCCAACTGAAGACATGCTACAGACTTGCCAGATTCAATTAAAGCTATGGTGTCTTGGACGTAGGAAGAGAAGGAAAGAAAGAAAGAAAGAAAGAAAGAAAGAAAGAAAGAAAGAAGTTGTGATGATGCTTCTTGCTTGCCTCAAGGATACATTGCAGCCAAGCAAACACACTTGAGGCTTTGCAACAGTGTCAGTGAGGAAGAGGGAGAGAGGAAATACAACCTAAGTAAGGAGAGTCCTGAGTGCTGGAGGGCTGCATTTGGCTTTTGGGCTTGAGATTCCCTTCCCCTGCCTCAGTCACATATGTCGAGCTCCTGCATACCCTTAAAACATATCACTCACTTCATTACCTTAAGTTAAATCACTGGATCCTTCCTTTCTCTGCTGCTCACTTCATATCATAGGATATGAAGACAGAAGGTAGCATTGCAGCCCACTCATAAAAACTGCAGCTTCAGATCCTGGTACAGTGGTGCCTCAGGTTAAGTACATAATTCGTTCCGGAGGTCCGTTCTTAACCTGAAACTGTTCTTAACCTGAAGCACCACTGAAGGAATGGGTTTCTGTGTAGCAAGTTTAAAACTGACTCAACCCCCCCCCCTTTTGTTCTTTCAAAAGAGAGCATTTTAAAATGCGTAAAACTTGAGCTGTTGATTAAAAGCATAATAAGGACACAATTGCATAAACAAGCTCTCTCCTTTATCAGTCACGGGGAGAGATGACCCTGACTCTTTAGGGGAACAAAGAAAACACGTCAATACTTTATCTTATGTGCTCACCACAAAATACGTGGGGACCGATGTCCGGGAAAAACGCCAAAAGCGTGTTCCCGGAGATCATGACCTCTTCCAAGATAAGAGTAGGAACAGGAATATCCTTTTATGGTCAGGAGTGCAGGAAGGAAATCCCTTTTATGGTTAAGAGTGCCGGAGCAGGAACATCTGTGATGTCAACCTGCGTGTACAAGCTGACGTGACTGGGGAAGGGGGAGAGGTGCCTGGAGGATATATATACTGCATGAAACTTGTCATTTCTTTGGACTTGCTGTGGACTTGATCACGCAAGTGCCTTCTGCTATCCGGAGAGCAGAATAAACTCTTTCTTTGAACCAACTCAGTGTCATTTGACTTCCTTCCTCCTGTCCCAGAGCAATGCAGACCCAGTCGGTGAACTCCAATAAGGCTACACCACTTTAGCTAATGGGGCCTCCTGCTGCCGCTGCGCCACCAGAGCACAATTTCTGTTCTCATCCTGAAGCAAAGTTCTTAACCCGAGGTACTTTTCTGGGTTAGCGGAGTCTGTAACCTGAAGCGTACGTAACCTGAAGTGTGTGTAACCCGAGGTACCACTGTATTCATTTGTACTCATTTCTGGTTATCTTTCCTTTTCTTCCAGGTTGGGTAGTAATGGATTTGGTGAAAAAGGAAGGAAACGCTTGAAACAGCAAGAGAAGAAGTTAACTAAGTCAGGACGTCCTTTTTTGTTGTGGCTGTGACACATTCTAATTTGTATGCTCTGGATCAACAGCAGTCATGTTACCAAAGGGCAGCATTGTACTGAATCAGGTAAACGTGCTTGTAGCTGCAGGATGGGAGTTCTAGAGCTGAACATTTTTTTAAAAGAAAGAAAGGCAGCTTTAAGGCTCAGATGCAGAGCTGCCAACTTTAGTTGTTGAAATTGCTTCCCAAACAGGAAGGATGAAATGAGCAGTCATTGGATTAAAAAAGTAAGCACTTTGATCAGCTATCTGATTATTTATTTTTTTTAGTATTTTCTTACTCAACCTAGCAGCCTTGTTTTAATTTCACTTTAATTTGTATACCACCTTTCTATATTGCTCTACAGAAGGCAGTTTACAAGCTGAAGAAACAACAAAATTAAACAACACCGATCACACATCTTATTAACGATCCAATCCAACAGAAATAAGGCAAATAAAAAAATATGGCTTAAAATCAACAACTTATATCCAATACAGTGGTGCCTCGCAAGACGAAATTAATTCGTTCCGCGAGTCTTTTCGTCTTGCGGTTTTTTTCGTCTTGCGAAGCACGGTGTCGGAAAAGTTTTGGAAAAGCTTCAAAAATCACCAAAGTCTTCAAAAACCTCAAAAAAAGGCTACCACACCACGTGCTATGAGTTGCTCCTCGAAGTCAAGTCGCAACTGTATTAACGGTTTTAAGAAAAAGAAACAAACTTGCAAGACGTTTCCGTCTTGCGAAGCAAGCCCATAGGGAAAATTGTCTTGCGAAGCAACTCAAAAAACCAAAAACCCTTTCGTTTTGCGAGTTTTCCGTCTTGCGAGGCATTCGTCTTGCGAGGTACCACTGTAAAGTAATATTCAACAGTCCCATTAGAATATAATAGTACCCTATAAAAATAAATTTCAAAATACCAACAAATAACAATTAAATAGAAATCCACTATCAACAATTACAATAAATCATTACTTAAATTATAAAGATAACAGCAAAATTACAATACATAAGATACCGCAATACATAAAAATTCTTGTAAAAAGATCAAATTGAGCAGCAGGGGCACATAGTTTATGAAATTATTAAAAGATTCCCCCCTCCCCAGGTCACACAAAACTCCTCTCTTCCAGCTGCTTTTGCTGTTCTTAAAGCAAAGGCTGTTGAGAAAGGCTGTTGCTCAGCTGGACGCGATTAAGGGCAGGCAAAATGAGGCTCTTTTGCTGTTCTTCACACTTCCCAGCCAAGGGAGCTGACAAGCTGCTGAGGCAGTTGTAGTTGTTAAAATGAGATGAAGAAGCAAGGTGTTATGGCTACTCACATCTCCATGAGTGGATAGAAACTAAATATTCTCATAGCTTTATTACAAGTCCTGCAATCTTTGTCCACTAATGTGAAAGTTGGCAACCATGTTATGGTATCTTCTAGAGTTGCCATATTTTGAAGATCAAAAAAAAGGACACATTTGCCAACTTCTACTTTATAACTTTGGATCGCTATGACAACACTTATTTTACATACCCACGACAAAGAGGACGTGTCCTGGAAAAAGAGGACATATGGCAACCCTACAACAAATCCAGGTCCTGTTCAGACCCTAGTCAAAATAATTTGCAGAGCTGTATATTGATATATAGTAACAGTGAGTGTATTATATAGAGGGGGTGAATCAGGAAGGGGTTTGCATGGAATCCTCCTGCACTGTGTGGCCACTGTGGGAACAGGATTCAGGACTAGATGGGCTGTTGGCTTTATCCAGGAGGACTTTTCTATGGTCCTCCAAGAACATGGTCTGTTAACTTGTAGAAACCATAGATCAGGTATCCCCAAACTTGGCCTTCCAGATGTTTTAGGACTACAATTCCCATCATCCCTGACCACTGGTCCTGTTAGCTAGGGATGATGGGAGTTGTAGTCCCAAAACAGCTGGAGGGTCGAGTTTGGGGATGCCTGCCATAGTTCATTTTCACAGGTACCATTATCAACTCAGTTATCACACATCCTCATTCCTTAATATAAATAAATAACATATTTGTGCAAATACAGAACCTTACATTTATCTCTGCTGAAATTCATTGTTAGTTTTTTAGTAGTTCTCCGCCCTGTCATGAAAATCTCAGTTCCTTTTTCAGTTTTCTAAGGTCTTAGCTACCCTTACAGCTTGGCATTATCTGCTGATTTTTATGAACATCCCTTCCTTCATGCATGTCATTTGCCTCCTTCATTTTTTTTTCTGTGTGTTTTATTTAATGTTTATTTGTGGATTTTAATAGTACCTAATATAATGACTCAAAATATAAAATAAGTAGAGCATATCCATGAAAATAAATGGCAAAATGTCACATTAAAACTAAGAAAAAGCGCACTGTTATTTATTTATTTCATTTATGAGTTGCTTCCCATGAAACATCCTGAAGTGATTAACAATAAAAGCACCCAACAATAAAACCATATTTCTACATTTTAAAATCCCAGCTCTGGTACAGATTGGGATAAGAATTAACCTTCCATCCCGCCCTTAAGTGACACATTTCAGTCAAAGTAAAGCATTTTTAATGGGAGAGTTAAGAAAATGTTTAAATCGCTTTTGCTGAAATCAGTGGGATGTGTGTTGTTGTGTGCCTAGTTTTCTTTCCCCTTATTACTAACTCATAAAGAGAAGCATGGGAAGTGAGGTGGAAGGCGGGGTGGGAAGTGTTTTGCATTGCCATCAGAACATAGGACGATTTCAGCCTAAAGTGGCTTCAAGGAGATGAAGGTCCATAGCCTGGGTGCTACCCCTGATAAAGTCTAGTCATCTGTAATTGAAGTTCTTCCACTCAGATGGTGCCTTTAGAAAAGCATCCCCAGCAAACATTTGCATTTCTTCTGAACGTGGCAGCTACAGTGTGGCTTTTAATTAAAAGCAGATGTAACATTTTATTGTGCTTCCCTAGGGATTTTTGTTCTCAGAAACTGTTGGGTCATGATTGTTGGGTCATATTAAACATCCATCATAAAAGAGACAGCCCCAGTGTGCTTATGGAATGTTGCAATTGGGCTCAGCGGACGGCAGCAAGACACTAAACAGCTTTCAATTAGAATTACACAACTGAAACACAGGTGCCTTCATTTCCCCTTAGTTATGGCCTTAGGAAGTGATTCATGGCGTCCAGAGATAGCAGGAGTACCTGCTTGCAGGGGCGTAGGAAGGGGGCTGCGGGGTGTGTGGCTCACCCCAGGTGTCATCCTTGAGGGGGGTGACAAAATGGCACACCACGGGGGTCGGCACTTACCACGGGGCCTGGCCTGGCCAGCACGCCCAAGCCACCCATCACTCCTGGGCATAGCTGTCAACTTTCAGATTTGAAAATAAGGGATCAGCAGCCTCACCTGTCCCGGGGACAGTCTACGGGATATCTAACAATCTGGGATAGCAGCAGGAAGCAGCGGGAAACGGTGCTGGAATAAGGGAATTTCCTGCAAAAAAAGGGAAGGTTGACAGCTATGCTCCTGGGAGAGACGTGGCTCAGGGCCCTGTGCTGCCTGAAATGGCAGCATGGGGCTTGTGTCCACCAGGCAAACTCCATGGGCAGTTCGCCGCTTCGCCCCCCTGGGCGGATACTGAAACCGCCCCAGTGTGCGGATTGCCCTGCCCCCGTCGCTTTGGGTGCCGGAGCAGCTATCTACACCCCTGCCTGCTTGATGGTGCTAGTATCTCTGGGAAATGAATGGGACATATTGAGCATCCCATTTTGCACGGAAGGTACCCATTTGCTCAGAAGCAGAGGGAGCCCCCTTGGTAGTTCGACTTTTTCAGAATTTTCAGGGGCTGGCTTGAGAGAAGGCATTCTCTGTGGCAGCCCCTAAGTTGCAGGCTTCCCTTCCCGCTGAGATGTGTCTGGCACCTTCATTATACAGTTTCCATTGTAGGCTGATGATGTAACTCTATCCTGGCCTTCAGTTAAGTATTTTTAGGAAGCACCTTACTCTTGTGACTCCAATTTGTTTTAAACTTTTTAATATCATGGGAGCAGTTGTGCTATTCTGATTGTTCCATCAGTCCAAGCATTTTTGTTTGCATCCTTTGTTAAAGAAGAATACAGGGCACAGATTGCTTAATAGAGTACTGTCCGTACTCTTCTGCGGTTCCCCAAAGAAAGGAGAGACCTATGGAGGGGGACAGAGGCAGCAGCGTGCGGGGGGATGACTCGTGGTTTCAGTTTTGTTTACACAAATGCACAGAGTATTGGAAACAAGCAAGAAGAACTTGAGCTCATAATACAGGATTGCAAATGTGACTTAACAGGCATTATTGAAACCTGGTGGGATAAGACTCATGACTGGAATGTAGAAATTAAGAGGACAACCTGTTCAAAAGGAAAAGATCGATTTCATTTCCCAGAAGGTGGAAGAAGCAACAAGGGGCGGGGGGCGGTCATCTCTCTTGGACCTGGTCCTCACCAAAAGTGAAAGTACAGGGAAACCTGGGAGGAAGTGATCGTGTCCTCCTCTGTGTCATGATACAGAGGCAAAGGAAAGCTGAGTGTAGTCGGACACGCACTCTGGACTTTAAGAAGACTGATTTCAAAAACCCGAAGGGACTACTGTGTGACATCCAGTGGTAAAATGTACTCAAAGAGAAGGAAGTTCAAGATGGATAGGAGTTTCTTATTTTTTTTTTTGCAAGTAAATTTTTATTCAGAATTTGTATAAAGAAAAGAAAAAGGAACTAACAAATACAAAAATAGACATTTTAACATAAATTATTCATCCTATTTTCATACTATACAAAAAGAAGGCATACGTTCATACAAAAAATAATAATATAACCATTAGGCTCTCCTTAGCCTTTGACTTCCCTTCACCCTTTTGGTAAGTATCAAATAAGTCCCGGGTTGCGTAATTAGTTTATTAAAGTTTATAGTTATTAGCTGATAAAGTTTTTCTAATACCGCCAGCTCCTCCTATATATCCGTTCCAATATATTTCCAAAACTTAGTCCAATTTTTTGAAATTTCTGGTCGTCTTGGTCTCGTAT